CCTGGACGTTCGCTCGAGAGATTTGACAACCTTCCAATGCATGGAGGTCACTGGGCGGTGTACAGTTCTCCCGCAAGGCGCCACTAATGCTGTAGCTGACTTCGTTCGCTGCACACGACATATCCTCGCAGACGACATCCCGAAGTTCGCCGACATCTTCGTGGATGACTGTGGCGTAAAGGGCCCACCAACGACGTACGATGACGCGTCCATCACACCCACCTCGCCTGTGCGCCGTTTCATTTACGAGTACTGCACGGCTCTCGACCGCGTCCTCCACCGCTTCGAAACCGCCCACGTGACTGCCTCTGGCTTCAAGTTCTGCCCCGCGACGCCAAAGGCGACCCTCGTCGGGAGTGTCGTCTCACAAGCAGGTTGGGAGTTGAGCCACGGTCTCGCGGCGAAGGTGCTCAAGTGGCCATATCCGGAGTCTATCACTGACGTCCGCAGCTTCCTCGGGGTTGCCGGCGTCGGTCGGCGATGGATCCCCAACTTCGCGCTCATTGCGAAGCCGCTGACGTTACTCCTTCGATCGGACCCCACTGAACGCTTCGCCCTGCCCCGGGACGCCCGGGACGCCATAGATTCCTTGAAGAAGCTCGTGTCCTCAGCCCCGGTACTGCGTTCCATCAACTACCCAGCCGCACGCGCTATCACTCGCGAAGCGGTGGATGGCGTCAAAGGTCCGCTGGAAGGCCTCATCGTGCTCTCCGTCGACTCCTCGCTCCACGTGCTGGTTGGGTTCTCGCACAATACCACGACGGTGAGCTCCACCCTGCGCTGTATGGCGGCTGCACGTTCTCGGCGACGGAGTCACGGTACTCACAGCCAAAGTGCGAGCTCTATGGCTGCTTCCGTGCTGTCAAGGAGCTCCGCCATCGCCTGTGGGGACTCTACTTCCTTTTACGGGGAGATGCACAGTTCCTAGCTCAGATGCTGTCTGAACCGGATCTTCCCAATGCCCCGATGACGCGCTGGGTGGCGTACCTCTCGCTCTTCTCTTTTACGTTCCAGCACATCCCGGCCTCCCGAGGGATCCCCCAGGATGCCTTGTCTCGGCGCCCGCCCGCGCCCGACGACTCCGACGAATCCGACGGCGAGAAGCATCTCGACGACTTCTTCGGTCGTGCGGTTGCCCACTTAAGGCCTACCGCACCTCCCTTGGCACCCGTCCGTCCCTGCCTCCCCAGCCCACGTCCCGCGGTCCAACCTCCTGCGCCTTGCCATTCCCCTCCCTCGTACCTTCTTCGACAGTGCGCGCCATCCTCACTAGCATCGCCTCCGTATCCATGACTCCGCACTCCGATCCCTCCTCACGGCAGTCAAGCTGGGCTACGACACCTTCAATCCAACCGTCGGCCTTACCCGTGGGGGTCTTTCACACACCGCACCAGTACACCTCAGTCAGTTCTCTGTCTACACTGAAGGTTGGAGCTCCACATCCCCCTGCTCGTCCATGCTGTCCTCCGCATCGACCGCCCCCTTCTTCAACGACTGGCGTATCCGCGCGGTGCCCTCCGAACCCCAGGAATGCGAATGCGACCTCGGCGGCGAGACGTGCGTCTTCCCAATTACACTCTACAGGCCCATGCTCCGGGAGCCGCGTCGAGCTCTGTCCGCTACCCTCTCTGCGCGCTCCTCCTTTCCGCCGGCGAGCTTGGACGGTCCCCACTACGCACCGCAGCAGTTCGGCGACGAGATCCCGACGTTCCCGATGTCGCTCCAGGCTAAGACGGTCCCCGCTCCCACATCAACTGTCTCCCCTGGCGACACTCTCCACGAGGCGCATCGTGGCGATCGCGAGCCCCCATGGGCTGCTTTCTGGCGCGCGGAGGTCGAAAACGCTGAGCCCACCGACCCGACCTTGAAGGCGCGCGTTGGTCGCATGCGGCGCTGCTACATTGTGGGACATCGGCGCATCTGGCGTATTCGCGCTGACCGGCACCCTCTTCTCGTGGTCACGGACACCGCCGCTCGCAAGCGTATCGTGGCTGCGGCGCACAACACCACTGGCCATCGTGGCGCCGCGGCGACTTTCGCTTTGCTCCGCGAGCGTTACTTCTTCCCCAACCTGTACGCAGCCTGCGTCTGGTTCGTCCGCTCGTGTTATAGCTGCCAATTCCGGTCCCAGCACCGTGAGCTAGCACCACTGTCGTCCAAGACCAGGATCACCCCTTGCGTCCTCCGGCGTTTCCACATCGACACCATCTTCATGAACGGCAGCTTCCGCTACCTCCTCCACGCCGTCTGCGCGACTAGCCACTGGGAAGAAGCTCGTGCTGTCAAGTCCAACACCGCGGAGGCCTGGGCGACCTTCTTGTGGGAGAACATCATCTGCAGGTTCGGCTGCGTCCCAGTCATCGTCTGCGACAATGGGCCCGAGTTCGACGGCGCTTGCGCTCTCCTCTTGCGCCGCCACGGTGTCACGGTCATTCGTACGTCCCCGTACAACCCAAAGGCCAATGGTATCGCGGAGCGCTCTGGTCGAACCCTGCAACAAGCTATCTGGCGCGCCTGCGACCTCACGAAGCGCGACCGCTTCCGCTGGTACCGTTTTCTCAACGCCGCGCTGCTCTCTGTCCGCACTACTACTAGCCGCGCGACCGGCTACACGCCCTACTACCTGGTCTACGGCCAAGAGTGCATGTTCCCCTTCGACCTCGAGGATGCCACCTGGTTCGCGCTCGACTGGGCCAACGCTACCGACGACGTCTCCCTGCTCGCGAACCGCCTCCTCCAGATCTCCCGTCACAACGCCGTGTTGGACGACGCCGTGCAAAAGCTGACTAAGAACCGCAGGAAGGCCATCGACGACTTCCACCGCCGTTACGAGGCCCTCATCAATAAGGAAGGCTTCTCACCTGGCTTCTGGGTCCTCCTACTGGAATCTTGGCTCGATGCGCAGATGGGCATGAAGGGCGCGCTCCGCTGGGCCGGTCCCTACATCGTCGAAGAGCGCCTTTCCCGGGGTTCCTACAGACTGCGCGAAATCACTGGCACGCCATGCGTAACACCGCCCGGGCGCGCGCCTGAAGCTGTTCTACTTCCGCGGCGACCACCACCGACCTTGACTGCGACGCTCCCATTGCGCCACGGTCCACCGCGCGTTCAGCTATATCAGCGCCTTGCCGCGCCCATCGAAGTCCTCTCCATGAGCAACCGCTTGCACTGCCCGCCGCGTTCCGAACCCATCACCTACTCGTGCAACCCCGTCCAACATGCCTTCGGTGCCGTCGCGCGTCCGTGACCTGTGACGGCGCGTGCCTCGCAGCCCTGAGATGGAGCCTTACCTCCTGGATAGTGACGATGGTTCGGGTTCAATGTCGACATGCGCTTGTCTTTCCACCACGCTCTGCACGATTACTTTCGACCCCGCAGTCGACCCTATCAGCGCGACGCCCTGGCTCACTGTCAATGCACCGTCCAACCTCATCGCCTTGGGCCGCCTCGCGAAGTCCTTCAATGCGTGGCCTCAACCCGGTCCGTCCTTCGGGCCCGGCCGACGACTCCGCCTCCGCGGGCACCTCGCCGGGCTCGCCGCCAGGTCCACCTGTCTATGATCCGGTTTCCGGTCGTTTCACCCCTGTCGGCGATGAGCACGGGTCAATCGCTTGGGAGGGTCTCTTTGATGTTTGTCAGGATCTCGAGGTCGAGATCTCAAGGGCCCCCCGGTTGTAGGAGTCCCGCTGCGCTGGGCGCTCGCGGGTACTCTGAAGCACGCGCGTGCGCGCGACAGAACACGGTCACGTGTCGACCGAGCAGCGCGCGGTCACAGAGCACACCCAGTGAAGAAGTAGTACCTGCACATGTATAAAAGTAGCACGAACGCACACGGAATGACCAGTTTTCCTCTCCCCCACATTTCACTCTGCTTTCTCCCATCGCGTTTCCCTGCCCGTCTTCGCTCGTCCGTCGAACCCGTGTCCGATTACCCGTCGTATCCGTCTTCCCTCCGCGTAACCGCCGAATCCGTCCCCGCGCATCCGCAGCGCTCACCCTATTCACACGTCTCGCCTAGGAGACACCGTCGAAGGGCTTACTACACCGTCCCGCGCGCCAGTCACCCACCGCCCTCGCCGACGATTCCCCGCCGCTCCGTTCACGCTCATAAGCTGGCAGACGAATCCGAGGACCGCCAGCAGCCTGGATCCCAACTTTTGTCCCAATCCGAGCACGCACGCAGGCGGGGGAGGGCGCGCGACGCCGATGTGCTCACCGAAAGGGCGCGCCCAGCGCTGAGAATGGCAAACACGTTGCCGGCGCGCGCTGATCGCATGTGGGGGAAGCGCCAGGGACGCTGTGTGGCCTGGATCACGTGCTGGGAAATGTGCCGAGTGACGGGGTGAAGAGTGAGATCGACCTCGATGAACGCAACTGCACACACGCTAACTTCAAGATTCGATGCCCGATCCCTCCTTCTGCGCCAGAAACCGCCGTCCGTCCTCGTCCCGTCGCCCTCTCCGCAAGCTTTATAAGATGCTCTCGTGTCCATCTCCTTTCTTCAATCCCTCGCCCCTCGCAGCCCGCCCTTTCCTCCTTGTCCTCCCTCCTTTCCCCTCATCCAAACCCTCCTCACACATGGCTCCCGTCCGCTCTTCCAAAGTCACTTCGGGTACGCACGCCCTCCGCCTGCTCCTTCCCCCCTGCTCACTTGCTTCACGTACCCAGGCCGGTCTTTGACCACCAGCCCCCGCCCGCAGCCCGCGCGGCCCCCTCCTACTCCCGTAGGAAATGTGCCACAGCCCAGGTGGCACATCTCTCAGGCTGCCATCCCGGGTCCGCAGATCGACGCCCTCGCTCTCGACCTCGGCCCTCCCCTCGGCCACTATGCCTCGTCCGACACTTGGTCCCGGTCCTCGTCTCCCACACTCTCCGTTACCTCTACCTCATCCGCTTCGTCCCCCGGCACACCCATCACCCCCCCTTCGACTCCGCCTTCCGCCTTCCACCCCCAACCGCGCAAGACGAGCTCGCGCCGCGCCGCCAAGGAGCCGGGGTACGTCCCCCGCCCCTGCAACGCCTTCATCATCTTCCGCCGCCTCAACAACGAGCGCGCAAAGGCGATCGAGCACGACCACCGGCACATCTCCAAGATGCTCGGCACGTGGTGGAAGGAGGCGTCGCCCGCGGACAAGCTGCTCTACAAGCGGCTCGCGGACGAGGAGAAGGCCCGCCACCAGAGCTCTACCCGAACTACAAGTTCGCGCCGCGCCAGAAGACCGCCCCGCCCAAGAAGCGCAAGGTGAAGCGGAACGGCGTCGTCGACAACGCGCGCTCCGAGTACGCGGGCAAGCTCCTCGCCCAGGGCACCGCCCCCGACGTCCTCGTCTCTCCATCGCCCAGTTCGACGCCGACAACAAGCAGCGGATCGCGGAGGAGGACGCCGAGCGCAGGGCGCGCGAGGCCGCGCCCTCCCCCCCTGGTCCACCACTTCGATTTGCTCCGAGGTCGAGGTCGAGGGCGAGCTCCGGTGGGACGCCTCCCGCTCGCGGCCGCGCCCAGCCCGGGCCGCAACAGCGCGCCGGCCGCGTCCGCGCACGAGCAGCCCTTCCGCTCCCCGCTCCTCCCGCCCGCGATGCCCGCGGCGCTGCCCGCGGACCCGCTCGGCTTCTGCCCCCCGATGGTGAGTGCGCTTTGGACCGGTGCGGGGGCGACGCTCACCCTCGTGCGCCCCGCAGATGCAGATGCCGATGGGCCCCGCGAGCCCGACCGAGCTCGACCTCATGGCGCAGTCGATGGCCGAGATGTCGATGTCGTTCGCCCCCGTCGACGGCTACTCGCCCGGCTCCGAGCACGCGTACCTCCCCGCGGCCCCGGGGTACGCGCCCGCCGCGCACTACGCCTACGCGCCCGTGCCCGCGCCCGCCGCGGCGTACGGCGCGGTGCAGGGCTGCATGTACGAGCAGGGGTGGGCGCAGGGCGCGTACGAGCTGGGCCCGCAGATGGGGGGCTGCTTCGCGCCGGAGTGGGCGCCGGAGCACCAGCACCAGCACCAGCAGCACCAGCAGCAGCTGTACGCGCCTCAGCCGCAGATGGCGATGCCGACCGAGGCGGCGGCAAGTTCTACGCCGCCACGAACGCGTGGGCGGACCCGTTCTTCCAGGGCGGGTACCGCGCCTGAGCGGCTAGACTCGCGGCGGACAAACGATGATGATGCTCATCCGCCTTTGTGTTCTTTCTCTCGTCCTTTGTGTCCATCTCGCGCCCCCACCCCCAGATCCGATCTTGCCTCCCAGACCAGACCCGACCCAACTCCCCGCTCCTCACCATATGCTCACCTCTGGTTTAGTGTCTTCTTTTGTCTCGTCTCTCCTGCCTGTGTACCAACGAAGATCGCCGAGCCGCTAGCACGGACTCGCGCCCCCAACGTTAACGAGTCGACTTACGATCCGTACGATATGCCCTCCCCGTCCCGTGTCCGCGTCTTGATTACCATGTAGCGATAGTGCGCCTCCGTCTCCCGTCTCCTCCTCTCCGTCTTCACGCCCGCCCCGGAGGCTATAGTTTAACGCGTAATATCGAATGTGAATGTCATCCCGGTCCCGCAACTCACCGTGTGCTCGAGATCGGCGTGACGGCCGGGAGGGGGGTGTGCTGCAGCCAACGTTAATCTGCATCGGCATCGGGGGCGCAGCACGTGGGTTCTTCACGCTATGTACGTCATCGCCGAATGCGGCTGAGCCACTCGCGGGAGCGAGGCGAGGAGATCGAGGGAGATCACCGTCCAGCTGGGGCACGTGCAGTGACCGTCGCCGTCGCACACCCCCGAGTTCCAACCGCTCAACAGAACCGCTCGTCGACATCGCTGACGATCCGCGCGCGCGCGCACGAAGAGTGGGGAGCACGCGACCGTGGGCGTCTGCCGCCTGTGCTTGTAGTTTGTCGCGCCGCGCGCCCGAGCCCATGCTCCGCGTAGAATGCGAGGTCAAGCCGGACGCAGTGCGCGACGTAGGGTCAAGGAATTTGACCACCCAGGATAGCAAGACCGAGGATGTCGCCCTCGGGATGATCTGGTCACCTGTGACCGGGTACGCACCTCACGCTCGCCGGGCTGAACTCGGATTGGCGCCATGCCAGCGATTCAACTCGTGTACACTTTTTAAACGTGGTTTGGTGACGGAGCAGGAGTATCATTACACTAGTATACACACTATGTGGTCGAGCGTCGTCGTCGTCGTCAGCATTATGTAGACACATCGCATATATCATGCACGCCGAGTCGGAGCAGGGTCGAGGAGCTGAGGGAGCAACGGTGGGGTCAGCGCGCGACCCCGGCGACGATCTCGAACGCGCGCACGCCCTCGCGCCGAGCAACGTCGCGCAGCCGACGACGCTCGCGCCCGCGCCCGCATCCGCGCCGCGGCGGCCGCGCTCGTGACGCCGCCGATGCCCACGACACGCACCCGGCGCATCGCGGGGTCCGGGTGCGCGGCGAGCAGGCGCGCGAACGAGTACACGTTCCCAGCGCGAGCGGGTGCAGCGCGTCGCCGCCGAGGCCGCCGAGCGCGGGCGGGAGCGCGAACGGGGAGGCGGAGGGCGCGGGCGAGGGCGATGCCGGGGCGGGAGGGGGGGTGCTCCCTGCGGACGAGACCGGGGACGGCGGCGGGAGGGACGCGGGCGGGGAGGGGGGGAGCGCGGGAGCGGCGCGGGCGCAGGGAGCGTGAGGGGCTCGTCCGTGTCCATCGCCGAGGCGTCGGGCGGGGGGAAGGCTTCGTCGGCGAAGACGAGGCAGTTGCCGAGCGTGTTCGTGCACGCGAGGTACGCGAACGGGTTGACCGAGCGCGGGGCGGCGCCGGGCTCCGCGGGCTCGTGCGTCGCGCCGTTGAAAAACTGAGCGGGCGGATGTCGCGGGTGTAGCTGTGGATGTGCCGAATGACCTCATGGAAACGGGTCTGGTACAGGTAGGGGGGCAGCTTGAGCCCGATCGTGAGCGTGGGGTCGGCGTAGAAGGCGGAGGAGAGCGCGTCGAGGTGGGGGAGCAGGAAGGGGAACGTGTACGCGGGCGGGGGTGCCTCCTTGATGTTCGGGCACGATGTGTTGAGCTCGATCCCAATCAGTGTCGCGGGGTCGATGCCGGGCACGAAGGCAGTGGGGGCGTGGGCGGTGTGTGTGGACGAGGACGCACCCGGGGATGAGGCGTTACGTCTTGAGCGGGGAGGACCAGCGGAGGAGAAGTCGCCAAGTGCGGAGTAGGATGCGCGCAACTTTTTGCGGAGGCCTTGAATTTCTCGACCATCTCGGCTAGCACTGTGGGGGTAGATGCTGTGATGCTGATGATCACAGGCTTGGTTGGTGGGCTGCCGTCGAGCATGGGGGTGGTGAGGAGAGTGAAAACCCAGTCGAGATAACTGGAGAGAGGATGTGGCGAGTAGCCGTACGAGTTCACGGTCGACGTGTGATTTTTGACAAACGCAACCTGTGGGGTAGAGGACTGTGCGGTGAGAAAGAGAGGAAGAGCTCGAGGGATGCTGCATACGGTGTTGGACTCGTCTTCGCTGAAGCCGTTGAAGGTGGTAGTCCTTGTGATAACGGCGCCAGTGTATGGCGAGTCGTACAATTCCCGTAGCTGCTCATAGTCGGAGGCCCAGGCACATGACGAATTGACGATCGCAGGCTCGATGTTGAGGGTGTGTATCCGGACCATTGTGGCTGAGGGTGTCCTGGTAGGGAGACGCGGAGATGGTTAGGGAGCGGTACTCACTTCGGGGGAGGAAGGAGGAGAATCGGAGCAAGTGTGGTGATATTTGTAGGGAGACAGCGGTCTCAGAGTCGGACTCGGACTGCAGCGCCCGACAGCCCGGAAAACGAGCGACCGCCATCTCGGTCTCCCCGCGATGGACTCCCACGAGCCTGGGGGCCAGAACATGGTCCGCGCGGGAGGCGCCGTTGCGGGCGCGGGCGCAGTCTCCAGGGGGCGAGGGAGGCGAGGGGCTGGGCCTGGGCCGGCCGGCACTCAAGCGCCCATCGCCAGCGAGTGTGCGATAAGCGCAGGCGGATCAACAATCGGAGCGCCGACTGCGCCCCACGTGCCAGAGGTCGAGTCGGGCCGAGTCCTGCGATTCTGGCCGATGAACGCACGCACGTACACATGGAACAGTGCCCAAACTCCAAACTCAAGCCTGGCGTCGCCCTGAGCGACATCCCCGAATGCGAGGCCCGCGGGAAGACGCAGTCCCAGCAGCGATGCTCCAAATACAGGCCGAGGTGCTTTCCTCTCCTTTCGAATTATGCAGCCAAGCTTCAAAGCTTCAAGTTCTACTCCGCCTTGAAATTGCAGCTAAATTCAACGCTCTCTTCGCGAGTGAAAGTGATGATGTGGTCATCACGCTGTGCGTTGCGAACTCGCATTCGCAGGAACCACTGTGAAGTTCTCGTCGGCGCCACCCCAAAGATCATTGATACGTAACGTTCAACGTACAAATATTTGCTCTGGTCGTTTCCGTCACCCGCCATTCAAAAGCAACGAGAGTCCGACAGAGCCATTTGCGAGCGCGGCGTCGTCCAAGCCCGCGCTGTCGCTGCTTGATCGCTGCCCCGAGCTCGTCCCATTTCGCGAGGAACACCCGCCGCCATTTCGCACAGCGTTCGGGGGCAATGCGAACCGATGCTTGCGACAGAGTCGGCTGTCAGACGACCTTTAAATGGAGCCGCTATTAAGGGCATTAATCAGCCAGTAAGCGCCACGGGTAGACCCACCTGGGAAGACTGGCGTTCTGGGTCAGCCCACGGAAGTCTAGTCCGATGGCGGAGTAACCCTAGGATGTTCTTACTCTGTGTGATGTGTATGATTCCAATAAGAATCGAGGCGTCGGTGATACTCAGGCCATGACAGCAAGGGTAGACCCATTTCGAGATGAACTCGGCCCCAGCACATTCGTACGCAACGCTCATGAAGCGGTCAAACGCACCGGCCCACCCCGTGCGCTTTTTGATTCGGTGGTAGATAAAGTGGATTGTGATGCGGTCCGAGGGACCGGCGCGAGCAATGTTCCTCGGCGAAGTCCACCTGCTCCAGTGACAGCATGAGGGTGTCGACTGCTGTGTCCGGGATAGTCTGTCCAACGAGGATGGGGAGCGCACTCCATCCACTGGGTCCTGTGATCATCGCCATTGAGATAACATGCGAGACGTCCGCGAAGACAAATCAAGCACATGCCGATCGCGATGTCCAGAACTCGATCATTCGCCTGCTTCCCGAATCTGTTCTCCCCCGACGTCCACCTCCCCGTCACACAACGCCCGGGCCCCTGGCCCGGCCTGGGCGCGCTCACGGACCGCGCCGACGAGGAGATGGTAGTATCGGATTTCTCCGAGTTCATGTACGCAGTCGTCCACATTGGCAGAGCCCATGCGCCGGGGTAGGTCGGAAGCGAGGGCTTTGGCGGAGCGATACTGTGGACTGGCTGCGGGAGCGGTCGGGCCTGCGCTCTCTCGTGCTCAGGTTGGAACGGGTCCACCTGGAAGACAAGGGATGGGAAGCCGGCGCCTTGAGGGATATGCTTGAAGACGGACGGCGACAAGCTCCAAGGGCCCTTCGAGCCATCTGTCAGCTGTTTGTGGATGCTCTACCCGGCCTCGCGGACACACACTAGGGTTGCTATATTCGGAACGGATGCGCTCAGATAGCATGACGTCCTCCATGAGCCACGAGATGCTGCGTCGTAGACATAGATGACCGGCGGGACCTACAGCAAATCTCGGAGGAGTATTGGGAAACTAGTTGTAGAGAAGCTGCTGCATGTTGTAAAGAAGTGAAGGTCCATGTACATTACACATTATTACACACTCAAGGCGTTGCGCCACCTCGGACCGCCAACCTCACCCAGCACGCGCTCGACCTCCGCGTACTCGAAGTTGGGGGCCGTCCGTCGCTCGTCTTGCATGCTGCGCCGCCCTCGCAGGTCATCGCGTGCGACGCACAGAGCGAGCCACCAGCCAAAGCTGAGAGCTCGTTCGGACCGGGTACGAGACGCGGATCGATGGGCGACGTAGAACAAGATAAGGGCAGAAGAAAGAGAGAGAGAGAGAGAGAGGTGGCGATGATGCTGGTCAGGATGCTGGTAGGGATGCTGGTCGAAGTCGAGGTGGTCGAGAATGTCTCAACGTTGACGCGTCTGTCACCATGGTCCGTGTCCGTGACCAGACGCGTTCGTGACGCATCCGAGTGAAGGCTGGGCCGTCCGTCGTCTCTAATAGTAACACTTAAGCTTGCCTCGATACCACCACTTCGCCCTGCCAATGTTCTCCGGCGGTCCCTCATCGTCTCTCCCTTGGTTCTCGATCATAGTACTGTGCAGAGATGACCCTTTCATTAGGCCTTAGACTTCTAGCTTGGTTCTGGAGCGCATACAGTCATCTCGGTTCAGGCCAATGCTCCATAGTCCTCACCACAGAATGCACCGACCGGGCCATTATGGCGTCCACTGCTGGGCCCTGGCTCGATCAAAAACTCCACGCGGAAGCCGTACACCCTCAACAGTCCATGGTAAGTAGACAGGTCTTGTGTAGACTCAAAACCTATCATTCGATCACCAGACTTCTCACACTGCATCATCGTCTCGTGAAGCTATATCTTACCCCGTCCGCGTTTCAAGCATGGGTACGGCCCTACGTCACTGCCATCAAGCTACGGAATCTTGCAGGAACCTTGACCTCACCTGCCGGGCACAAGATCCTTCCGACCATCCGGCATGCTCATACCTGTCCCGTTTTGCCAATCATTTGTTTCGGCTGCCTGTCCCTCACTGCTTTGCTTTCTGCAACGTCATTTCTCTCCCTAGCGTTCACCATTTACGCCCTCGCCGATGAGAGCCGGGGAGGCAGTGCTCACGTGACGCATACGGACTATGACGCGATTTAGGACAAGGGGCCGCGAATTGGCGCTGCTCCTCTCCGCTTCCGACCATGTCCATCGTCACCCAGGCCGTCGACAGCACCGCGCCCACCCTCTCCGAGGAATATGTGCAGGAATGCTTCCATTCGTATCTCAAGTCATCTTTGATGCACGCCAAGGCGGAAGGTTTGTTGGATGAGGAGACGCTCTCGAGCGCAGAGGCCGATCTCATGATTACGGGTGCGTAGTCATCCTTTTGCTTCACACGACTTCGCTCATCGGTCCCTCCAGGGCCTGCACTGTGCCTGTACTTTGCTGCCCTGAGATCTACCACAAACCCTCCGTCTGTCCCCCTTCCCCGCCGTCAAAAGCACGGAACGTCCGGGCCACCCACTGACCTCTCCCTCAACAACTGCCCTCCCACCTTCCGTCAATTCCTCATCGTATGGTCGCAAGTCGTACCCTCAATCCAAGCACTCATCCCCAGCCACCAGCATGACCTCGCTCGGGTCATCTGCGGCTTCGAGCCAGTTTCCTCTCCACTCAACCCCCGCCTGAATGGCATAGCCGCAGATCTTCGCGCGGTGGCCATTGAAATCAGCATGCGTCGGACTTTCCAGGAGAGATACGCGGTCGATCTTCAAAGCGCATTGGACAGCGGTGCTCCGCGTACTCCAGGCAGCGGGAAAAAGGCGAGCTTCGTTCCTCCACCGAGCTACGAAGACGCCTCCCCACAATCAAGTGCGCCCCCATCCCCCCGACCCAACACCTCCACCCTCGCCCCCCACTCTCCCCGTTCGAGTGTCCCACCATCACCCCAACCACACTTCCTGTCGCCCAACTCTCCCCCCGCGCGCCTCACCGTCCTCCCCTCCTCCCGCACCCACTCCCGCACGCCTTCCGCATCGAGCGTCAGCAGCCTCGGCTCCACGCACTCGCGCGACTCCGAGCCCTTCTCGCCCACCATCCTCGCCGACGCGCCTGGGATCGAGTTCATCCGGGAGACGCTCTACGCCGCGCTCGCAGACGTGCTCGAGCGCAAGCCGCACATCCGTGCGTTGCTCGCCCGCGACCCGACCCGCGCGTACTTCGCCGCCGTCGCGCTCGCTATCACCGACGTCGCCTCGTCGTCCGCGACGCGCGCGGACCCCACGCAGAAGGTCCTCGAGGACATGCTCGCGCCCGGCGCGCCCCGCCACGGCGACGAGCCCATCCTCCGCGGCGTGCTCGGCCAGATGCTCGCGCTCAGCGACTGCCCAGCGCCTCTGCGGCCGTTCATGGCGGAGCTGTGCGCTCTCGGCACGGAGCTGCACGCGATGGAGGAGCGGGACAGTGAGGCGACGGTGGAGGCGCTCTCGGCGGGCGAGGCGCCTCCCGCGCCGCGGCTCGAGCGCGTGTACGAGATCCTGGAGCGCGGGATCGGGTACGCGCACCGTGAGGAGGACGTTGGGCGGAGGTCGCAGGACGGGTCGGAGCAGATGCGGCGGCGGAGGGGGAGCACGGAGGGCCGGGCGGTCGCGTTTGCGAACCGGATCAATGCGCTCGCCCTGGGGATGACGAAGCTACAGGCGTTCAAGCAGCGGCAGGACATGGTGTTCAAGGTGCTGGCGGGGGTAGGGTCGTAATCGCTGAGGAGCTTCGAGCGTGTTCTTCGTGTGTGTGCAGGCTGGTGTTGTATCTATTGTCATCTATGCTTTTTTACTGTATCTCAATATCTCCCCATATCATACATACCACTGTTGTAAGAGTAATACACGATAGTGGTGGCATTTTTAGCTCCACTGTCTGTGCTTGCGGTCAAAGCGAGGGACATGGGGAACTTCCGGTCATAGTTGAAGCTTTTATGATACATACAAGCCGTCATTCCACCAGCTTAACGAAGAGATTGGACACCGCGGAGGTCGTGGAGCCGATGACGTAGGTGCCCTGCGCAGATACTTATGTATCCGGAGAACAGGTAAGTTTGGAAAGATACCTCCAAAGTGTTTGCTAGACGCATGGGGACGATGGTGGACGGCTTACATGAATAGCCGTGTACGGGCCGCTTGGTCGTTGAGCGGCCACGAAAGCGCGGAAAGGCTGTATTTGAGAGCACTGCGCCAAACGGAGTCCAGGACCCAGAGATAGACTGGGAGTGGAGAGCGCGGGTCTTGAAGCTTGAAGAGCCAGTTCGCGTCAAGATAGACTGGTGTCGGGCCGCCTGACATAGCATTGTCAAGCGGGCCATGGATGTCGACACTCCCTCGCAAATGACATGCAACTCCAGGCCATGCGGCGAGGGTGCTCCGCGAATGACCATGTGTGCTGCGGGGTGGTTAGTACAGGATGAGGGCCAGCGTAATCTTGAACTATGGGCGATGTGCTATGTGATCTGAATGACGTGTTCAAATGCCTGCAGTGCAACACTGTCGGACAAAGATTGGTGATGCTCCATTCTGCGCCGACTCTGATATATAAAGAGGGTCGGCACCAGGCGTGATATGCGGTGCGTTCAAGATGATAACTACTGCCTCCTGGTGAGGAAACGCATGATCATGGGAGGGACGGAAATGAACTCACTGGAGTGCAGGCTGTGTTTCGCAGCATCCCATTTGTGCAAAACATACTACTTTAAAGTGGATGCTCGACTTCGTCGGACCTCAATAACACGCGACTGAGGATGCACAAGGCGGGAGTAGCATTGCATAAATTACTTCCCGACCCATCTTACAACATTTAGCCCCATATCCCTACTAGGCGTGCTTCGGTCAGGACGTCATTGTTTGTCCCACTCCGTTCTGTGACGCAACCATTTCGAGAAGACTTGATCCTCACAAAGGTCCAGGCATTGTTTGCAACCATGCGTGGTATCGAAACTTATGGGTTAGGTCGCCTGGGCTCGTGGATAGCGTCGTGGGGGGACTTTGTGGCGCATGACTTCGGACGCATAGTCAAACGCAAGGCCATCTATGTCTTCAGCGCCTCTTCTCGCTCTAGAACAGACTTTTCCAGCTTGATGAGGATGGTGGTCTTGTTTGGGAGCCGTTCCGTGGGCGTGTTGTGCGCCGTTACACGGGCGGACTGCGCGACGGGTCAATCAAAGCACACGCCCGGTGATGAAGAACACGCACAAAGCCCAACCCATCCAGTACAGCCTCCACTACGCCAGCGGTGAAGGACGAGCAGCTGAGCGTGCTCATGTCTCTCGGACAGAGATGTTGCGAGTTATGGGCGGATCGTTGTCAATGATCATGACTTGAAGGAGGCGGCACGGTAAGAGAGCGACGAGCACGCCGACGCGAACGAAGGGACGTACATTCGTCCACATTCTCCACACTCTTCTCAATCGCGTCTGCGGGCTTCCCAAAAACCGCTCGCCAGATGTGCGTGTGGATTGACATCAGCGCGGGGAGGAATCGGATTTCGCGTTTAGGTGCCTTGGACGCGTTCTCGTTGCGCCATGTCATGAGCTCGAGCACTCGAGTGCCTATCCTGTAGCCCAGGGTGTTCAATCTGTTGTGCAAGGAGCCATGAACACGTCGAAAGATCCAGGCGGACCATGCGTGCTAACTGACCTGCGTTCGAGATCGTTGATCCCACTACGCGCTTTTGGGTGTACTGTACGACCTCGGAGAAGAGGAATGCAAAGGCCGCTGCCGAGACTTCAGCATTCCGCGTCTTGGCAAGCGGCCTGTCGTAGATATTTGGTCGCACACCAGGCTTTGGTGTGACGCTGTGTTGATAGAAGGGGCGGAGGGGAGAGAGAAACGCGAGGAACCGGCGGGAGAGAGATGCTCGCGGATGAAAGGGAGGAGTTGGAGAGGACAGAGAAGCGGGAGGGAGGTTGAGCGTAGCTCATAGCTTGCTGCGATGCGACGAATCGCGTACAACTATGGTGGGCCGGGAGGTTGGAGGAGGATGCGCAGAGTCTGAGCCTCGGCGTTCTCGCATTGAGCCTTCAGGCGCCCGACCGGACCGCTCCAGTGAATTCTCCAGAACTCGACCAGTGTCCCGTTCACCTGGTTTCGTCTCGCTCTCAGCAAGCGAAGGCGAAACACATGGGCATCGCCGCGTAGGGTGCCCAAACAAGCTGTGGATGATTGGCATTGGATAGCAGTGTAGTCGCGAGCTGATGAGCACAACGAGACTCGGGGAGCAGCGATGTAATGTCATAGGCTCGGTGTAAGAGCACAAGGTGGTGGTACACGTACACATACAAAGACAGGCCAGGTGAATGAACGTACCAACCGAATTCCGAATCCAAATAAGAACCTGGTCTGACATGTCATCGCCTGCGCTTGCCTTTGGACGCATCCAGGACTTCTTCCTTCCGGGCTTCCACGCGCTGCAGGAACTCCACCTTTTCCAAATACCCGCCCCCACGTCTGTTCGCCTCCAGCTCGTCCTTCATTTCCGCAGACTCCTCTCCCTCCACATGCGCGCGCCAATCCATCGCCGACTTGTCGAGCGTGGTCAGTCTCCGAATCGGCTCCTTCTTCGGGATTTCTCCGAGCTTCGTCTTGCCCTTGCGCGGGCCTGGTCGCTTTCCAGAGGGCTTCGTCGCGGGCGCACCGGCCGTCGCAGTGGATGTAGAGGGAGCAGACAAGGTCCCCGTATCCGAGGTGGCAGGCACGGCGGAAGAAGGAATTGTCGGAATATCTGAAGGTGTCCAATGCGGCCACTTCTTGGCGTCGTCAGAGTTTGCTGGAACCTCTTTCACTTCGCTGGGGGATTGGAATAGTATCAAGAGACCACATGGTCGCGGCGTAATGGAAGAACGCACATGACTTCTTCGCCCGCGTATCTGTAACGTTTGGTGATCTTTACCATCTCAGCGGAGACAGGTACGTGAGCATGGTCTTCGGGAGAGGCGTTCAAGGACGCTTTGAATGCTGTGTACGCCCCATCGTTGGCTCTAATCTGGGAAAGTAAGGAGTGGTGCCGCAGCATGAGAAAGGCGCAACGCACTGCTCGCGTTCACTGTTCAAAGCTGCCTGGTCTTTGTGATCTTCTGTGCGGGCGCGTTTGGGGGCAGGAGCTTCGCCGTCCGAACCACCTGGAAACGGGGCGATAAGGGGGCGGTGAGCGGGCGACGTAAAGCGGGCGCACCCTTGTCTGTCGGCGGGACGTAATCAGAGTCGTCTTCGGAGTCGGTGTCCATGCTGGGGTGGGTGGTGGGAGGGAAAGACAAGGAAACAATTAGCCGCCCGGTGCGACCGGTGAAGATTGATGGAATGCGCGCGTGTCTCGCCCGACTCTTTCCCTCCACCTCTTCCTCCTGCCACCGAGGACGCCTTTCCTCTCTCCCCGCTGCGCCCCATGACCGCGCTGTGCGCCACCGAGCCGCGCTCCGTGGCCACCAACGGCGACGCGAAGACCGACGCTGCGACGGCAGCCGTGACCTTTTCCGGGCCTCCTCCACTGCCCAACCCCTCTACCGGCAGCGCGAATCCCTCCGCAACCCTCCACTCGCTCTGGGGCTACCTCCAGCCCGCGCTCGATCACATCGTCCGCGCCCCGACCAACAACCCATCCAAGGCCCCCGCGATCGAGGTCGGCTACCACATGGGCGTGCACACCGCCGTCTACAACTACTTCACCTCCCACTCCGAGGCCGCGCCCGGGCCCGCCGGGCTCGCGGGCTTCTCCACCCGCCTGTCGCCGCAGCAGAGCGAGAAGGCGAAGGCGAGCGGGACGGACCTGTACGAGCAGCTCGACCGGTACTACGCCGACACCGCGCGCGAGCTCTTCCTCGGCATCCCCGCGGACGACTCGACGCTCATCCACTACCTCGTCCCCTGCTTCAACCGGTACTCGGCCGGCGCGCAGTCCGTCTCCCGCCTGCTCAACTACGTCAACCGGCACTACGTCAAGCGCGCGGTCGACGAGGACCGCGGCTGGCTCCGGCTCGCGGACGTGCTCGACGCCGTCGCGCGCACGATCCGCGAGGACGACACGCGGGAGAAGGTGCAGAGGCGCCTCCGGGAGCGCAGGGCGGAGGAGCTCAAGAAGTGGGGCTTCAAGGACGACGACCCGCCCGGGCGCGTCGCGCAGATCGAGGCGTATGCGGAGGCCGCGAGCCCGCCCGACCGCGTCGTGCCGTTGACCGCTGTCGCGTACCGACGATTTCGGCTGGAGGTGTTGGAGCCGCTTCTGGCCGTGCCAAAGCTGAAAGGGAAGGGGGGAAAGAAGAAACGACCGCCGGCGACGAATGGGGACAAACCACCGATGCCTAGAGGGAGGTTGGCGCGAGCGGTGAAAGAGCTGTTGGAGTCGAAGGGAGGAGACGAGGAGAAGCGGAGGCTGGCGGGAGAACTGGCGATCGCACTGAGGACGGTGGGCATAAAGGTGGACCACCCGCTACGCAAGAAGCTCGACAAGTATCTACCCGAGGACGATCGTTGAGGTGCGCTTAGGCAGACTATGTCTCCGCGATGTGGTGCTCGAGCTTAGCTTGGAATACACTGCGAGTTGGATTGGTTTGAGATAGAGTTCGAGGCGGACCTTCTAGGTTTTGCGTAGTCTGACAGGTAAGAGCGGACACTACTGTGCGATTGGTGATTTCCTCCACCCACTGCTTGTGCACCACGGCACAATTTGGATGACATTCTTGGCTGCGCGCAAAGACAAATGTTCGTCGTGCTTGCCATCTGCGGCCGTCGGCAATTCCGGACCGGCCGCAAGGGGCGACGCGCCGACGACCGTCGACGTTTTGCACAGTGCACGAACGCGCACAGCAGTAATCTACTTCATCTCGAAGCAACCATCCATTGGCACCAATCCGGCCAACATCGTCGTCTGCCTTCCGTTTCAAATGACTTCCTTGTTCGAGTCCCTGACCCCCAAGCTCGCCAATGTCATCGAAACTGCCACTCAAGATCAAGGGCCACTCACACCTCAGAGCAAACAAGCTCTGGTCAGATCAGTGAGTTCTGTGCGCTTCTGTAAATCTTGAGCTGACGCTTGCATAGACGAAGGATTTCAAAGACAGCTTGCGCGAAGCGAATGAATTCGCCTCGACCCTACCTGGCGGAGAGTTGTCTATAGAGGAGCAGGATGAGATCATTGGGATGCTGGAGAAATTGAAAGATCGCAAAAGGTGTGAAACATGCTCTTTATTCTTTGTCCATGGGTTCAGCTTTGTTTTGAGCAGGCGACAACTTGCTGAGTTTGCGGACAAGCTCGGTTCAATATCCTCTTCCGATGATCCAGCGGATCTCAGGATGGAGGTAGATTCTACCGCCTCGACCCCTGCTTGATCATTACGGTTTGACCCTCGCGCTTTGGCTGCCAATGCGGGGCACCGGTTATGGAATCTCGATCCAGACTTGCGCAAACCCTTCGTCGTCAGCCGCACCCCGAAGTCTCATTGGCCTGTCTTGTGCGTCCGCCCTGCTTATTCCCCATCATCGGCTGGTACCGTTTCTTCACCCCCGCTGGATCGTGGTACTTTTGTCTTGCCAGTATGCACTCTGTGGTCTTCGCAGCCTCCCTCTTTCTCGCTTTCTTGCCTCTGGCCTCCTTGAAGGACACCGACACATCTATTGATGTGACCTGGGACAAGCCCGCTCGCGGAGACACGTACGGCCCAGGGGATACTCTCGTCGGACAATGGAGCGCCGACAAGTCTGTCGTATCTCCGTCTTTCAGGTTGTGTACGGTGGATGAATATGTAGACGACGAGACGGATGACGACGACGACGACGTCAGAAACGATTTGGAGACGGACGACGACGATACGTGCGGGCAAGCCATTTGGCCGACGGTGCGGCAAGTCGAGGACGGTTCATGGAAGATCCATATGTGAGTCTCAACGTCTTCTGTCATTGCATTGCGCCTGAATAGCCTCAAACCCCTCAAAGGACCCTGCCAAACACCAACACCACCCCATCGCAGTGCTTCATCGAGATGGTGGACGACTTTGGAGATAAGGCAATGTCGCCTGTCTTTTCCTTCGGACGTGAGTACCCGCTCCCTGTGTTGCTTCGTTCAAATTTAAAGCCTGCTTCTAGCTGGTGACGACACGTCGGAATCAGAGGATGCAGACGACTCGACAAATGGGCCGGCGAGCCTTCCACCAGAATTCCAAGCAAGACTGATCCAAGCATGACCGATCCAAGCATGGCCGATCCCAGCACATCCGGCGGAGGCAAGTCCAGCGGCGCCGACTCCGACACTCCGAAACATCCCGCCTCTCACAAAGACCCCGCCTCGGAGCCGGCCTCATCGTCATCTTCGCCCAAAAAGCCTGGTGCTTCCAACAGCCACGACGAAGACTCTGCCGACTCTCCACGCACCAGCCCCTCTCCCACATCTTCTCCCCACACGTCGTCGTCTCCCCTCCCTCCTCCTCTCCCTCCAGACCCGTCCGAGTCCAAGGCCCCTGCGCCCGTTGCGGCGTATGCCGTGCCGCTTTCCCTCGTCGGCGCCGTCATCATCGCCGCCGCTGGCACGTACCTCTACCGCCGCCGCCAGTCCGCGAGGGAGCAAGCGCAAGCGCAGCAGGCCGCGCGCATCCCGCCTTCGCGCCAGTCCTCGCTCAGTTTCGCGGGCTTCCTCGCCCTCGGGCGCGGCCCGACCGCGAGCTCGTCGTCCTCTCCCCGCTCGGATTCGCCCCCTGGACGCCGCCCGCCTGGAAGCTCGAGGTCGAGCGCGACGCGCGTGGACGCGGCGCACGCAAACGTTTCGCGGCACGCCAAGCGCGGCTTCGGGCTCTCTGCGGGCGAGTCCGACTATCGCCGCGCAGACCGACACGCCGACGCCGACGGCGCAGGGCCGCGCCGCTCGTACCGCGAGCTCCGCGACGACGACTCGACGACGTGCGTCGGCGGCGGCGCCTCGAGCGTCGTGGGCAGCGCCCGGGCGTCAGCTTCGCCTCGCCCCCGCCCCACCACCCCCGGCGGCCGACCCGCGAGCCGTTCTTTGGCGACGAGGACGAGGACGGCCGCCGCCGCCGAGGCCCGTACGACCGCCCGCCTCCCCGCGCCGCGCCTGTGGACCGGCGCCCCCCCACCCCCAGGTCTCGCCGCCCACCCACCGCTCCCGCGTCGCGTTCCGCCGCCAGTCCAGCGAGGGGCTCGAGCCCTCGCGCAGCGTCTCCGTCGCCAGGGACCGTGAGCGCGGGCGCGCGGGACCCTTGCAGGCGAGCGCGAGCGTGACCGACGCGGTGATGGGCAGCTACTTCGACGGCCTCTCCCCCGTGCCCCTGTCGCCCGCCTCGGCGCCGGCGCGGCGCGCGGCGTGGGACGTCGCGCGCCCGGAGCAGCTCTACGTGCGCCGCGGGGCGGCGGCTGAGCCCCCCAAGGAGGCGGGTCTGTATGAGGCGGTCGCGCGCAGGCTGTCGTCGTACCGGCAGCAGCCGCGCAGGTGAGCCCAGGCCGGCCCTGGGATCCATTACTTCGTCGACGCCAGGCGAACTCGCGATGGGGTGCTCGGTTGGGTTATTAGAAGTCTACAGACTTGCCACGGTAGTCGTACAGTACGCTCCGAATTCCGGAATACAGGGGATTATACCACAGTTACAAGTACGGTGAAGGATAAGTTACATTCCGCGAGGGACCGCGCGTCGACTCGTCTGGAACGCCGGGCCAGAAGGATCACAACGGAAGACCGAGAGGAAACCCGAGGACCAAAAGAGTGCAAACGAATACCGAAAGGAAAATGCGGACGAGCGTATGGACGCAGAACCAATCACACACGCGGCCCAGAGCTGGCTGCCTTCACCTGGCCGATGGGGGAACCCGAATCAACACCGGAAGGTGCGCTGTAAAATACCGTGTCGCGAGAAGTGGGAGTCCAGAACCGCGCCTCTTCCTGCACGAGGCATCCGGGCGACGAAGGGGTTCCCTCTATCGAGAGGCTGTCCCCTTCATCGAGAGCGGGGGCCCCAAGCGGGCTCACGACCGACAACCGCTCGTGCCAACCGCTCGCAACCTCGTGGAGTGCGGACGATCCTGGGGAGGCCGTGATCGTGGTGTTGGAATCGGTCGAACGCCGTCGTTCCCTGGACCGACTGTACATGTCAGGTGTTATGGAACCGCTTGACAGCTCGATCCCGACGGTCGTTCCGGACCATGCGGCCTCAAGACCAGCGTTGGACTGAACAGTCGCGTCCGAGACTTGGTGAGCAGCCGTCAAGGCTTTGATGGCCGAGTCCTTGATAGGCCAGTTGAAGGTTACCCCGGATGGCCTGCTTTCGTCGCTGTCGCTCGTCCAACGCGATTGCTATTCCAGGAGCGAATCGAAGGCAGCGATGCCGGCGGCGAGTCATGGACGCTGTAAGGCGATGGTGGCAGCGAGCGATGGGAACGACCGGTGTGAGCGGGGTCTTTCGGCGGCAGCATTGGTGGTGTGTCGTCGGCAGACGGTATCTCAGGGAGCTCACGGTCCGGGGGAGGGCATCGGGGAGGTAGAGTAGGTGGCAGAGGGAAATCAGAGCTCGTCGGCGGGGAGGCCGACTTTTCTCTCCGTCTTGGGGATGTTCGGTGTGTCGAAAAAACAGATCGAGGAGGTGTAGAGGGAGGGCTCCTGCCAATGTTCTGGGCAACATCCGCCGAAGACCCAAAGAGTGACCAGGCTGAAGGAGGTATTTGCCGTGCGGGAGAGGTTGCCGGGACTGTGTGGTAGGGTGAATCTCGGGTTGCGAAGCGCCGAGGGGAATATAGCGAGCACGAGGAAGGGTATGTCAATGCAGTCGACACAGGTGATGCAGGCAAGCTGTTCCTCGTTTTCTTCGACGGCGAAGACGTGTTGCTAGCGCTCCACGTGGCTGCATGATCGTGCGGTGCTGGAGATGTTTGGGAAGACGCCCTACGAGACAATGGCGGGGTAGGTGGTCTCGGCGTACCATGAACCGGGGGTGCAATATCGGCCTTGGCGAACGGATCCAACTCGGGAGTGAGTACACGTCCGATGGGTGAGCTAGACTCGTAGTCTTCGTCAATCGTCGAGCGTTCGTAACGCTCACCAGCACTCGCTGAACGGACGTTACTACGCGAGGCGACAGATGGTGAACTCGGAGTGGAAGGGGGTGACTCGGATGAAAGCGTAGAAGGAGACGAGTCGTCGGCATAGTCCGAGGGTTCGGAAGTAACGACTGCGAGGTTTATCTTCGACTTCGCGTTCAACTTCATCCGGCTTGGTAAGGCCAGATTGACGAGATGAGTGAAACGGGCAGCTAGGCCTGAGCTCGACTGGCTGCTTGCCTGAGCACATAACCGTTCAGTACCGAGTCACTTAACACCTGAGTCACGACGTTTCACTCACTGTCGAGGTGCTCGTTGCACTCCCCCGTCTCTCGTACACGTATGAAGGTACCTCGTGATTGCCGTCGAAGCTACTGCTGTGTGAGATGACAGGCGGGACTTCCCGAGGGCGGGTGAGCGGCGAAGGGTTTCCCTTGTCCACCTGACCATGAACCCAGAGGTTGAGGTCTTGAAAGCCCAGACCTGCTGGTGGCGCCGTCTCGGCGGACTGCGGTGCCTTGCGGGGATTAGATCGCTTGAGAAGCCCGTGGCCGTTGCTACGGGACTTTCGCAAGGGCGGGAGGCGGGCGTGAACACGCTGGACCTGGTCGATAGGAGTAGCAGGGCGCGTGTAGGAAGGGGCAGGGCGTGTGGAATGATTCGACTCGTGGTCGTCGAAGAATGAGGGTAGCGATGCATTGTGAGGGCTCTGAGCAGGGGTGCTGGACGTCGAGACCCTGGTGAGCGGACATGTGGACGCCGAGGTGGGAGGGCGGCTGTGTGCACGCTTCGGTGGGGCGGGAGAGTCGTCGAAGAAGGAGCGCAGGACCGGGGAACTTGCACGGCCAGTGCCTGCGTCTGTGTAGGGTGATGGAAGGGGGGGAGGTGTTGCGGGGCGCTTGGTGAAGGGGAAGAAGGAACGCGAAACGCTTTCGGCACGAGAGCGGGGACGGGTGAGATCTACCATGCTCCAGGGAGACAAGGCGCGAGACAGGGTGGGGGAGGGAGAGAGGGGGGCACTGGAAAGGGTGGGGGCTGGAAAGGGAGGAGGGAGAGAGTGGTGGAGGGCGAAGGAGAAGGAGCCCGTGGACGAAGGACGAGGGCAGAGGCGCGAGCGCGGACCTGGCGGAAGACGCGAAGGGCAGTGATTGTGCTCGAGCGAGACCTTGGATCCCTCGGCGGAGAACGAGGCGAGCCGCGCTCCACGCTCAATGCGGCAAGCGGCGAGCTGTCTTCGTCGATTTCTGGGTCGAAGCAGGTGCTGCATTCGAGCGACTCTTCGTCGGAGAGGTAAGAGGAAGCCGAAGGGGGAGAAGCGGGAGAAGCGGGAGTGAAGGGGAGGTGTTGACCGAGTTGAGGAGTGGGTGGGGGGTCCTGAAGATTGAAGGCAGAGCAGAGGAGATCACTGAACTCCTGGACAGAGAAGGGGCAGAGCGAGGGTCTGAAGGGAGCGACATGGGTGTGCGCAAGCGCAGGAGGAGAGGGAGAGCGGGAGATATATGCGGGCCGGGAAAGGGAGGGTGGTGGTGCGAAAGAGAGAGGCGGGGCCGGAGACGGGGCGGACGAGTGTGGGGGCCGCGGGGAGGTGGGATGGCTAGCCGCAGGGGGGCGAGGGCGAGTGCGCCGGTGACAAGGCCTGAGCGAACAGAGCGTCGCTCGACGTCCGCCCAATCAATGTGTGGCACCTGCCGCATGCGGGATACATGAGCGTCGGCGTGACAGTTCGAGAGGTGACTGGCTCACCGCGGTCCTCCGCCTTCTCTTCTCCTCTCTGCTCGCCCGGCCCGCCCGACTCCTCCGGGAATGCGCCGGCCGGTTGGCCCGGGCAGAGTCCCCGCTGCCGGCACGTTGGGAGCGTCGGGGGCGAAGACGGCGCCCACAGCCGACAGTGCACGACCGGATGGCCCGCAAGCCCGCTCGGCGTGCGCCCACCAGCGCACAACGTCCCCGGCGCTGGCGTCCTGCGGTCTTCCGGTTCCCGTCGCGACCCTCCCTCCGGTCCAACCGGGCAGCCATCCTAGTCCCACAGCTATACAGCCATTCAGGCCAAATGGCGTCTTTCCCACCGCCCACCCCCGTGCATTCTTGACATACCGCGGGTAATTCGCCGACCTCAGCAGTCTCGCATGGTCAGAGAATCGCCAGTCGCCCGTCGCCCGTCTTTTTCGCCATCTTGCCCCGACATCAGCCGCAGCAGGTCCATTCAGGCAGCGATCACGATGCTCTTGTCCCGAGATACTGCCTCAAGGGAACGATCTTGGCGCCTTCACCCGAGCAAGAGTGCCAGGGGAGGCAACATGTCTGCCACCGAACTGCACACGGCCGAAGTCCTTGGAGGCCATCGTCGCGTTGTGATCCGCGCGCTGTCCGCAGGCATTGTTGCGCAATGCTATCCAATGAATTCGTCAACTTTTTCTCTGAATCTCGTAAATCCGATATACTCACTGCGGTCATGTCTTGTAAATAGGTCTCTACCAGTCTCAAGGAGCATATCAAGAACCCAGACACTGCCTCTTGCTCTAGGCTGCAACGAGTCGCCCATTGTCAGCACAGATGGCACTCAGCAAGCAGCTGGGCAGGCTTGCGATGTTGGCTCACTACAATTCTACGAGTCGTCGCCCTGGAGCCGGGGGTTGAAAGGTGCGCGCGTTGCGATAGCGTTGGTGAAAAGGTCGAGCGTTTGGGCGTCAGCCGTTTCAGACTTACATCACCGCTTGCGTTGTGTATTCAAGCTCCGCCTGATAGTTGATACCCCAGCCGCATTTGTCAATCGTACTACTTAGTACTAGTACTCGGTACTCAGTATTGCATCTTCACTCCTGACTAGTGACTCGCTCGACACCGTCGACACCTGACTTGCGATGTTGAAATTATGCAGGACGAAGCCTCCTCGGCACCATGGGGTATAGGACAGACCCTGCTCGATGCTCAACAAGTGGAATCCAAACCTCGCCCTTCCCCGTGGCGGCCGCCCACTGCGCGATTACCGCAAACGTATCACTCCAAAATACGCCGCTCGAGGTGCGCGTGTACACGCACCAGCAGAGTCGTTTGCAAAGCCACATATGACTCGACCAAGGATTCTAGCGCCACCAACTCGGTCAAATATTGGCATGGGGTGCAGCTGCTTTGATCCACCCACTCCCATCCCCGGCTCCCATCCGCACAGTACTATGGACGATCTTCGCCTCGTGCACTTCAACACTCCCCAAGCGTTTCTGGAGGCCACCAGGGAGTTCGATGATAGCTTCATGGGCTTTTGCGTCGGCTCCCTCCTCGATTACCTCGCGGAGCATCCAGACGCGGCTGCAGACACGCCCGCCGACGCCGCAAGCTCGAAACCTGTGTACCTCTACGCGATCTACGAGAACGACGACCTCCTGTGAGCGCGCCCCCGACGTCACACCTCCCCTTCCCGCACTGAACGTCTGCCTCTCGCCCCCGTACGTGCACGCACGCAGCGTCGCGCTCACCCGGAACGCGCACGACTTCGCCTGGATGATGTCCGTCCCCACCACCGCGGCCGCGTCCGCGCTCACGGCCCCCGGCGCGCCGCAGCTCGCGCCCGCACTCGCGCTCCTCGCGCGCGCGGTGCACGCCGCGCTCCCGTCCCCCGCGCATTTCGACACGCTCATCGGCCCCGCGCCCGCCGTCGCCGCGCTCGTCGCCGCCTGGGCCGCGCTCGTCCCGGGGAGCCGCGTGCACGCGGGGAAGACGAACCTGGCGTCGCGCGTCGGGTACGCCACGCGTGCGTCGCTCCCGCTCCCGCCGCCGTCCGCGCCGCCGCACGCGTGCGTGGTGAGGCTGGCGGGGACGGAGGAGGACCTGGAGGCGCTCGTGCCGCTGCACGTCGCGTTCCGGCTCGAGTCGGCGTGGCGGCACGTGGTCAGTGCGGAGGAGGCGCGCGCGGCGCTGCGGCCTGCGGTGCGCAGGGGGACGGCGTGGGTGGGCACGGTGGATGGGCGGCCGGTGGGGTACGTGGTGCTCGGGCGCGTGACGGCGAGGACGATTGCGGTGAGGAACGTGTATGTTGCGCCGGAGGCGAGGCGGAGGGGCGTGGCGGGGGCGATGGTCCGCGCGGTGACGCGGTATTACTTGGGCGCGGGCTTGGAGGGCGTCGAGGGCGTCCCGGAGGGCCCACCGGCGGTGGGGTGGAAGCGGGAGGTGAATCTGAACGCGGCGGACCCGGCGGCGGAGAGGGTGTACAGGCGCGCGGGGTTCATGTTTCCAGACCCGGAGGACGAGACGAAGGGAGGAGTCGATCCGGAAACGGGGCGGAAGGCGTGGTACGCGTCGATCTGGCGGGAGGTAGAGCCCAAGGAAAAGTCTGTGGACGAGTCATAGTATTAGATTATACGTGGGGTGTCTAAGTGCGGGAATTAATCGTGATGGTCTATGAAAAATACATATCAAGCATGCTCATGCGTGTCTTTCTCGGCTGCGAGCTCGGCGGCCATTCTTGCCTGTTCCGCCATAGCGTTAGCCTGTTCCGATTCTTCTGTGCGCTTGCGCAGCTCCTCGGGCAACATGACTACGAACAGATTGTCAGCTGCCGCGTCCGCATCAGCATAGACTAACTTGACTCACTAGCTCGGTCGATGGCCACGGGAAGACCACGATGCCTCCCACGAACCATGATGATAATGACCACGAGCTTGGAGAGGGGGCCAAAAGCGCCCGAGAAAGCGAAGTTCTCCGTTGGGATGCCAAGAGTCAAGCCGATTCCACCGAACGCGGACACCAGCTCGAACACTTCGTTCGAACGGGTAAATGGGTGTCGTTAGGAGTGCGGTATACAAGAAAGACGTACCTATCCGGAAGATGTTGAACCACGGTGCGTTGACGTCGTCCATGATCTTGGTGCGCTCAATGATGCAGATGGCAAATATGGCCCAGACGAGCCACCAGATGTCGAAGGCTACTTGACGGCGCAAGTGCCAACCGAAGTACTTGCTGATTCGTTCGCTCCTAGTGGAAGTCTCGTTCAGAGCGGGCTCTTCGTCTTCGTCGGCAGGAGCCTCCTCGAACACGCCCAAGCTTTGCTCTTCGTACCTACGGGAACGGCGTTAGGGTCATGATGAACGATCATAGTGTCAGGCGCTACTGACACATTGGTGGAACGGATACTGAGTGCAACAGGATATACAGCAATGTACATCATGACGACGCATAAGAACCTTGAGTACAGAATAAGATGAACTGTCGCACTGCAGGGCGGGTGAACTTACTGGAAGGAAGGCGCCAGGGCAGAAAGGTTGATAATCGGAAATCCGGACGCGCGAATGGCGAACGACTGGAACAGTCCCGCGACGACACGCGTGCCCACAGAGAGCGATGAGAGAGCATCCAATCCAAGATTAAGAACGATAAAGCAGATCCATTCGACAGCTCTGTTGGTGGTCAGATGCAAGCCAAGATGACGAAGGCGATGACTCACGTGAAGAACACCAAAGTAGCAAGGAGATACCAAGTGACATACGACGGGAAGAGGTACAAGAAGCATCTGCCAAAACTATGAGTTCGACTGCGTGCATGGTATACCAGACCCAACACACCGGCGGGGTGATCTAGAAGAAAATGCAATGCTTGATCTTTGGCTCCACCTTCCTTGACACACCGGGTGTAGATCCAGCTAGTAGACTGTGAGAACGACAGTACAGGTGTGATGAATCAGAGACATACATGGAAAAACGCAAGCTTAAGGAGTCAAGTTACTGTCAACGGACGTATTGCATCTGGGGAAACTCCTCAACTCACAAGACAGGCTAGCGATTGACTTGTTAGACTTCGAGACCGACATTTGACAGGAGATAGGACAGTCACTCACCAATCCGTGATTACCAGCCAAGATCGCAAAGATCAAAGAGACTGCCAGTTATGTGTTATCGGAAGCATTGTTCAGAACTGTGAGAATGAACCGCGCACATATCATCAAATAGGCCTGCTGGAACGGGACCATGCCTCTAAATACTAGTTAGAATACATAGATCCCCCATGAGGACATTGAGACACTCACGTATCTACCAGACTCATACCACCACCTGTGTATGCCCCAACAATTTGGCTGGCTAGACGTTAGCGGAGTACATAAAGCAGTGTTTCCTCTCAAGACAGACTTACAACAACGTGAACCTGCAACACATCAACAAAGGGACATCTCAGTGGGTGGAGGGGAAACTCACCAAGACTTGTTCACAAGCCGAGGCTGGGTATCGAACACACCGTCGTAGGCATGTGAGGTGGACAACCAGGGCGCGATGAGAATAAATGATACTAATTGCGTGCCGATGAAATACTGCGGTGGCTCGTTGAGCAGAACGGTTCTTCGCGTGGTCAGAGTACTCACAAGGATCACGATATAATTCAATAGGCACAGCGCCTGATATCTGACGGAATGTCAACATTCTGTGCCAACAGACAGTTCCGCCGAACACCTACTCAATGCCCCCCAGTTCCTCCAGCTGTTCGTCGCTCAACTCATCAGTGTTGATTTCTGAGTTCCTTCCAATGACCAGCCCTGTTAAGTTGGCACTGATTGCTTGCCAACTGGAGACGTGCTTCTCTTCCGCGTGATGACCCTCGATGAATATCGTCATCTGCCGTTGTACTCCCGGAAGATACCTCTTGACGAAGCGTCTGCCTAAGGTGATGGGTCCGGGGAATCCACCAAGACCTTGATCCTTATGGCGTTGGCCAACGGCCGGGTGTGACAGATCGTAATACGTTGGTGCAATAATCGTGCGTCTGCGTGGGATTGGAACGCCTGAATCGTATGCCAAACCATAAATCATATACCACAACAATATCGTAATGCTCCACTGACCTGGTCGCCTTCGTACAGCACCAGCGCTGAAGGGCTGTACGTTCGCAGCGAAGTGCAGCTGCCTTGCTGGTGGGGACTCCGGGTGCAGCGCCATGGCACCAGACCGGGGAGACGAGGTAAACGAATTCATGTCGGTGATGATTCCGCGTTCTTGACTGTCATCGCCGAGGTCTTCAATGGGAGAGGCGCGCAAAGTAGAGCCAATCTCGACTTGGATGTGCTCGTCGGAGCCGTGCCATGCCTTGGGCGAATCCGGTGGCGCAGCAACCTGCTCAGCGGGCACGTTGAGCGCAATGCCCAAGCCAAGGCCAGTGATAGCCCCTCCAGCCATGGCGGCGCCGATACCGTCGGATGCCTTGATGCCACTGCTACCATGGCTTTTGTGCTTCTCCACACCGCTGCCGCGGTGCTCGGGATCGGTGGCGCGGTGGACGGGCGATTTGCCTGTGAAGCGATCGCGGATGGACTGGAGGACGGTTCGTTTGCGCTCCCTGTCGATGATGTATTGACGGAAGTAGTTGGTGCGGATGAGAACCATAACCCATGCGACCATAGTCTGCAGGTAAACCCAGCACATTGGAGGGCGGAGAAATGCAAGCAGAGAACGATTGAACTTACCACGTTACCAACGAGCATGCATATGAACAGAATGGTTTGCTGCCAGACAGTCAACGTGCTCAGATTGACGGTGGACAACCCTGTCACGGTCATCGCCGAGTAGCACAAGAACATGGAATCTATGAAAGCTGCATTGTACGGCGCAAGGGATGTCAGTACGTCGCGAGGGCAAAATCTGGGCGCAGCGCACTAAATATCTCGTCTGGATTTGCTTCGTACACCATCCACAATGTCCACCTGGCCACTTATACGTGATACGGAGTGAAGGAGGACTCACAGATGTGAAATTTGCCATTGGACGCATAGAAGATGAAGGTGAAGATTAGGGGTGTTATGGTGAAGTAAAGTAGGTGAACTCGGAAGAAGTTGAGCTCCTTCTCAAGCCATTGGTAGAACTGAGACCATTGGTAGTAGATGACGTCCGTGAAGGCCATGCAATGCGCTGCGAGAGGCAATCTGTTGAGGTGTGTCGCTAAAGAGAGTCGGGGGAAGAAGCAGAGAGCGGCCCACACGTGTTGGCTGGCAGCCTTGACCGTTGAACGTTGGAGCCCGTAGGCAAGCGCGTTGCCCGGACGGAGCGGGGAGGCAGCGCCTCGATGTCACGGCGCTGTGATTTACTTTGACTTGTTTTGCTTGAACGAGCAGGTCATTGGAGGCAGGGGGACCCGGGAAGTTTGCGTCAATTTGCATTCCCAAGACATGCGAAGGATGAAACCAATGAGTTATGTACACAAGCATGCAACAGCACTGCTGATCGAAACCAGCTGCCAGTTGAATGCGAACGGACCTGGACTGGTCAGTGGTGCCTGAACACGTCGCCTATGAGTTCACGTGACCGTGTGCCGGGCCGCGGTCAGCGGGGAGTCGGGGACTCCTCCGGTGACGGCGACCTGGACGGCGTTGGTGATCCTGGCGCGCTCATCTTCGCCATTCTTCTCTACGATGCCCATCGTAGCGCCAGCCCTCTGACTATCCCCGGTCGCACACACCTCTTCTCACTCTGCGACTTCATCCGTTTGACCCCCTCCGGCCCCGGCATCTTCCCACATCCGCCGCCGTCCTCCTTAGGCCTATTCCCCGCCGGTTTTCCCAGTCTCCATCCTGTCTTCCTCCCCCACCATACGTGTCATGGCAGGCTCATCCTCGATGGTCGTAGACGAAGCAATTCGTGTCGTGGTCACCCCCTCTCAAGCCTCGTATTTCGCCGGGGAGCCGTTCTCGGTTACCATCACCTTCACTAACACCCGCACACCCGAAGCACCACCCGCTGCACCTCGTTCATCTTCACAGATTCATAGACGTGGCGCCCACTCTATCAGCTCGGTACCTCTTTCTCGACCTCCCACCTCTCCTGGTACTCCCCGAACAGCGGTCCTGTCTTCCCTCTTCCTCGAGATTTCTCTGAAGGTCGCAATAGCGCTGCACGCAAAGGTCTCATCGGACATGGCCTTCCTGCAAAGGTCTTGGATGGTCCTCCATCTGCAGACGTACTCAGGAAGCGGCTGCTGGCGTCCAGGTCATTGTCAGTCTCTCTCCCAGCCAGTGACCTATCTCTGCCGGGTTCCAGCCACACCAACTCACCCACCTCTCCTGCAAACCAAGCTCCGTCTCCATTGAACGGCACTTGTATGTGAATTCTACTCCCTCGTTTGCTATATGCATGCTGAGCAGATATTTCAGCACCTCTCTCTGGACAAGCTTCTCAGCGTATAGCGGCGCCGCTCGCCAGGACACCAACCCTGCCTCCCAATCATCCTCACGCCCGCAAGAACTCCGTTTTGGATGGCCAATTGCAACTGCAAGATCTCCGACCACCCCCATCCATGTCGCCTTTCTCGCCCACTCCCAATCCATCCGTGTCTGCATTCTCTCTTTCCCTGGACCCAATCGAGGAGGCGAGTTCCACCTCTCCTGGTACCCCGAACACACCCTACATCCCCTCACCTGTCGGCAACCATGACATGGCCAACGTGCGAACACATATAGCCTCTGGCCCGTCAGACTCAGTCACGAAACAGTCGAACGGGTACGCATACCCTCCTCGTGATCCGCCACACAGACCGTCCCAGCTTGGCCTTGGACGTGGTCCTCCTCCATCTCCATCCACTGCTTCTCTCCCCAAAGTTCCTCGCACGGCGTTTTCGTCTTCGTTTCCCGCCCTCAATAACGAGCTCATCCTCTACGCATACGCTCAAATATCGGGCTCACTCGTCATCACCCCCCTTCCCGATGCTTCGACTTCTCCCAACGAAGCGCGAAACCTGAACCGGCTGCGTTCCCGGTTACTCAAACGCAAAGCAGTTGGAGGCGGGAGCATGGATATCAGTTCGTCACTGACTGCTCCAGGGTCTCCTGCCACAGGGCCCAGTCGCCGATCGCATGGACGTTCCACCTCGCTATCCGGGACTCTGTTTTCGGTGCTTGCACCTGGCGCGGGGACGCCACCAAGCCAACAACCGTTCGTGCCGGGACACCGCGCAAGAAACCCCTCTATGTTTTCCTTGTTCTCCAATGTTCCACCACCTGCGCCCAGTCGTTCGGTTGGCTCGAGCCTGGCAGCCCCAATGTCTGAAGACGAGGAGGTAGATCCCGATGTGCCTTTACCGACATTGGAGGTGCAACAGTCCATGCTTGCAGTAGATCTCAATCTCGGCCCCGGAGAATCGCGGACGTATACGTACTCTCTTGCACTGCCTAGTAACCTACCGCCGACTTTCCGAGGAAGGGCTCTCAAATTCTCTTATCAATTCATTCTCGGGATCTGTCGCGCCGGCTCAAGTGCTCCCGGAACAAGTCCATCTAGTAGTAGCAGGGTGATGAAAGTGCCGATCCGAGTGTACAATCACGTTGCAGGTGAGTCTTCTTCGCCTTTCGCGCGGACCCTGCCTCAATGCTATGATAGTCGGTCGACCTCCTTTGCCCTACAACCTGCTTTGGCCGGTGCAGTCGCAGCGTAGACCTATGCTCCCGGGAAAGGTTACAGAAGGCAAGAAAGACAAACCGAAGGGAAATGGCTTGCGCGCCATCGTGGCCCCATCGACGAGCATTGGCACGTACGATGACCTCAAGGAGTATGCGCGGAACCTCCTCGCCTCTTTCCCGGATCCCCAGGCAACTGGTGTTCGTATCAAGCTTCCTATCGAGGCCATCCCGCCTTCTCGCAACGGCACTTTGGATCGCGACCTGGACGTCGATCCAAACAACGCAACCGGATGCAGGCAGGCTGTGGAGGTGTTGACTCGTAATCCGAAGAAAGGCATGTCTTTTCTTGGTGCCATGCCACATCTCATACGCTAACGATCCACAGCGTCCTATGATGTCAATAAGGATGGCGTACGAGTGGCTGTTCTTACTTTCCCAAAGAGTGCCTACCGACTCGGGGAAACCATCCTTGGTGTAGTCGAGCTGAACGAGCGTCCAAGTCGCGCTCGCGTGCTCAAGGTACAACATCGACTCATTGCATTCAGTTACCCTGCTAACCGACGCTTCAGCTGTCGGCCATGTTGGAAGCGCACGAATCTCTCCCAAGCAGCATTGCCTCGCCAGCGTTGGCGCGACACATGCGACGTGTCCACGCAGAACATCACTCATGCTTCATGCCGGCAACATTGCGGTCGACGTTCTCCCTGGACATTCCACCTGATGCGACGCCGGCCTTCGAAGCTTCCTTTGACGAGTCATTTGGAGACGGGCTCGGCTCGCTCAACGTCAGGCCCAACAAGCCGAAGTCGGGAGGGCTGGAGTGGAAGGTCCGCTTATGTCTACTGGTCGCGACGGCATCACCTGGAGCACATGAAGGCCCGAAGGCGTACGGACGCGGCACCTTGTTCAAGACGGCACACGAGGGCAGTGGGGCTCTTCATGGAAAGCTGCGCCCACTATCGCGCCGCTGGAGCGCCCAGTCGTCGCGCCATCAGCTGCCTCATCTACGATGCCCGCTGCGAACGGGGAACCGACGGGTGCTATGTCGTGGGTCTCCTACTTGACGTCGTCTCTGCTCGGGCCATCGAATGCAGGCTACCACGACGGCGACGAGGATCTCGACGACCCTGAGGGCGAGGTACCAGACGACATGGGGTCGGAGGAAGCCTGGCGAGACCTGAAAGTGGAGATGGTCGAATGCGAGGTGCCGGTGAAGGTGTGGCCAGCAAACACGGCGTTCAAGGCGACCGAGGTCGTGTTCGACGTCTAGCAGCAAGAGGAGAACCGAGCATCAGCGCCGTGGAATATATGACAGGCGTAGTATGCAGAGGTGAGTTTGAACGTGTGCTAAAATGGGTCAACATTGCATTTACTCCCGATCCCAGCGCCACCCCCGCACCCGTTGTGGCAAAGGCTGTGGAGAACCCGCGACATCTGGCTGCCTCGTCCAATCGATCGTGTGCGCGCAAGAGCGTGCACAGTGGAGGGGTTGGCGAGCACAGCGCAGCGCCGTGAACGACGACGCCCTGAGAAACGTGTCCACAGTGCTGGGAGACACGGCCCCGATCGAGGCGTGCCCAGAAGAGGCTACGCGGTGGCTACGGGCCCTGGGCGGGCGCGACGGTGTGACGCAGATTGCATGGACGGCGGGCGGGGGAGGCTTCTCGGCTTCGCTATGGATGCGAGCCCACGACGGTGACGGCATGGGTTGGGCTGGGAAGGATGATGAGTAGGGGAGAGTAAGATAGAGAGCGATAGGCTGGGTAAAGGCTAATGGAGAAGGGTGTGAGCGGCCGTGGCGCGTGGGCGGACCATTGAACATGGGACAGGACATGAATGATATGGGCGTGGTCATATGCGACGCGGGTCGCGTCAGGTGCAGGGAGAGAAGGTGCGAAGAGCTGGAGACTTGACGGGGGCTGATGGCGAGGGTGGCCGAGGGAGTGCGCAGGCTGGGCGGAGGCTGGGGACGACGAGGTCGTTGATCGGCTGAATAGACTACGGTCGGCGGCATAGGCCTTGTGACCTCCGCCTGCCTGTTGGGGACAGGGGTGACCGAGCCACCGTTTCGCGCGCCGTCATGTGGGCTCGCAGCCATCGTCCCGACCGCGCCTTCACTGTCCTCCTCTCTCTTCCCCTCCGACATAGACGTCTGGTGAGTCCTCTGCCCGCTCCCGCTCGCCGCCGCCGCCGACCAACCAACCGCCCCTGCCGCCGCCCCGCCAGCTACCCCGCACCATCTCAGCTAGACCCGCTGTCGGAACCCGTAGAGTCCACGCGTGTACAACATCCAAACTCACGACCCCCGTACGTCCGCTGCCCGTCCATCGCCATCGCGCTCCCGCTGAACTCGCCCCGCAGACTAACGACCCTAGAGGCAGAACGAGCGTGTACGCTATAGTCATCTAGATCCAACCCATCCACGTCCCTACCCCACCCCCAACCACACTCAGCTCCTCACCGCACACGACTTCAAACTGGCGACCGTCCAAAACTACCAACACCTCCGCAACCTCGGCTTGCCGTCTGTGAACATTATGCAGTCCGCCGACCAGGGCCACATGCAGCACGCGTCCGACGGCGTCGACCGCCAGAACCGCTTCCTCTCGACTGGTTCCGAGACCCCCAACGGCCTCAGCCTCCGCGAACGCGCCGCCTCCCAGCCGCCCCGCACCCAAAACTTCGTCGCACCCCCGCCCCAGGTCGTGCGCAACAACTCCGGTGGTGGCAGCGCGGCCCCGTCTGCGTCCTGGGGCCGCTTCGCCGCCAACCTGAATCCCCTCCCCCAATCCGTTCCCACGCGCAGTGCTTCCTTTTCCTCCAGCCCGCTCAGTGCTCACTCGCCCTTCTCGTCCGCCATGCGCGACTCCCGCTTCGCCTCCACTTTCGAGGACGACGAGTCCGAGGCGCTCAGCGACGTCCAAGATCCGTACGACCTCTACGACGAGCGCTTCCCCCGGAGTAGCATTGCCCTCAGGGGACGGTCCTACGCGGCCGACCTCACTCGCAGCCGCTCTCAGTCGCTCGCTACCTCAAGGCCCGGTGCGATCGGCAGCGGTTTCCCTGGACAGGTCTACGGGCAGCAGTGGGAGGGTTCCTCGCCTCAGAGCATTCCCTCGCGATATGACTTCAAGACTCCGACGAGCGGCAGCCGGTATGGATCCCTCGGCGCCCTCGGTCGCTCCCCGTCCAACGGATACGGCCAGGGCTCGATCGCCGACCCTTCGAACATGAGTCCCTTTGTTCGGGACGTGGGCCAGATTCTCCTGGATGACGGATCCGCCTTCCGGGAGCTGTGGTCGGGCATGAACCCGCCGCGGGACGAGAACGGAGGAGGAGGGAGCGGGACCACCAGCCGACGGCACAGCGTGAGCGTCGTTCAGCCGAGGCGTCCCATCGTCGGTTTCAATGCGCCTAACGCCGACATGCAAGACGACGGCCACGCGGGGTCCTTCGCGCACCAAGCGTCGTTCGGCGGGGGAAGCGGCGGAGGATTGCTCTTGACGGACGACGACCTGCCAGCGACCTCGGGTTGATGAGCATGAACGACGCCCGTTCGGTGACGTCCATTCAGCCTCCTTCTCAGCCGTCTTCTCTCCCCATCTACGCACCTTTGTCTCGTAGCCCTCCCACTTCCGACCGTGTCTCCCCTTACCAACCCCTCCACCTGAACATCCCTGGAGGCGGCGGAAGCTCTTTCTCTCGCCAGTCGATAGTAGGCTCTCCTAGCGACAGCGGGTTATCGGGCGAGAGTCCGTCGCGCCATCCTTGAGAACATCATGCAAGAAGGTGCCATAGGGCGAGAACAGTCTCGACCTCGAGGCCTCATGGCGCGTTACGTCCCCGGTATTGGCATCCAACAAATCCACGAGACTGGCGTTATGCAGTCCCCTCTGTCGTCGGCTGCCCTTCGTAGCCCTGCCCACTACGGTGCTCAGCAGCCTATGCCCCGGCGCACCTCCGACGCGTCCAAGACTCTTATGGAGCTCGGGAAAGGTGTACCTCTGCACGCTGTACCTACGTCATGGCCGCTCTTCATCGTCGAATTCAAAGCACACCGGACGGACCTCTTCTACTGCACCGACCTCTCGCAGGATATCCGCGTCGGCGACCTCGTCATTGTGGAGGCGGATCGCGGAAGGATTCGGCAAGGTATCAACGACACCATTACTCTCGTCGAGATCGAGGCGTTCAGAAGCAGCAGAAGCTCATGAACATGGGCCACACGGAATGCATGGCGTTCCGACCAGTCCGACGACAGCGACTGCTGGCGGAGGTGCGAAGGATATTAACCCGAAGATGATGTATGGAAAGGCGCAGCACCGGGACATTCAGTGCGTCTTTGCTTTCGTTCCGTATCCCATTGTGCTAATGCTAGCCTCCAGGAGCCTCGCCGCGAAGGCGCAAGATGAGATGAAGGCACTCGAGCTGTGCCGGACGAAGGTTCGACAAAGGAAGCTCCCTATGGAGGTGGTCGATGCTGAGTATCAGTGGTATGAAGCCGTCTTTATATCTACGTCCATACACTGACACCTCTCTCAGGGACCGTCGTAAATTAACATTCTATTTTGTCGCCGAGAAGAGGATTGATTTCCGAGAGCTCGTTCGTGAACTCTTCCGGTAAGCCTCACAATGTCAATACGTTATGTGCGTCTACTTAGACGAGCCCCCAGTCTGTACAAGACGCGAATTTGGATGGCCGCTCTTCCTCACTCCCTTGGCAGTCTGGAACAATGATTTTTGTTCACGCAATTGCCAATCTCGTCTCTCCCCTCGGCTCTCGAAGTCTATCCACGCAAGAAGTCGTGTACGTTATTGCCTCGCCCAGAAGCTAACTTAACCTCCGCCGTCGTCATCGGACTTCCGTTGTTCTAAGCTATGCCCTCGCATGCCGCACACCGTATCTCATGTCTCATCTGTCGTGCCCTGTCCTTATTGTACCAACAGCATGGCCTGTTTCTTCCTTCGTACTCCGCTCGCGGTGTAGTCGCACGGACGGACTCCTGGAATTGGATCGCGTCTCCTCCCGCGATTAACCCCCAAGGACATGGCGCTGCCGCCGTGGCCGGGTATTGGATACCCCCGGCAGCCGTCCTGCACGAAGTAAATGTATCATTACTTGTAGTCTAGTCGCGTACATATGTCTACCGTCTGTGTACCAGAATATGGAATACGGAATTGTTCATATCCCAACATAAGAGTGGTACTCGACTCTCGGCGCCGCTTAAGCCCCTCATGACCATTGTCGCAAAAATTATGCTTTCACGCCCTGGGATGACACCCAGACCTTCGGTGCTGGAGTACTACTTACTGAGGTATGTCAAGCGCCATGTAACAAGGCCAAATACCACACCCCACATGCGTTCCAGGAAAGACGCTCAGAGCTTAGCTCACATCTGGGCCTGCTCCAGGACTATACCATCCCATCCTCATCCCATCTGTCACAATCATGGAAGTCGGGAATCAACACCTCGCCAAACTGGAGCAGTATCTGCTCATGTCCAAGGCCGCTAAAGGCGCTGCGGCCGCGAAACTCATCCAGGACGCCACTTCTGCCCCTGGGGTGTTTGTGTTTGCCGAACTCCTCGAGCAACCAAACATTCAAGAGGTGTGCATTATGCGCCGTACAGAGCCGGACGTGGCTATCTCACTCTTTGATTGTAGCTAGAAGCACATGAACAACACTCCCGCTCCTTCTCCCTCCTCCAACTGTTCTCCTACAGGACCTATACTGACTACATCCGTTAAGTGCACGCTAAATGCACCAGCTCATCATGCTCATGGTTCACCACAGAAAACAAGGACGCTCTTCCACCCCTCAACGATGCTCAGATCACCAAGCTGAAGCAACTCACGCTTGTCTCCTTGGCGCAGGACACTCGCGTGCGTACCCCCAACTTCCTCTCCTCGCCACTTTATCCAACTCGCGTTTGTGTAGATCCTGCCATATGACCAGCTGCTCAAAGTGCTCGAGATGCCGACGATCCGCGACCTCGAGGACCTCATCATCGAAGCGATCTATCTCGACATCGTCCGCGGCAAGCTCGACCAGCGCGAGCGGCAGTTCGAGGTCGAGTACACCATGGGACGCGATCTGGAGCCCGGGAAGCTGGAGCAGCTGCTCGTCTCCCTGCAGAACTGGTGAGTCCGTGTGCTCGCTCGAGTGCGTTTGCGTTTGCGAGCGCCGCGCCCCTTCCTCAGGGCAACGACGACCTTCGCGGTCCTCGCCACTCTCGACGAGAAGCTGCTCGAGCTCTCTTCCCGGACGGCGACGGCGAAGACGGACAAGGAGGCGTACGAGAAGAAGCTCCAGGCGACGCTCAAGGAGGTCGTGGACAAGCAGAAGGCGACCCGGACGGTGGTGAAGAAGGGTCCGGAAACCGCCCCGCAGGTCACTGCGGCAGGCCTGGCGTTCATGGAGCAGGAGAAGCAGCGGCAGGCTGCGAAGGAGCGGGAGCAGCAGCGGGAGAAAGCGCGAGAGAAAGACCAGCAGGAGGAGGAGGACAAGGACAAGGACAGCATGGACGTGGACGAGCCCGCGGATGGAGGCAAGGGGAAGAAGTAAGTACGTGCAGTCGTATGCTACCTGTGACGAGGCTGACCTTTGGCATCTCGCAGACCCGCGGGGGACAGGCAGCGGCTGAAGAGGACTCGCCCCTGATCGTATTCCTTCGTCCTCCACCCCAGCACGTTTGTCCAACACTGCATGCGCTCACGTTGTCTGTAAGATAGAGAAATCGCAATGTTCACTAGTTGCAAGTCTTCGCCCGCTGCAAGCATTTGATTGACTTATCGTTTCAAGTTGTGCTTTCGGTGACCGCCAAGACATCCTGGATCGTCCCTCTGATAACAAATGCTCTCCGAGCACCTTGCCTCTGCATTCACTCACGTTATTTATATAGCTGTTGGTCAAGGTGCATATGGCCGTGAGACGTTACGTCCCCAATTGCGCCTCAGAAGCGTCGCCCCACTTCGCCGCCGTATGGGCCCCGGGCAGGTGAGTCGTTCGTGTGGATCATCGAAGCGGAATGCTCACAGTGTCATCCGATGCGGATGTTGTTGACCCTCGGTCCACTATATCTAGCTCTTCTCTGCCGTATAGACGGCCCGGCACAATTGCATCGTTCAACCTGGCTAGGTCCGGCTCGCCGTTCACCTCTATCTAAGGTACTCCCGTGATCGCTGTATCGCTGAGCTCCGCGTGGAGATTTTTCAGTGCTCCCGTAACTGCGGAACTCCGACTCCCTTGAGCTCGCTGCTCGAGGATAAAAGGTCTTCGACACAGTGAAACGATTGCTCCACGTCTTCACGATGCCGCCTTCCATCAGGATGCTCCTCGGTCTCTTGCTGGTCTACGCAATTACTGTATGCACGGCGCGCTTCTCGGGAAGCGCCATGGAGGGTATGGACGAGGCAGAAGAGATTCAACGCGAGCAACTCGAACGTCTCCGAGACTTCCTGGGCCCTCAAGTGGAGGCGACGGGGGCAGCGATGGCCAAGCGAGACTCTCCGATCACCTTTGCCAACCCTAAAGCGGCCGAGTTCTTCGTCGACGGAACGAAGATTCCGGACGGTGGGCGGTTTCATGAACTCTCGAGAGTTGATTGCTCACCAGCACCTGTAGTGAACTTCGACGCTGGCCCGTCGTGGTCAGGTCTTATGCCGATCTCAGGAGCAGCCAACGAAACTCGCAAGCTTTTCTTCTGGTGAGCAGTGAGCAGCCCGCTGCCGTTTGGTACAGTACTCAACACCCCAAGCAGGTTCTGGCCCACCAACAATGCTTCGAATGCAAACGATCTTCTCTTCTGGACCAACGGTAATTTTTCGCTGTCGTCTGCGAGTTCATGCATTGACTCAGACATTCACAGGTGGACCTGGCTGTTCGTCTCTGGAAGGGTTCTTGCAGGAGAATGGCCCCATCTGTAGGCATCGTCCGTTCAAGGGAAGAGATTTGTGCTCATGCATGATCGCTTGTGATAGCGTGGTCCTGGGGACAAGCGGAACCTACTCCGTAAGTGTTGTTGACCTCGGTCTTGATGTTTCCAACACATGCTGTGATCACAGGAATCCTTTCAGCTGGACGAATCTCGCCAACGTCCTTTGGGTCGAGCAACCTGTCGGCGTGCGTAGTATCTTTGATTGTTACCGTCGGAAATTGACCGTGACGACTGCAGACCGGCTTCTCGCAAGGTCGGCCCGATATCAGTAACGACGACGAACTCGCCGCAGAGGTCGCAGGGTTCATGGAACAATTCCTCGAAGTGTTTAGCGAGCTGAAAGGGAGCAACTTCTGGGTCAGCGGCGAGAGCGTGAGTTTGCCTTTGTCACATCCCCGGTCATCTACTTATCCTGGCTCACCCTTTGCCCAGTACGCAGGCTTCTGTAAGCAAACCGTTCAAAATCCCGCTATACGCAACTAAACAGTGTTGACAGACGTCCCTTACATCGCCAACTTCCTTTACGAAAACCCGAATCCCGATCTCAACCTCAAAGGAATCTGGATCGCCGATCCATCGCTTACTTGGGGACTCGTGCAACAGGAAATACCAGCGCTTCGCTTTGCACAGGTACGCGGCGCAACTTACAATCCAAACGTTTACACTCGATGACCATTGCTACCATATCTTAGGCGAACAAGAACGTCTTCCCCTTCAACTCGACCTTCTGGGCTCAGCTTCAGAACATCTCTGACACTTGCGGCTACACCGACTACCTCGACCAGGTCACATACCCTCCGACAGGGCTCCTCCCGTTGCCTGCAGGTGCAACGTTCAACAACGTAACACGCGCCGTTGGGGTCCGGAGCGATTGTCGGATGCACAGTCCCATTCAGCGGCTGTTGGAGTGTAAGCACTCTTGCACTTGATGCTTCTGAGAGATGTGTTCAAGCTAACGAATGGCTTGTCTCAGCATCAATCCGGTCTTCGACGTGTACCGAGTCACGGATACGTTCCCCAACCTCTGTAAGTGGTGATCACTCCGGTAGAGTTTTCTGGAACGCTCACTGCGATCACAGGGAGCGTACTGGGTTTCCCAAGGTCGACCCAAGAGTTCGTTTATTTCAACCGGACAGATGTATGTGATATTTCTGGTGCGGATCACGTCAGAACTGAAGACGTCTTCAGGTTCAAGACGCCATCCACGCTCCTCACATTTCTTGGGAAACCTGCGGCGGCCCTGTGTACATCAACCCGGCTACCGGTGGCTCGGGAAATGATCAGAGTGTCGCGTCGACTCTCAGCGTGTTGCCAAATGTCATCGAGAAGAGCGAACGCGTCGCGATCGTTCATGGGCTCGCTGTGGGTTACCTTTCGAGTCCCTCTCAATGCACGCCGCTTATGAATGGTCGGTTTAGGACTTCATATTGGTTGCTGAAGGCACACGCATCGCGATCCAGTGCGTCCATGACCTCATTATCTTCCGGGAGGTAACTTGAACAAGGGGTCTTCAGAAACATGACCTGGAATGGCTTGCAAGGCTTCCAGACGCCCATTGAAGATGAAAACTTCCTCGTCGACAACATGGGCATCTTCGGCAACATGCACCAAGAACGCGGTCTCACATGTGAGCAGTGTCTATGATGGCTAAAGCTACACCGGTGCTCAGAATGCTCGGGGTTCAGATGTCGAGTTCTTCTACAGCGGACATATGACGCCACGTAAGTCTGAATGGTACCCTGGCATCGGCGTGCCGCTGACAAATATTTTTACCTGAGCAGAGTTTGTCCCGTGGGCGGCGTACCAGACGATTGCGTATGTCCTGGGCAAACGGGATTCTCCCTCGGCATGAATGCCCGGGGAGAAGGTGAAGAAAACCGTCGCTGGTTTGTGTCAGCTTGTCGACGTCTTATGACCAGCAAAGATCATGAGGCTTCCGTGGCTCCTTGGTGGTGACCCTGTGGGATTGTTAGGGAGCCGAAGTGCGAGGAGCGGAAGGGAGTTGGGATGAGGTGCCGAGGGGGTGTTGCGCAGCTCTGCTCTGCCTGTGATGGCGTTCGGTTCGTTCTCCTTAGCCCCTTTGCGGACATCGCACACAGATGCGGGATGAAGTTGTGCCGACTGCGTTGAGGACGGGCGGCGGGCGGCGAGCCCGAAAAGGGTGCGGTGAGGACATGCTGCGGCTGGAGGCGCCGGGGCCGGGCAGCGCGGGAGTGTGCCGCGGTACCTGCGCCGCTTGACCCACGCACTGCGGAAGTCTTCGCCTGCTCGATACCCGCCCCGCAGAATGCGCCTCCCGCGTTTTAGCCCGCGCGCGGATGCGGATGCTTCCCTGCTCCGCCCTGTCGAGCCTGGAGCTTCCGCCCTCGGCGTCACCGCTTTCCCCGCGCTGCCCGCAGCCCCTGTCTCCTTGTACTCCTCCTCTTAAAGCTCGTGCGCTCTCGACCGGGTTTTTCCCTGGCCACCCTACCGCATCCGTACGTACCAGGATATTTCTCTCTGGGACCTCCAGGGTTAATCGACGCCTTTCCAGATGGCTCTAATTACCCCCGTCCCGACTGCGTCTTACAGCACATCAACCAGCCCTCTGTGCCAAGAAGTTGCTTCGCTGCTCTCGCATCTCAGACACAGCGAGCGGCCTCCGATTCCGTAAGACATCCTCATATTCGAACATCGTTTTTCAGAATTGACCTCTCATGTTGCCTGCAGGGTCTGTGAAGTGGGTGAACACGCCATACGATCCACCTCTGTCTGACTCCCGACACAGTTACAGGAGCTTATCACACTGTCTACCGAAATGCTCGCAACCTCAAGGTCTCTTCGGAACGCCTACGCACCTATCAACCGAGTCCCCAACGAGATTCTTGTTCTCATCTTCGAGAACATCCCGGTTCCTAAATTCTATACCGAGTGGCTCGATTCCCCATCTGTCTCAACCAAGGACCTCATCCCCATCACCCACGTCTGCCGTCGTTGGCGAGATGTCGCTCTATCCGCGCACTTTCTATGGTCCAGCATCCATGACATGCCCGTGACGCAGAACGCGGACTTTCTCCGACGGTCTGGAGCGTCGCTGTTGAATTGTCACATGTTCATGTCCGGTCGCACGGGTAACTTTTCCATGAACCTCTTTAGAGACCATCACACTCGAATCCGCAAGCTCCAGGCAGCTCCCAGCAGTCGTACAGACTCTCAGGCGTTTATTAGCACCCTTCTCCGACTACCCATGCCTGCATTGGAGCACGCAACAATTGGGACTTACCACGGCGTCACCGTAGATCAACATGAGGCTGCACTTTCACTGGGGTCGCTCCATCATTCATTCCTCCTTTTCAATGGCGAGGCTCCTCGTCTACGCAAGCTTGCTCTTCACCACCTGGGGGTCATCCCAAGCAACAACTTCGACGTCCTGACGCACCTCTCGTTCTCTCCCGGGTATTTCATAAAGCCCTCCGAACTCGTTGCGTTCCTGGCCCGCTGTCCACGTCTCCATCACCTTATCCTCTCCAGTCTACACTTCGACACCAATACGTATGGATGCGATCGGAAAGCGAATCTACCTCACCTCCGCACATTGGCCATCCGCACCACTTACCACCTACGCGACGCCGACCGCGTGCTCTCCTTCATCAACTTCCCTCCATCGGTCGGCATCATGATCACCAACGCCTACATGAAGAAGGGCATCGAGAAGCTTGGGGCACTCCACCCGCCCGCCCTCACCCCGTACAAGAGAGCGCACTTCGAGTTCAGCAACGGCCAGCTCTCCGCCGTCGTCGCCGGCGACCACACCGCGATCAAGGTGGACAGCATCGCGTTCACCACCCCCACCTTCATCGAGCGCATCGCGCACACCACCCACTGGTTCCAGGCGCCGAGCATCACCGAGCTCTGGCTCCGCGCCGAGGCGGGCCCGCGCGCCGCGTGGCTCTTCGCGCTCGCCGGCGCGTTCCCCGCCGCCACCGCCCTCGTCCTCCGCGTCGACAAGCACACGCTCGAGGACGAGCCGTTCAGCGGCGAGGCGCTCCGCGCGGACGCGGCCGCGCAGCGGGTGCCGACGCCCGTCGCGGTGCTCGGAGAGCGCCTCGCGCACGTCCGGCTGTGCCTCTGGTACGGGCGCGTCCCCGGGTGGGTGCTCGCGGCGCTCGCGGCGCGCACGGAGCGCACGGGGAAGCGGCTCCAGCGGCTCGTGGTCGAGATCCCTGAGGCGCGCGCGCAGGGGTTCGACGTGGACGAGCTCAGGGTGCACGCGGAGGAGGTCGAGGTGAGGCGCACGAGCGGGTGCGCGTGGATGGAGGTCCCCGAGGTGTTCGTGCTGCGGCCGCACCACCGCTGGCTGGAGTGGCCGGAGAGGCAGCGGTGGGCGCCGATCCCGAAGTTCACGCAGACCCAACGGCCGCGCACACCAGTCAGTAGTGTGCTCGCTGCGCGCAGGGCCGGGGCGGTGACGGACATTGGGTGAGTGAGCTGTGCTCTGTTTGGGATGTCCTGTGTGGTTCATGAGCTGATGGTTGGCTTTTAGGAGCTTTCATCTTTTTCAACTCGCGACTCTCGGTGTACCCACCATCGTGACTGAGTATATTTAGAGGCAACCATAGTACATGTCGTCGAAGCTGCGTGTATCTGGGATCCCCGTCACTACTATAGTTGTACATATCTCGTCAGCCTTGCACAGCATCCATCTCCTCTAAAATGCATCGCTATTGTTTGCTTCACGCGTACACGACGGTAGTGGTCTCAAGGCCGTACTCCGTATGCCCGTCGGGCTGCGGAAGCACAGGTTAGCACGCCAGGCGAGTCTACGGCGGTGCGACTGCGTAGCACTTACCGGACAGCCCCCGAAGGTCTCGACGACCGAGAAGAAGAGCGTAGTGCCGTCCGCGACGGAGTCGAGCTCGGGCATCTGAAGCGAGCTAGGCGGGGGCGGTGGGTTGGTCATTGCCGGAAGCCCTGGACGCGCAGCGCAGCGAGGTCAGTGTCTGCGCGCGCAACGAACCGCGCCGGCCCTCTCAGTCCGTGGCGGGAAGCGGAGGTCGGTGCTCACCGAAGTTGGGGATGAGCCAGTCCCCGAACTTGAAGATGAAGCTGCCCGCGACGAGCTCGCCCCCAGAGATGTCCGCGGAGGTGGGCGCGGAGTCGCTCAGGTAGACAGAGATGTGGGAGTATCCCGAGTGGCAGATGTTGGCGTTCTCGTAGTCGAACGGGAAGCTGGTGTCGGGGTCGATCGTTTCGCCGTTGGTGGGCTCGACGGTGGTACCTGACGCCGCAGAGAGCGCGGCGAGGCTGAGCAGTGAGAGGGCACCAGTGGAAAAACGCATGGTGGACTGAGGATGCGGGAGTTGAGAGCTTCAGGCGTCCTTATATGCGCAGACGAAGCGGTCGTTGTAGCGCTGTACGAGAGTCATCCATTGTTTTTACGGCTGGCAGGCACAGGCATAATGTGTCAAATGAGGACAGGTACAGCGTTTGAACGGGGTAAGAACGGAGACGCAACCAAGAATACGTCCGACCGGCTTGGCCTGCATTTCATAACGTCTGTTGTGACGAGGCAAGATCGTCGACTGTGAGAGAGTACACTGGGTAAGGGGGTTTCGTGACATGTGGAGCAGAGCGTTAGTGTCAGGAACATGTCGTACCCGGACAGCAGGATGAGAGCTGAAGCCGCTCGTCGCTTGCGATCCCGTCGGACAGATCGTTGTTTGTGCGCCGAAGTTTTGAAATAAGACACTTGATGTACTAACGGCATTGTTCGCCGGGCTAGACCGTCCATAGCAGGATGGACGGATCCCCCGACGTGAGGCGCTGCCTACGTACTGTGCGGGGTTTGCGTGGAGGGTACCCGGGTGATTAAGCCGTCAAGTGAATTGGCCTTGGGTCACAGAAGACACACGTACAAAGTCAAATCCTTGCATGTCAGGAAGCAAGGCATCGGATTCGGATAGCTGGAACACAAGCAGCACTGGTACTAATTGTCATCAGGCAAGGTGAGCGATATCATGATTATCATCCAATGAACAAGGAAGCAGCCTACCAAGATGTGGGAAATGGTGCCTTCATACTTTAAACGAATACTGACCACCGCGAGAAAGATACACCACCCTATCTTCCAGACCAGCGTGCATTACTTTATGTTGGAAATCCTAGTAATGCATGTTTCAGTGAAACCTGTGAACTGATACTCAGGGGACTACCTCGAGCGGGCTTCTGAACGCATCGTAGTCGTCATAGTGTATGGGAATGGTGACGTCCGGTTTGACCATATTCATAAGTGCAATACCTTCGCAATGGAAGAAAGAGTGAAAATCGGCCCTCGGCGACGAGTAGCAGAACAAACCTCTGTTAGCATCCATAGTGGTTGTGAGCAGGGGCAACTTAGGGTCAGGGAGACTTGTGCCACCTGTCGGGAAAATGAATAAAGAGAGTCGTGACTGAGATCGCCGCGACTGACCGAGGTAGAGCAGCATGAGGTCGATATGAGGATACTTGTCTGGAATATCATGAAGATCTTCATACATGATGGTTCCACCGGTGATGTAGATCCGGTACGGGGGGTCTCCTTTCAACTCGAGCATCCATCCATTCGTCGGCGGCAATACATGCAAGACGTTGTTGATGATCTCCCGAACACCTGGACGAACGTGCTTCGCGGGCATGGCCGTGATGTCCAGGGCGGCTTCGCCGGCGGTGATGTTCGCGGTCTGCCAGGTCGCAAGAGCAGTCACTGCGGTGTAGGGATCATGTTTGTACTGGGACGTAGTGAGGTGCCGTTCTGCGTGGCTGTTGGTGATGATGGGAATGTGTCGTCGAAGTCGGTCTTCGACTAGCTTGTCGAAGTGGTCTTCATGGTAGTGGGAGAGGAGAATGAAGTGGACGGGAGGTACTTGATTGAGGGGGAGAGATGGGTTCGTGAGACGCTTTGACTTGACCCCAGGTATAAGGTGGACGGTATCTGGAGATTCTCTGGTTCAGTGTTCAAGCGAGAGGGTGGATCGGGTGTTGGACTTGCCTGCTGCGTTGAGGAAATTCGGATCTGTCATAAGCCGCAGTCCTCGCCACTCGATCAAGGTTGTCGCGGTCCCAACGAAGGTGAGGAGTGCGTTCTCCCCGCCAGGATGCGTCGGATGAACCTTGAGTTCGTGTGGAAGCGGGATGGGGGCGACCTGCTGGGTCTGTGCATATTCGAGCTTCACGGGCGGTCGCGGGTCGGAGGTGTCGAGGACCAAGCGTACGGGAGGCTGGCTTGCGGGTGCTGGCATGGTTCAAGTCTGGAGAGAGCAGGAGGAGAGCACCGCGGCGGGCACCATGAGCGGCGGGGCGGTGACGTCACCTGCGAATCACGGCCACGTGCCGGGAGGACCCCACCCGCCCAAGGTTGCGGTGGCTGTCTACCAATCGTAGACCCGTCGCAGAGCGATGGAAAAGACAGCAGACGAGCTTTCCGCATACCTCGTCGGACGGCTCAAGGAGTAAGATCCTCGCGTTTACTGCGTCAACCTCTCTCACCGTGCGCGCCACCCCACAGCACCCCTCCTGATGGCAGATTGCTTGTAGGCATCGCCGGCGTCCCCGCCTCGGGCAAGTCCACCCTCTCCCAGCTCGTCGTCGACCGGGTCAATGCCCAGACGCGATCTGCTGTGGATAACGTGGCCGCGGTACACGATCCCTCTTCCCAGCCCATCGCAGTGTACATTGGTCTGGATGGCTGGCACCTCTCCCGTGCCCAGCTCGACGCATTCCCCGATCCCAAACTAGCCCATGATCGCAGAGGCGCGCACTGGACGTTCGACGGAGAGGGCTACGTTACCTTCGTTCGCGCTCTTCGCCAACCACTGGCTCCCTCAGCCACTGTCTACGCCCCATCCTTCTCCCATGAAAACAAGGATCCAGTGTACGATCACTTACCGGTCCATCCTCATCATCGACTCGTCCTCATCGAAGGCTTGTATACCTTCCTCGCCATCAAACCATGGTCTGCCGCATCGGAGATGCTTGACGAGCGGTGGTGGGTCCAAGTGACGGAGGAGGAGGCAGAGAATCGACTGGTCACACGGCATGTCAGAACCGGGGTCGCGAAGGACATGGACGAGGCTATATGGCGGTCAAGAGAGAATGACGCACCGAGTGAGCGTCCATCCCTCTTCGCTCGGAATGCGATGCTTATACAACTCGTCTAGACGGTCGGTTCATACAGGAGAACATGATGCAACCCACCAGAGTCATCCAAAGCATCAACGATCCATCCGTTGCTGTAGCTTAGTCATACCCTCATCGCAGTCGACAAGGACATGCTATGATCATATCCGAGCCTGGCAGCCGCGATCGAGAGAGGTTGTTGAGAGGCTTCAGCAGCATACACTTCATCACTCCAAGGTTGGGATATGGATACAGGGAAGAACGAGACCTGTTGTACATCGACAAGACGATAGAGGCACTTCAGTCCACTTTGCGTTCGGCAGTGACTATCACAGGACGTTAGCTCTCGATACGCGAGACATACAAGTTCAGACTGACCCCATGGCCTTCTGTCCATCGGACATTGCTGTTTGGACGACGCGGTGCCAATCCACTGGAGTAAGCAATGCATGTGGAAGACATGGGTGCACTCGCCCCAAACTAAACCAAGAGCACCATTGAGCATGGATATGGCGCGTTGCGTAGGTGGTAGGAAGGCGTACTCAACGGACAATCATCTCCCGGCATCTTGCACGTTGGGCAGCAGCCCTCGAAGGGAACGCGGCAAATACCACAGACGTCCCCCTCACCGTCCTCATCGGGATCGTTGTTGCCGGTGTCCCAGCGCCACTGAGCAATGGCGTGCCATTTCTTGATGGTGATCTTCATAAGTCGTGCAGGGCCGGCAAGAGGAGAAAGCAATGGGATGTCAAGTGGAGGAAGGAGTGGTTTGGGCCAAGGGGCGAGGGCGTTATTTGCGTGTGACGGTGTACTAATCGTACGCGTTCGACGCGTCTTTAGATCACGCACCCGCGAGTTCCAGACTCCAATCATCCTGTAGGCCCGCACCTCTATTCTCTCCTCCCACCGTTCACTACCTCTTGGACCGAGGCTGTGGACCCTCCACGTTTCATGGCCTGTACCCGTCTCCTCCCACATCGCCGCCATGAGTTTCATTGTCATCACGTGGCCGCTCCTGTACCTCCGGATCCGGCCGTCCTGCCGAGGACTCCAGGCCACACTGCTTAAGCCTCAAGGTGGATCCAACCACCCTCCGGACACCTACTCGACTGCGCAGCTGCCCTTCCGTCCTCACCTCCATCTCTCATCTCAGCCGACTTTCATTCCGTCCACTTCCGCTCTCCTGACGTGCTGATCTGCATCTCGGCTTGACTTCAACTAGCGCCCTTTGCGTTTATACTCTCCACCGCGTACTCTCCGCCACCCGCTCGTATCCCCGTCTCCCTCGTTTATGGCCAGCTCAAGCAGAGGCCAAGTGATCAAGCGTGCCGATCCGTCCACCATCCATGACAAGTTCCTAGTCGGCTACCAGGGCTGGTTCACCTGCCATGGGGATGGAGAGCCCGTCGGTCCTGGCCACCATGGTTGGCTTCACTGGTTCACATACCCGGTTCCAGACGGCGGCCGCCCTAATACAGACCTTTGGCCGGACGTCTCGGACTACACTCCCTCTGAGCTCTTCCCGGCCCCAGGCCTCAAGTGCGCGAACGGCGAGCAGGCCTTCCTCTTCTCCTCCCGCCACCCGAAGACCGTGCAGCGTCACTTCAACATGATGGCGATGCACGGCGTAGACGGGGCGTTCCTGCAACGGTTCGTAGGTCAATGCGACGTCGATTCAGGCAACGAGGGTATCCGCAAGAGGAGGCCAAACTCACCCCGCTAAGCGGGCGCTTAAAGAAGCCATGTAGTTCTACACCGAATTCTACATCTGCTCCACTGTCAACGCCGCCTACTCCACAACTCGGGTACGGCTCATCTACCGCGTCTTATACGACGTCTTACGGGCTTCTTTGCGCTGGGCCTGGAACGGCTCGGGCCGTGCAGTCCCGACACCGACGTCATTGGACGTCTTCAGGCGCTTTGAGGGCTGGAGTCCGTGCTCTTCATTGTCGAGGACACGACCGCGAACCCTCTCCCGCAGGTGAGCGATACCTGGGTCCTGATCCCACGCGATTGCGGGAAGACTGCTTCCGGACCTTGCAGTAGCCGGGGAGGACGCATCTTCAGAGTCTGGTACTACTGATGACGAGCTTGACGCCAATGGGGGCGCATCCATATCGCGCGCGATAGAGGGTGTGGTGTAAGGGGCGAGCTCTTGTACTGATACGCCAAGCCTGCGCGCCTGCCGTATTTTGTTGCGTAAGGCGTCATGTGTGTTCTGGATATCTTGGAAGGCCAACGCGCGCCGATTGCTTGCCTGAGGCGCCGGTAGAGCGGGTGCGCGCGCGCGCGAGAAAGGCACAGCCGGTGCGCGAGAGACTACACCAGCAGGCGCGAAAGGGGGAGCCAGCAGAAGATGGGATGAAGCAGTGGGCATGCGAGGGGGAGAAGCAGCTGGCGCGCGAGGGTAGCGAACAGCAGGCACTGCGCGAGGAGGGGTGGCAGCGTCGGGAGAGGAGTCGGAGGCAGTGCGCGCGTGCGAGGGTGAAGCGGCCGGCACTGCGCGCAGGGGAGAACTTGAAGCTGGCGAGGACGAACCGCCACGCGTGGCGTCTGCGGATATCGAGGCAGCCAGGACGAATGCATCAACGTATTCCAGGGAAGGGGAGCGAGTCGCTGGAGCGCGCGGGGGCAAAGCAGCTGGTGTGGACGAGCGTAGGGCAGCAAGATCAATGTACTCCAGAGAAGGGGAGCGAGTTGCCGGCGCATGTGGGGATGATGCAGCCGGCGCAGACGAGTGTAGAGCGGCAAGATCAATGTACTCCAGAGAAGGGGAGCGCAAGGGTCGGGGTGTTGTGCTGGCGAGGGTGATCGCAAGAGCGGGAATGAGGGAGATGAGAGCCTAGGGGTGTGTGACTGAGCACCCAAGAGCGGCGAGGGAGTTGCGTGGGCGGAGCGTGGGCTGGGAGAGGTGGAGCTAGCGCCGAGTGCGCGTTCAGGTTCAGAGGAGGCACCACTGGCACTGTCAGTGTCGTCCTTGTCAGGTTGGCAGAGAGCGGTGAGGAGCTGGGTGTCGATAGCACTTGGATTAGACACAGGTTGCATAGTTGCCTGCCGGAAGGCGCACAGACGACGTTCGTCTTCGCGGCGTGAGAAGAAAGCGGGCACAACTTCTGTAATGAGTATGAGAATCCACTGATCTATGCGTGGGAGGCGTCCGCCGTGGGCATGGCCAGAGAAGTAGTCGCCTTTGATGTGGTTGTTATGCGACTCTAGGTGATTATTGGTGCGTGGGATGCGGGCAATGGGAACACCGAGAGTGGCAGCCGCGATGTTGACGCCTGCACGGGACCATTGTGGGAAGAGGTCGGAGACGACATACGACATGAGGTAGTCTAGGAAATGGATGCCAGCGCGGCCATGCGGGCGCTTTGAGTGTCCGCGGGCGAGTGTCTCATACTTCGCGAGCTCCTCGTGGAGGGCTGTATGCGCGGCCGCGAAGCTTTCAAACTCTTTCAAACTGGAGTGGCAGATCCGGGTGAGCGCAGGTGGTTCAAGAGACACCGGGGATGTGCTTACAGTCGCATTGCGAAGGCGGCTAAGGCCTTGCGTACTTCCTGACGTCCTTCGTCTTTGGGGACCTGCTTGACGGCCTTGTTGAGGGCGTTGCGCCATGATTGCCACATGTGGAACAGGCACAGCAGGAGCTGGATCCCTGGGAACACTTCGGCAAGTGCGGAGCGCTCGCGCTTGTCATAGTCGGTGATGGCAATCTTGGGTGCGAAGCTCTCACCCGCCTCGTTGAGCCCCATGCCACTGACGTACTCCCGGAGGATCAATTTCAGCAGCGCCCCGTTGTAGTCGGCATGGACACCGGTGGCCTTCGTCTTCTCCTTGGCAGAGAAGACAATGTATGCGATGGGAACACCACGGTAGTTGTCATCAATGACCATGAGAATAAAGAGGAGCGCACGCGCGGAGCAGAACCCGAAGGTGAGGTCGAGGAGAAGGATGTTCTGATGGCCGTACTTCCATGCTTGACGGCGCTGTTCGGGAGTGGCAAGGATGAGGATGAAGCGGTCAGTTTGATCTTTCAGGTATGGCTGGTAGAACATGCATGCTTCGGCAAGTTCTGGGCATGGGGGTGATGGATCTTGCGCACGAAACCAGAGATCCAGGTTATTCTCAGGCTTTGACACCTGTGGGATACCGTTGCATAGGTTCATGGTGCGATATAGCGAAGTAGTGTCATGTGGGACGTAAATGTACCGGTAGTTCTTGTCGCCTGTAGTGACTATCTCTGGGAAGCGCTCATGTGCGAATTGGTTCGCGGCTGTGTAAACGGTGGGCGCGAGTACACCTTGTCCGAGGAGTGAGAGCGCGTACGCGCGGATCTCGGGATGGAGGGGGGCACGTGGGAAGCGGAAGGCATCATGGACCTTCTGGCATTCCAGGGAGTGCGTGGTGTTCCCAGTGATTGCGTGCACGACCAACAGGTTGCCAGAATCTATGATGGATATGGTGTTGAGGTGAACGCGAACACACCGGACATGATGCGGGGCTGACCTTCATTGGGTTTCGCTTTCCCATGACCAGTCCCCTTCTTCTCTCGCTGTTCACATGTGGCGATGAGCTTGACAAATGCGAGGCATCCGACATCCTGGTATTGCATTTGGCGGTTCTTGCTGGACTTTGAGCCTACTGTGTTGTCGCTTCCACAAATGCACTGATAGAGGTACGTAACATGGGCCATATCCGAGTGCTTGGCGAGTGTTTTGCGGTCGGTGTTCCTGATTGCCCATTTGGAGCGGATTGCCCGCAGCCGGTCGACAACTGGCACGTGGAGATCAAGCTCCTCGATGCGCTGGAGAGCGCGCTCTGCTTATTGCACCATGAGATCCGGGTGAGATAAGGGATTAGATGGTCGACACGCACGCTGAGCCTCAATTTCAGGCGCATATAGTGATAGCTCCAACTCGTTCTGCGCGTGGAGCTCTTCGATCCGAGCCTTCTGTTTGTCATTCAGCTTGAGCTTTGAGGGGACGGCCTTGGCACTGCCAGGGCGTCCACGGTACGTGGGAACGGATTTGATTTTAGCCTTGAGCGCATCAGCGCTGTCGGACGGCGAGGCGTCGGGGATCATGGGGAGGGATGTTGGAGGCATATATTATACTGTCTACACCGTGCATGTCTACGCGTCGCAGTCACATGAGCACTGGCTCCCCTCACGTGCTCGTGAACGCCCTCTCGCTGGCGCTCTGGATGAGTCTACGCCGCCGCCACAGCTGCTCGGGTCCAACCTCTTCCATCCTTCTGCCAACCCGGCCGCTCCATCTACTCGGTCCCTCGTGCCTTCCACTGGCCGCGTTAGCGGGGTGAGTTTTTATTTCTCCGCAAGATCCGGGACGAGGTGGGGGATCGCGTGATGGAAGCCGCAGAGCAGGAGGGACGGGTGTTCGCCATCATGTATGCACGCTTTCCACCTTGAATTCAGCCCGTGTGTTCATCTCGGACGCCTTGACCTTGTTCTCTAGGTACGATGTGTCTGGAGTGCCGGAAGAGCGCATACAACATGTCATCGAGCAAGACTGGATCCGTCTCATCCGCCAGAAAGCCGTCCTCGACAGCCCCGCATACCTCCGGGAGCAGGGAAAGCCTGTCGTCGCGCTCTGGGGGTTTGGTCTGTCCGACCGCCACCACAATCCCGATACCCCGCGGAGGATTGCCCGCTTCATCCGCAACAATACACCCGGTGGTGCGTATATCGTCGCTGGGACTCCGGCCCATTGGCGGACGTCGCGCATGGATGCCGACGCGAACCCCGAGTTCGTGTCGATGTGGATGGAAGAGTTTGATGCGATCTCTCCCTGGAGCGTGGGCCGGTACGGAGATGAGCAAGGAGCGGACAAGTTTGAGGAGGAGAATATCAAGGGAGATGTGGAGATGATCAAGGAGCACAACGACAAATGGGAGCTCAATCGGGACACTATGAGGAAGATTGACTATATTCCGGTCGTGTTTCCTGGCTTCACGGTATGGCAGCTTCCATCTACCAGGCTCTGCATCGCTCATTGTTCTCACACAGGGATTCAACCTGTCAGAAGGAGGCTGGTCATGGAATCTCTGTCCTCGCAAAGGAGGGAACTTTCTATGGCGCCAACTGTTCAACGTCAGACGACACAATGTTCGTACTGTGTACGGTGCCATGTGGGACGAGTAAGTACTTCTGTTCGTCTCAATCCCGAGACACATACTCATCCAACTCCAGGTACGACGAAGGAACGGCGTTCATGCCTGTTGTCTCTCACAAGCGCCAGCTTCCCATTCTCAAGGACTACAAGTTCATGGCTTTGGACGAGGACGGCTTCGACTTGCCTCCAGACTGGTACATGCGCATCTGTGGTTATGCCGCCGAGAGCTTCCGCGGCGAGCGCTTGCTTTTGAGCACCTTCCCTTCTAAGGAACTCCAGGACTACTGGTCATCTCGTCCCCACTACGAAGTCGTTCAGAGCGCCGAATGCTCAGGATCCCAGGGCTCCAAGCCAGGTTGGGAAACTTTTGACAGAACAGCACTGACGGACGCCCCGGATGAACCTCCTCCCCCTCCATACACTCTGGAAGTGGAAGAGCACGATGTGCAACCTGCCGCTCCTGCTCCGCCAGCTGTACCGCTTGGACGGCGTCCCAGTCAGGCTCAGGGCGCCCCATCAGCACCACATCGACTCGTCCCGCCCCAGCGTCTGATAATAACCCTCCCCCTCCTCCACCCAAAGATCCTCCTGCAGCGCATCAACTCAACGCCACCTCCCGCCCGTACTCATTCCCCGCTCCCAACACAAGCCCTAGCTCCGTAGTCATCCGTCAAGCGTTCATGCGTCGCCTTTGCTGGCTCCGATCGACGAGTTCAGTCGCCTCGGCTTGTCAAGTTCGCTGCCGCCCTCTCCTCATTCATCATCGCCCCGGCCTATCTCCCCGGCTCATTCGACACACTCTCACCATTCTCACCACTCGTCGCAATCTGCGCCAGCACGACCCCACGCGGAGCCAGGGTTCTCTCCGCATCTGTTCCCCGTGCCCATCACGCCCCCTGTCAGCGGACCACCTGAACCTTGGTCGCAGAACCAACGCAGTGGCCTCCACAGGAATGGAGCCAGCCGCAAGGTCCGTCGGCAATTATCGGCCAGTTCTTCGGACACGACGAAGCTCCACGCCCTCCTCCGATTACCACACATCACAGGCCGGGTTACGCCCCGCGTACAACGGGAGCACCAGCCACGGCGGTTACGCTCCCTCACAGCCCGCGAGCGGTACCCACCCCCGTCACCGCACGAACGGCCGCACAGCAGCCAAGCCACGGCTCCAACCACCCACTCTTGCGCCCCCGGCGCAGCACGCGGGCTACGGCTCGACGTACCCGCCCGACGCCGGTGCGCACCTCCACCCGCGCCCCTCGGTGAGCCACCACACGCGGCCGACGTCGCCCCCGCAGCAACCCGGCCTCGCGGCGTGCGACGACAACGTCGGCGGGTTCGCGTTCGCGTTCCCGCAGGCGCAGGTGTCGCCGCCGCCCGACGCGGCGGGCTTCGCGCGCGCGTCCGAGGGCCCGTACGGCGCGTACGATGCGCAAGCCCCCGCCTTCCCCGGCGCGCCCGCGCGCATGCCGGCACAACGTGAGTGCTCGTCTGCCCCCGTCCGCGATTGCTGCGTCGATCCCGCCCCGCTCGGTCGCCGCTGACGAGACGCTGACGACATCCCCCTCCTGCAGGGCCGCACGAATACGCGCACGGTTATGGCAGCACCCCGGCCGATGGGTACGCCGCTCCTCCGCACCCCGCGGACCTCCACCGGCACCCGAGCACGCACTCGTCCTACGGCGGCGGCGGGTACCCCGCGCACTCGTCGTACCCCGGTGGCCGCCTAGCCCAGGGCCCAACCCGTACGGCGGGCCTCGCCGTCGTCGCCGCCGCCGCCGCTGCCGAACGCGTACGGTGCGTACGGGCGTACGGCGGATCGCAGCCGCCGCCTCCTCAGCAGTCGCAACCGCCGCCGCCGCCGCCGATGCACCCGTCGTACGGACAGCCGCCGCAACAGCAGCAGCCCCCGGCACCGGCGCCGTATGGCACCTATGGGAACTCGTCAGCGGTGGGCGGCGGGCTACTCGGCGGTGCGCTGAACACGGTCGGGAGCGTGATGGGTCCAGGCGGTCGGGACAAGCTACAGGGTTTGGCTAAGAGTGAGCTTACATTTTGTTTTGTTTTTCGCGCTTCGCGTGTGTGCTGATATCGGTTGTGCCGTTAGCGGGGGCGAGCTTGCTGAACAAGTACAGGCGGTAAACTGTGATCGATCGTCCCACGGCGGAAGGTGCTGAGGGCTGGGGAAGATCTTGTGCCAAGCTACCGAGAAGCGCGGAAGAGGACGCAATGTCGGTGTGTGTATAGCGCGTGTCGTGGTCATGATGTTGTGTATTTATGGGCCGTGGCGGCGGGAGCGTAGTAACAGGCTAAGATATGCGCACAGACATATGCATGTGCGGAGGGCGCCCAGCGATTATAGATAGCGTATGTATAGAGGATTATAGTGCAAGAGGCGGCGGAGTCCCCAAGAGCCCACCGGGCGGGGAAGACGGACAGAGGTGTACAAAGCGGCATCGACCAACGAAGCGCGCGAGAGACCAGAGGGGACCTGGGGATCGACGCACTGCGGATCGTCCCTGGGGCATAAGCAATAGTGTACAGCGTGACGAGAGACGGTCCGGCGGATACTACAGCTGATATGCAAGCCTGAAAGAGAGCGGGGACATCAGAATATGACGAGCTGGCCGCCGCTCGTGTTGGTGACGTTGGCGGCGAGGAGACCGGGGCCCGGGAGGCGGCCGCGCCAGCCGCGGGCGGCGTACGGGTGGGGGTCGGCGGACTCGTCGAAGGAGTCGCGCTCCTCGTACGCGGGCGAGGCGTTCGCGCACCCGAACGGGTGCACGGGCGGGAGCGGCATCGGGGCGTCGCTCGTGAGCGGGGTGAGGTCGAAGGCGGAGAGGCTGGGGGGCACCCAGCGCGAGGGCGAGGGCGCGCGGCGGGCGCGTTTGCGCTGCGTCGGGGGCGGGTGGGACGGGTGGGAGTGGGGGCGGGGGCGGGGTTGGGATTGGGCGGAGGAGGGAGGGAGGGCTGGGTCGGCGCTCGGGGGCTCGCTCGGGTCCTCGGACTCGGACTTGCGTTTCCTCGGGGCGCACGGGCGGGAGACGGAGGCGGGGACAGGTGAGGGGGTGGAGGCGGTGTCGGAGGTCGCGGCGGTGGACGCGGCGTCGTCCGCGAGGGTGGTGGACGTGTTTGAGGAGGAGGAGGAGGGCTGCGCGGCGCGGCAGGTCTTGTTGTGGCGGGTGAGGTTGGAGGCTACACCAAAGCGGCGTTTGCAGCACGGGCAAACGAAGGCTGAGTGCCGGTGGGGCGGGTAGAGGGACGTGGGGCAGTCAGCACACAGACATAGGCGGCGAAGGCAGCGACGCACCTTTTTCGCCGGTGTGGACGAGGAGATGCTGGGCAGCGGATGAGCATCGCGCGATGCACCAAGATTTCAGTGTGTTGCTCACCTTCTTGAGGGTGCTAGGGCTGGGTGCGGGACGAGATGAACGTGAGCGCGGAGGCGGAGGCGGGGGAGATGAAAGGATCGTACCGGTCAAAGGCCTTGTGGCACATCCAGCACTGGTGCGTGCGCTTGGATGTGTCCTTGGCGCGGGAGGAGGGCGGGGGCGAGGGCTCGCGTCCGCCGCGGTCGGAGTCGGGGCTCTCGGCACCAGGGGCGTAGGAGTAGTAGGATGAGATGGGGATGGCCATTGGGTGGGGGTGGTGGGAGATGAGGGGTGGTGCTTGGTAGGGGAGAGGGCACGGAGGGGGCTTTTGTGCATCGAGGAGGGGAAGGCCATGCTGTGGCGCGGGGATGCGGTCGAGGAGGAGGGCGTCGGGGTAGGGAGGAGGATAGCCAGATGGGGCACAGACGCCGTCGCGGGTCGGGGTCGGGAGGACGAAGACCGGGTCGGGCGATCGGGACGAGAAGGTCGCTGGGAATGGCGTCGGTGGCGGGCAGGAGGCCGCGGCCGCGAACAGGGCGTCCATGGCCAGGAGGAGGGCGCGAGACGGAGAGCAGGTGGACGGCAGGCGGGCTATATACACACAACGCTCCCCCGCGCGACAATCCAACGAAGCGCACGCTGGCAGCGTTTCCCCGCAGAGCCTCGCGGTCTGCGAGCGAGAGTCCGAGATCCCGCGCTGTCGCCCCCATCGATGGCCCGCCATGGACAAGGGCAGCGCCCGCCCCGCGCTCGTGCAGGATGCGTCCAACGACGATCCATCATAGGACACGTGCCCGGCTGTGAGGTCAGTGGCGAGCCGCGTGGCATTCGCGCTTTGGCTTCGACTCATCACCCAGAAGTTCCCAGTCTGGCCCAAATTAATACCAACTGCGCACTCCGCCTGCTCCTTCGAGAGCTGGAGAACGCCCTGGAGCGCGCCATACGCAGCAGTGAGCACGGCTGAGCGTAAGGGTTGGACGCCGATGACGGCCCGCGCGCGCTCCGTATCGCACATAGACGCCCTCTGCCACTTTCGCGTTTGCCGTGTCCCGAGTCTGAGCACGTCTCCCCCACCGATCCTCCGCAGCCATGCCACTCGCACAGGCGGTCAAGACCGCCATCGAGGAGGTCATCTCAGCCTTGACAACGACAACGAGCCGTCGCTCAAAACGTCGTCTCGCAGACATGTTCCTCGAACTCGTCGACAGGCAGTCCTGGCCCGAGTACTACCACGTACTTCTCTCCTCTCTCCCGTTTCGCACCCTCTCATTCGCCCTCACTTTCATCTCTCTAGGTGATCCCGAAGCCACGCTGCATCAACGGCATCAGAACTGCCCTTGCCCAGAACAAATACCGTCACGTTCTCGACGCGTTCGAGGACCTCAACACCGTCTTCCTCAACGCCCTCCACTACAATGAGGAAGGAAGTCAGATAGCCAAGGACGCGGAAACTCTCAAGGTGCGCCCTCCGTTTACTTGTCTCTTCCCTCTGCGCAGCCCGTAATCCCTGTCTCCCAGGGCATCCTCCTCACCGAGTGGAAACGTCGTCCCATCCTCCCCCCACCGCCCACCACCCCCTCGCAAAAACCACACGCGAAGAAAGTCCAGAAAGAGCGTGCCGCAGCCACTCCCACTCCAGCAAATGCCCCACCCACCCCGTCGACGTCTCAACCTCTCCCAAAACCGTCCACCTCGTCCTCCGCTATGGACGTCGATCCCCACACCTCCTCCTCTCGCCCCCAGTCCAAGCAGACAGCAGCCAAACTCAGGACCCCCGATCACCCGTCTTCGTCCGACATCGAGGTCGACGTTGGCGGCACCCCGGAGCCTGAACCCGTCGCCCCCGATGCCGCGCGTGAGGGCGAGGGCGACGAGATCGTCCGCCAATTGGAAAAGAGCCTGCCCAGATGGGAGGGCTTTGCGGACGTCGGCTGGGCCGAGGGCCTCTCTTCCGTAAGTGTTCCTCACCGCCCTCATCCGACTCAATGTTCGGTGCTCACCGCTGGGACGCCCAGGACCGCATGATGGAGATCCTGTCCGCGCTGTCCGGGTACAGGGACCGGGGGTGAGTGTGCGCCCGCTCGGGTCCGGGAGGTGGTGCTGACGCGCGCGGAGAAGAGGAAATCGACCTGCAGATCACCTGGAGGCTATGCCGGAGGAGACGACCATACCGGACCTCTCGTTCAATGTGCGCAGCGCGCCCCGTCGCCCTTTCGCTGGTCTGACTCGCCGTCCTTCCCACAGGCTCCCCTGTCTTTCTCTCTCGTTCAGGTGAAGACATTCTCCATGCTTTGTCGGCTGGTCGTGTTCACGTATCATCCAGAGCCGCATACAAGCGGGCTACTACTACCAGTCACCACAAGCTTTCGACAAGGAAATGTCACAGCTCTTCCTCAAGGCTCGGCGGTGGTATGAGCGCCGAACGGAGGTATACGGTCAGGTGCTGGTGTTGCAGGTGCGTGTCTCGCGGTCCCTTATAATGCTCTGTCTTCTCAACACGATCCGCTTTGCGTAGCGTCTGTACCATGCCCTCACCTCTCCAAATCCTCCCTTTCCCCCTTATGAATCCACAAATTATTTCGCAGGAGTCCCAGCAGGTCCAGGTCTGGCAACTCCGCTCAACTCCACCGAGGGGGAGGCCGGGACTGGTGTCACCATGTTCCGCGTCTCTGTGAAGGATAGGAAGGTGGTGGACGAAGTACAGTTTAAGGGCTGGTCCGTCCGCCTCGCGGACTGGCTGCACCTCAGCAACCCAGACGACGCCAGCCGACCGATTATCGGGCAAGTGTTCAAATGTTACGTCTCGGAGGACGGGTGCGTTTCCTGCGAACATGTTTGCCCCTTTGCTCACCGACTGGTTCCGTTCTCATAGACCGCGGAAGGGGCAGCCCGGAGTCACAGTCTGTTGGTACTACCGGCCCGAACAGGTGCGCTTTTTGGGCCGTCCGAGCCCTTAATCGTCGCTCACAACCCTCGGGCCCAGACGTGGCACACTGCGGACAAGCAATTTTACGAGCGCGAGGTGCTGAAGACCGGTGCGTCTTTTTCCCTGCCGGACGCCGCCCCCTCATCCCCAGCCCCATGCCTCACCCTTCCCCCACACCTGCAACCGCGGAGCTGACCCCCCGCGCTCCAGGTCATTTCGTCGACCACCCGGTGGAGGACATCATGGAGAAGATCGCGTGCCAGTTCACGGCGCGGCACGTCCGCGGGCGGCCGCGGCCGCCGTTCTGGTACCCGGGCTGGCCGCTGTACGTGTGCGACTACCGGTACCACGAGCGGGAGCGGGAGCGCGGGTTCGTGCGGATCAAGAACTGGAACTCGTGCATCCCGGAGGAGCTCCGGAAGAACGCGGAGTTCATGCCGATCTACAACTTTGAGCAGACCGTCTTCCCCCGCCGCGTGCCCAGCCCGTTCGTCCTCGACTCGGCGCTGCACTCGAGCGGCGGGCTCGTCGACGCGGACGGGCGCTCGGCTCCGGCAGCGGTGGGGACAGCGACTGGGACCGGGGCGGGGGCGGGGACGACGGCGATAACGGACGAGGCGACGAGCGGGAGTACGGTGAGGAAGAGCTCGCGCCCGAAGCGCGCGGCCGCGGCCAAGTCGGACGCGGAGCGCATCGCGGCGCTGAAGGGCGTGCCGGTCCCGACGACGACGACAACCGCGGCGGCGACGGCGCAGCACGTCCCGCCCGCGGCCCCGCCGCGGGACGACCGCTCGATCCTCGCGGCGGGCGGGGTGCAGCTGGGGAGCAGCGTGGTGACGGAGGAGCTGCCGTCGGAAACGGGTGCGAGGTTTTTTTTCTCATGTGAGCCAGCTTCGATGGGGGCTGACGGCCCGTTCGTTCGTTTCGGTTCGTGCAGCACGGCATTTCGATCGCGACCCGGAGACGGGGGAGGTGCTGTGGTTCGCGGCGGCGCCTGTGGACATCGTGCACGCGCCGCTCCCGCGGCACAGCTTGAAGTACCTCGCGCACCTGGCGCGGAAACGGAAGGAGGCGGGGGGAGGGGAGGGGGAGGCGGATGTGGACGTACCCGCGCCGAAGAAGCAGAGGATGCCGCCGACGGCGACGGAGGCGTTGGTGGCGCTGTTGGAGGAGCATGGGATGCTGTGAGGGGTGTTGTTTGTTTACTGTACGTGCGGTATGTTTGTTGTGTAATCTCGTTTGTGCGTTATTCTCTGGACCGTGTCTGCGTGAGCGATCCTCGAGCACTTGTGACGGAACAGTACGTGGTCGAGCTCAAGCGAGTGGTGGAATGGTTACATTGTGGTGGGTACATGTTCGTGAGTGGGGCAGGTATAATGCTACGAATCTACTTCAGCTGCGTCGTGTGATGGAACCTGGAACCTGGAATCCATCCCCATCTTCGCGATCTTCTCGACGTCTGCCTCAGAAAGCCCGAGCCCGAGCGGGCGTTCCGCGAGCAGGAGAGCGTACTCTCCCATGAGCGAGTTCCGGAACGGCAGGATGTCGTCCGTCTGTAACCTGCAGTCAGCCATCTCGACCGTTGCGCGACGGGGCGCGGGGAAACTGAAGCCGACGCACGCATATCGCGACCGGGTGGTTGTGCTCGAGGTAGTAGTTGAGGTGGTGCGCGTCCAGCGTCGGCACGGTCTTGCAGACCAGGTTCGAGCTCAGGCAGATCTCGACGCACGTCGCCTCGGCGCGCACGACGCGCTTCGCGGCGGCGTCGAGGAACGTCGCGTGCCCGAGCCGGTCAGGCTTGAACGAGAGCAGCTCCAGGGTCTCCTCCGCGGGGCTGTCGGGGATCTGGCGGGTGAAGATGTCAGTCAGACGGGTGTCCCCAGTGGACCCGCGGATCGAACGCTCGCCTCTGCGATGTGCAGCGTGACGCCGAGCCCGGCCGCCTTGGCGGCCGCGAAGTGCTCTTTGAACGCGGCGGCGGTCCCAGCCTGGCGTCGCACGAACCCGGTCAGCGCGCGCCCCTCCCCGCACGGAAAAGAAAAGAACGGGCGCGAGACGCACCGTCGGCGTGCCGCACAGGTCGACGCCGACGACGCGGCGGCCCGCGCGGCGGAGCGCGACGGCGAGCGCGACGCACTCGGCCGCGTCCGCGGGGGCCATGCGGCGGTCGAGGCTGACGACGAGCGCGGCGCGCTCGGGCGGGTACCGCTCGACCTCGGCGAGGACCGCGTCGAGGTACGCGGCGCGCGTCGGGGTGGCGCGGGGCGTGCTCCGGAGCTCGAGGTAGGCCGCCTGCGGGGGGAGCGGGGCGCCGTCGGGGGTGGGGCCGGGGGCGGGCTCGAGGAAGTGCGCGAGGACGGCGGCGGCGGCGCGGGCGAGGGCGGCGGGCGTGGCGGTGAGCGCGTAGATGGCGGGGAAGAGGCCGAAGAAGTCGTCGATCTCGGCGAGGACGACGCCGGCTTGGAGGGCGGCGATGCCGGCGTGGACGGCTTCGGGGGTGATGGAGGAGGAGGAGGAGGAGGAGGAGGAGGAGGACGTGGTGGTGGAGGTGGTGGTGGGTGGGGCGTAGGAGGCGGCGAGGGATTGGAGGACGGGGAGGGGGATGGAGCCGTTGAGGTGCGCGTGGAGCTCGGCCTTGGGGAGGTGCTGGAGGAAGGTGAGTTGGGCGTGGGTGAGGCTTGCGAGGGCGGCGCCGGCGGGGCCTGCGACTTGGTGGTCGTGGGCAGACATCGGTACCTGGGTCTTCGGTCGCGGGGACCACTGCGGAGAGTATTTCAGCTACAGAGGCGTTTAAAATTGCTCCTGGTTCAAAGCCTTGTAGACGCAGCTCCGATCCCTCCGGATGTGTGGGTCTGGTGGTTATGACTCGCGATCGACGACTTGCAATTCGCATCAGTCGTACGCGTAGATCTCGGTCTCAGGCTCGCCGGGAGAGCCCGGCCATCGCTACTCACCGGTGCTAACCTGGTAACGCAAAGAGCAGCCGAGGTGGTTTGCTTGCTTGTGCAGTACGTGGTCGTACGGAGGAATATTTGCCACCCGACCGCGAGTCCATCGACAAATCTTGTGAAGTTGCGGCTAGTTCCGGCCCGCATCCATCCGCGCCTGCCTCCACCCTCGGCAGTCGCCCATGGACCTTTACATAAAGCTTTATGATTCAATGCTGCATCCGATACACGCGCACTACCCGATCTCCGAACTATCACTCCAAGCCCGTCATCTCCAGGCGGTCGGGTCGCAACATGTGTATTTGATCACATTCATCGACGTCAAACTTCTGTCAACCACAGTATAGTCGTACAAGATATTGAATCATACATCCGAAGCAACACTCCGTCACACCTACACATGCTTATCTCACATAAACTTGTTGGCCTGGAGGAAACCATGAGGGCCCAAATACATCACAAGCCTACGGCGTGAAGGGTTTAGACGTACCAGGCCCATGATGGTGCTCAAACCCCCACTGTTGCTTCCGCCTGTAGTGCCGCTGAATTTGGACTGCACAAGCATCTTCATGACCGTCATGGCCGCGCCATTCACGGCGTCTTGCTTGTTCCCTGAGGCAGCACCGCCGGATTTGTCGAAAAGCTTGGAAGCCTCCGCCATCGCGAGGCTGATCAGCTGCGTCTGGGAACCTCCGCCACTGCCGCCGGAGGTGAACTGCTTCAATATCTGTGTGTGCTTGAGCACTTGAATCCAGTAACTGTTGTGTAAACCATCACCTGCATCGCAGCTGCGCTGCCCATAGAACCAGCACTAAGCGAGCCGGCGGAACCTTCCTCGTATGCCTGACGATGAGCGTGCTGGACGTGCTCTTCGTCAATTGGTTTCTCGTGCTCTTCCTGTCTCGTTGGCGTGAGACATGAATACAACAGAAGAACGGTACGGGAGTGACCTTGTTCTGATTCATGAAGCCCATTGCGCTCGAGAAGAGTGAATGGTCCCCGCTTCCCTCTCGAGCGGCGCTCTGTACCACTTCGCCTTCATCGACTGTGGCAAACTTGTATCTTGCAACGCAGTGTAAAACACGGAGATTACGCACATTGAGGGCGATCTGCAGTGCCCCCTGCTCCGGCATGATTCGGGCCATTGTATTCGTGACCTCCTGTCTTGGCGACGTTCGCTGAGGATATCGATCAGCAACGGGGCGGTGAGCACGGGGCGCGACTTGCATTGAGAATGCCCAGCGGACTCGAGACCTTGCTTAGCCAGATTAATGAACGCGTCCTAGATGGCGCTCAGGATGATGAAGCAGGGGAGTAGGTGAAAGGACTCGCCATGGTAGCTGCAGAGGTCTGTTAGCGCACGCGCCCCCCAATAAGGAGGTACCCGATAGTCCCTTCTTCGACCGGATACGGCAATGCCTCACCTGTACCTCACAAGATCAGAGTCAATTGATCTGTGATCACCCCCCCGGGGTGATTCCACTTTCGGTAACTGCAAACGTCTCTAAGCCTGCGTACTGTAGTGCCTCTACGGATATCGACGAAGATACCTTGTAGGGAAACGTTAGAACGCGGGCACATGCCCAAGTCCCCGCCCCCTTCCCCGACGTCCCCGAGGGCTCGGCCCAGCCGTCCTCCGCGCTTCCCCGGCACGCGTGAGCAGATTCCCGCGCCGCGCCGCCGCCCGCCCTTGATATCCGGACGCCGCGCGCCACCGGGTCTCCGCCGGCGCCTCGCCTATCCGCCACCTGTGCTCGCCGCCCCCAACAGCGAGCTCGCTGTTCCTGTACCCTGCCTCCCCCTCCCCTCCGTTTCCCTCCGTTCTTTTTGGTACCTGCTTGTATTTTAAATGCGCACCTAATGATACACAATGCAATAGCTTCAGTTGGCTGGGTGTGCCTGCACTGAGCCCTTAAATCCCCCAAAATGCGTGCAACATAGGAACATATAGAAGCAGTCCATCGATGGGACAAGTTCTGCATAAGTTAGCTGTATATGAGAGCCTCTGTAATCTGAACTTGCAGGTGGATAGCTGAAGGGGTGAAGGCATGATGTCATATGTTATTTCAGAATGACATACTCCACAGTGATATGGAATACACATTTATCGTCTTATGTACACCTAGAATCGTTCATAGAGGACATTCAGAGTGTATTGCAAAAGACAGCAAGTCAAAGTACGATGTTCTAATGAAGACATGACATATACTCAGAAGGGGGAGTTGGCTTGAAAATGCGGTCTCCATATGTTTTTGCGCAGACCTCCGATCACTGTACATCTTGTTGCATCATGTTTACATGTATGTGGAGAGCTCAGATCGTTGTTTTGGTGCTTATCGGTGAAGGACTGAATACAGGCCATGGTATGTCATTTTTCTATGACATAACGTATAGTGAGATAGCATGTGCTCCGATTGTTATTCTGAAAGGCGGAATAGAACAGGGCACTCTGCTGCTCAACGACGCAGAAGAAATCTCGAGAAACGGTTCAGGAGTGGCTGAGATATGGCAGATGAGCTTGAAGGGTGCACAGTGTTGAAGGTGGTTCAAGGGCGTCCTCTGGACAACTTGCCATTCTAGACCCATATGACATATCTCAGCCACTCCTGAACCGTTTCTCGAGATTTCTTCTGCGTCGTTGAGCAGCAGAGTGCCCTGTTCTATTCCGCCTTTCAGAATAACAATCGGAGCACATGCTATCTCACTATACGTTATGTCATAGAAAAATGACATACCATGGCCTGTATTCAGTCCTTCACCGATAAGCACCAAAACAACGATCTGAGCTCTCCACATACATGTAAACATGATGCAACAAGATGTACAGTGATCGGAGGTCTGCGCAAAAACATATGGAGACCGCATTTTCAAGCCAACTCCCCCTTCTGAGTATATGTCATGTCTTCATTAGAACATCGTACTTTGACTTGCTGTCTTTTGCAATACACTCTGAATGTCCTCTATGAACGATTCTAGGTGTACATAAGACGATAAATGTGTATTCCATATCACTGTGGAGTATGTCATTCTGAAATAACATATGACATCATGCCTTCACCCCTTCAGCTATCCACCTGCAAGTTCAGATTACAGAGGCTCTCATATACAGCTAACTTATGCAGAACTTGTCCCATCGATGGACTGCTTCTATATGTTCCTATGTTGCACGCATTTTGGGGGATTTAAGGGCTCAGTGCAGGCACACCCAGCCAACTGAAGCTATTGCATTGTGTATCATTAGGTGCGCATTTAAAATACAAGCAGGTACCAAAAAGAACGGAGGGAAACGGAGGGGAGGGGGAGGCAGGGTACAGGAACAGCGAGCTCGCTGTTGGGGGCGGCGAGCACAGGTGGCGGATAGGCGAGGCGCCGGCGGAGACCCGGTGGCGCGCGGCGTCCGGATATCAAGGGCGGGCGGCGGCGCGGCGCGGGAATCTGCTCACGCGTGCCGGGGAAGCGCGGAGGACGGCTGGGCCGAGCCCTCGGGGACGTCGGGGAAGGGGGCGGGGACTTGGGCATGTGCCCGCGTTCTAACGTTTCCCTACAAGGTATCTTCGTCGATATCCGTAGAGGCACTACAGTACGCAGGCTTAGAGACGTTTGCAGTTACCGAAAGTGGAATCACCCCGGGGGGGTGATCACAGATCAATTGACTCTGATCTTGTGAGGTACAGGTGCAATGCCTCCAGGAGCCTTCGCTCTCGGAGGGCCAGCCAGCACTTTACTGGGCAACCGCCAACCGCGCCCGCTCTCTGCGTCGACGTCGACGAGTCCCCAACTCCAGAAAACGCGGACGGCCCGGACCTGGACGAGCTCCTGCTTGCTCGCCTGCACAAAACGGACAACGGGCTCTTCCAGTGGCTGCGGCGCGGCCCGCCGCTGTCGGGAAAGGAGGAGGTCATCGTGGCGGGAGCGTGGACGCCGTCGAGGTGCTGGATGTGCCGGAGGATGAGGCCTGGCGCGTCGTCGATCGCGCTCGAGTGCATTGCGAAAAGGTCCCCTCAGGCGCACTCCCTTTTCCTCATCTGCATCTGGCTGGACGGGCCGCCGATGCTCGACAGGTCGAATGGGGGAGCACTCGCTCGTCGTCGCCGCGGAGAACGAGACAATACGACGGAGGCTCGCCTTCCGCTCCTTCAAAGCCGGAAGATGGATCCTCAAGGCCTCAAGGCTCTCCCTTCTCAACAGCAGCCTGTCCATGCACCGCACCGCCCCCGCCTCGACATCCGCCGCGGGCGCGCCACGCTCGTTGTTCGGCGGGGTAGGAAACATGGCTAGCGTAAAATATATTTCATTACACAAACATCGCACAAAAAGCGTAGGGTCACGAAAGCTTTAAGCTACACGAAGATGAAGGTGGGGACGAGCAGAGCACGTGCCTTTCTGCTGACAAAGCACAGATTGGCCAGTTGGCCGTCGCGGGCTGGGTCTCCCTCGCAGACTTTACTCCCCCACGAACTCTCACCTGAAATTCCTGGTTGCCAGCCCATGATCGGCCCCGACGTCCCTGCGCACCTGCTGGCTCCGGACTCAACAACGCCAGACGACGACTCCGACACGGAAGCCGGGCCCGCGCCTCCATCGTCCATTGGCCCCCAGATCCCCGCCTCAGTCACCGCGGGACCCTCGAGGTCTGCACCCAAGGCAGAGGCAGCCGAAGCCGAAGAGGAGGACGAAGAGGACTACGCCCCGGCGCTGCCCCCGCACCTCGCGGCCGCGCGCGAGAAGCGGGTGCTGGGGCCCGCGATGCCGTCTGCGGCGCGGGCGCGGCGGTACGAGGACGAGGAGGACGAGGACGAGGAGGACGTGGGCCCGATGCCGCTCCCGTACGGGGTGGTGCTGGAGGAGAAGGACGCGGTGCAGGAGTTCATGGAGCGCGAGGAGCGGCGGCGGAAGCAGCTCGAGGTGCGTCGCGTGTTTTCGTGGCTGCGCGCTCGACTCCGTGCTGGCGTTGTTGCTGCCGCCGCGTGCGCGAGCTGACCGAGTGCCGCCTTGCCGGCCGTGTGCGCAGGAAGCGGCGAAGCCCAAAGCCCCGAAACGCGAGGAGTGGATGCTCGTCCCGCCCTCGTCGTCCGACCTCCTCGGCTGTGAGTCCGTTCCTCCCGCTCCCTCCCGCTCTTTCCCGCTCACACCGGCCGTCCAGCGATCGACCCGACGAAACTGACGAGGGGGCGGCAGTTCGCGCGGACGGCGCAGCCCGCGCGCGACGCGGACCGGTCGCTCTGGACGGAGACCCCGGCGGAGCGCCAGCAGCGGCTCGCGGACGAGGTCGCGGGCAAACGGCGGCGGGCGCAGGACGTGGACCCGGCCGACGACGGCGTGGACGTGCGCAAGCGGCGGCGGCAGGACGAGGAGGTCCGGCGCGGGGTCGAGGAACACACGGTACGTCCTCCTCTCTTCACGCACAGGCCTGGGTGGTGCTCATACGTAGGGTGAATTGGCAGCGGAAGCAGCGCGGGGCGCCGCTGATGGACCAGCACGGGAAGAAGTGGCGGCGAGGGAGAAGGAGAAGAAGGAGGGGGAGGACGAGCCGCCGGCGTTCTGGGACCACGGGCGGGACATGTCGCTCGGCGGGAGGCTTATGGACGACGGCAAGCGGAACAAATTCATCAACGAGGCGAAGGGGCTGGGAGACCGGTTTGGGAGCGGGAAGAGCGGCGGTTCTTGTGAGCCTGTGTTTGGTGCTCGAGGTTGCTCTGCATGTGGTCGACACTAGCGGGATGATACCCGGGCGGCGAATAACCGACCTTTGTCAAGCTCGTACCAGATATTCACATGGGACTATGAGACATGTTGTACTACGAACCGGACTTGTCCCTTGTTATCGCTCAATACACTCGTGTTAGCTATGCGTACACACACCACTTTGCCTGTGTAGTAGTGTGAGGTGGTATGAAGAAAAGCTGCAGTTTAGAAGTCGCCGAGAGTGTGGATGGAGAGCGGGGAGAGCAGCGGGTCAGGTGGACGGACGGGGAGGAAACACAAGTCGCGCGCCCGGCGATGCGCGGTCCCCGTTGCCGGACGTCGCTGCGCCTCAAGACGGGCCCCTCTCCGTCATCGTTCGCCCTCTTCCTCGCACTCCCACCACCTCCCCCCATTTCCCATCCAACGCATCATGTCTGAACGTTTGTCGCAGGTCGCCGGCCATCTGTCCGGCGCGCTCTCCCGCGGCCTTCTCGCGGGCGAGGTTGCCATTGTCACCGGTGCGTGCAGCGACGCCATCCGGGCACCCCTTTCACGACAGCTGACGCGTCCCTGTGCACAGGTGCCGGGCAGGTACGCTTCGTGCACAGTCCGTCTACGAGCATCGCAGCTTAGCACGGGTCGTCGACAGGGCATCGGGCGCAGCGTCGCGCTGCTGTTCGCGAAGGAGGGCGCGAAGGTCGTCGTCTCCGAGTGCGTCCCTGCCTTTCTGCGTCCGCACGCTCGCAGACTCACCACCTCTTTCGTTGCTCTGCGTCTCCTCTTCCCGCCTCAATCGACGGCTGTTTTGTTGCACGTGATACCCGGGATCGCAGCCTGGACGAGAAGAAGGCGCAGGTGGTGGTAGACGAGATCAAGGCTGCCGGCGGGGACGCGCTCGCGGTCGGCGGGGACGTCTCGGCGGACGACTTCCCGGAGAAGGTGCTTGGAGCCACGATCAAGTGAGTCGGGGTCGGTGTGTCCTGGTGGCGGGGTGCTGATGCAGGCGGGCCGGGCGAATAGGAAGTACGGGAAGCTGAACCACATCGTGAACAACGCCGGGTTCACGTACGACCGGATGCTGCACACGACGCCCGACGACGCGTGGGACGTCATCATGCGCGTCCACGTCCGCGCGCCGTTCCGGCTCATCCGCGCGGCGGCGCCGTACATGCGCATCAAGGTGCGTGGGGCGGGGATGCGATGTGCGGGCGACGAGGGCTGACGAGGATGTGCGCAGGGGAACACGGAGAACCGTCGGTGATCAACGTGTCTCGACGTCGGGCCTGCACGGGAACGTCGGCCAGGCGAACTACGCCGCGGCGAAGGCGGCGGTCATCGGTCTGACGAAGACGATCTGCAAGGAGTGGGGCCTGTTCGGCGTGCGGGCGAACACGGTCGCGTTCGGCCTCGTGCACACACGGTGCGTCGTGCTCGCGCGGTGTACGACGATGGGCTAAAGCGTGGTGGACAGGCTGACGGCGGCGAAGGAGGACGGCGCGACGATTGAGATCGACGGGAAGAAGGTCGCGCTGGGCATCCCGGGCGCGAACGCGAGTGCGAAGAGCGCGCCGCACGCGGTCATCCCCCTCGGACGCGGCGCGACCCCCGACGAGGCGGCCGGCGGTGTGCTCTTGTGCGTGTTTGCTCCTTCGCTCGGTGCTGGATGGATGCTAACGGCGGAGACAGCCTCGCGTCGCCGCTCGCCGCGTTCGTCTCGGGCCACACGCTCGAGGTCACGGGCGGTGCGGGCATCTAGGTCTGCGTGGCTGCGCTGTCCGTGCGGCGAAAACGGCAGTTCTCGACCTTGTCTGTAGCGTTGTAGTTCGTCGCTGTCTGCCGTCTGGGCTGTCGGGGTTATGTATCGGAACTGGCCTGGACGGGCTTTGGGCGTGCACGGTGGGCAATTTGCGGGCGAGAGAGGGCAGATGAACGAACGCAGCAGGGCGGGCGCGATCAGAAGGCGCGCTGCGAGGACTGTTGGGCTGGCAGCCGGTCACTGGCCTGAGTCGTTCCTGGTGGCTGCTAGTACGACGACGCCAGTGCCCACCATGCGGGCAGCGCGGGCCCGCTCGACCGCCCGACGTCGCTGGTAAGTGATTATTCCTCGGGTTGGAACTCGGTGGCGCAGGCGGGCGGGCCAGTCGATCGCGCACTGGCGTCGGGCGCACCGGCTCCGACGCATGGAAGCGCCTGAAGGACCGTCGTTCGACCGCGGTCATTGAGTTGATCTCTCGCACCGCCCAGGCTCGGGGAGAGATGGCGCAGGCGAGCGCGGAAGCACTGGCTGCGTCCGGACTGCGAGCGATGGGAAGATCCGCGGAGCGCGGCGGAGATGGCTCGAGCTCCCCGCCGCCTTTCGAAGGGGCGGGACGTCGACGAGGACGGATGCAGGAGGTGCGCGGGGCCGTCTGGGTGCGCCTCTTGGGGCGCGGTGCAACGTTCTGCAGGCTAATTGCAGTAAGTAAGACCACTAAGCGGGCGCCCTGGTCGGAACACGGGCGCCCGAGAAGGCTCGGGTTGTGGGCAGCCCCGCGATGCAAGCACCAGGTACCAATCTGCTTGGCCTGCACCACCGGTCCAGTCCACAGCGGGTAACGGGTTCTGTGATGGACCGCCGGCCATCTCGCAGGACCGCCTTCCTGTGGCTCGAGACGGTGCTCAGATCTCAGACTTCAGCTCAGGGCGAATCGTGGACCGACAATCGGCCAAGGGGTGGAGGTGGGAGGGAGGGGCACATGCAGCCCCGGGGATGGTGGCACCCACGCACGCGGGGCGCCCTGGGGCGCCCGACTGAGCCGCTGTCGGTCACTCGGAGGCTATTGCGTGGGACGAGGGACAGGGCACATTGCATAAGCGGGGGGCGGCGACGAATTCCAGGAATGCGAGCGTGGTGGCAGTGCTACGGGTGCGGGTGCGACAGTGCTTACGGGGCGATAGCGAGCATGTGGGGGGCAAACAACTAGTGGTGGCAGATAGCGGGTTATGTAAACTAGGGCGCAATGGAAGGGGAGTAAAGTGCATGCGAAGAAGAATGAAGGATGCGGCGCGCCGACCCGCGGCTACGCGGCAACGAGCGAGCGTCGGGTCGGCGGGCGGGGGGAGGGAGGGGAACGGGTCAAGGGATCAAAGCATGATCTCCCGGATCTAGAGCCAGACAAGAGGCAGCAGTCAGCCATTTTTCCACGCTTCTTCGAGCGTATATAAGACCGAGACTCACGTTCTTGCTTATGATGTGCTGCACCCCGAGCAGGACAGAGGCGCGCGCGTTTTTTGGTTCGTTCCGGCGGTGGAGCGACCGAGCGTAAAACAGAGCAGGGCATGATGAGTCACCATTCACGACGGGGAAAGACAGCAAAAGGGGCCCGAACACGGCCCCAGACGCGCGAGTCGCCCGGAACCGTGTCGGTGAGAAGGCGAATGTGAAGAACGGAAGCCCGCCGGCGATTTCCGCAGGACTGTCGCCGAGCGCACAATGTCCGGCCGTAGTACAGTACAGCTACAAGAGCACCCATAGATATCCATCAATAAAGAAAGGCCCGGCCGCAGGGCCATTAGATCAACGCTGCCGTTTCAAGACTGTTCCGCAGAATTATGCTGGGTGGAGGTGCGCGGCGTAAGCGCTCTAGGATCGACGACGCGTGCATGGGGGCCACGTGCGAGCGAGGGGGGAGGGGGGAGTGGGAGTAGGGAAGGGGGAAGGGGAAGAGGACCAAGGCAGAAATAAAAACTCACTCTGTGAACAATATCGATCAGCACTCGGACACAACTCAGAGACAAAATGACGAACCTTCTACAGCGGCCATGATTACGCGAAGCATGGCGGTGTCTGTTGCAGTCGTTGTGCTTACCGTGCCCGTTAGCACCCGGCTTCGATCCACCAAAGACGTGCGGCAACGACGACTTACTGGATGTAGATCTCGCGCTCCTTGGCGTTTGCCTTCTGGGCTAGACGTGCAAACCGTTTCTTGAAGTACTCACGCCCCATCTTCGCGTCTCCCGCTTCACCGTCAAAGTCCTACGGCGCCACCATGAGGCTACCGCCTCGGCTGGGGACGGATACAGACTCACTGGGAAGAAGTTCTTAATATTAGAATGCTGAACCTTTTTCTCAAACAGGTCGTTCTTGTTAAGGAACAGAATCTGCGATCGACCGCCCGCTTAGCTTCGGGACGGAGCCCAGGGACGCGCGAAGACTCACGATAGACGTCTGCTTGAACCATTGCGAGTGACATATTGAATCCCAGATGGTCATCGCATCCTGCATTTGGTTCTGGACGGGCCCAACGTCAGCTTCGCTCCGCGATCGCAGCACCCAGCGCGGGGCGGCGGGAGACGCACCGCATCCTTGTCCTCGACCAGACACTGGTCGTACCCGCTCAAGCTGACGAGGAACAGAATGCTGGTCACGTCCTGGAAGCAGTGGATCCACTTCCGCCGCTCGCTCTTTTGTCCGCCGACGTCGACCATCAGCATGTCGTGGTCCCGGAGGGTGAAGACCGTTTCCGTGATGCCGATTGTCCGGGCGCGCGAGTTGACGATGTCCTGCTCGTTGGGCGTGAACTCACGGTCGAAGAGCCGGTCGATGTCCGCGAAGTAGTAGAGCAGACTGTGACGTGCGGTGGAAGTCCATCAGCGAAGGGAATGATCTGATGCTGCGAAGACATACTTCTCTGGGAGCGCGGCTTCGTTGCCACGGGCGTAGGCCGCCTGGACGTTGGGGTCCGCCCAGAGCCGTTTGAGAATCTCGCAGTACTCGATCGGGTATGGCTCGCCGTCCTTGATGTCATTCGCATCCTCGATGTGGTGCACCAGGTCGCGGTTCTCCTCTGAGACGTCGAGCTCCATGTCCTCCATGGCGATGATAACGGCATTGAGACCGTGGGTGAGGTTGTTGAAGACGAGCTGGCGGTAGGACTCGATTTCCTGCGTCGAGAAAGGGACGCGGTGGATGAGGCGCATTTGCTTGAGGATAGTCGACTTGCCCGAGTCTCCGGATCCGAGGAGGAGGACCTTGCGGGCGGTCGGAATGGGGAGGGAGACAAGTAGTGAGAAAAATGAAACGCACCTTGACCTGCTTGGACATCTTGAGCTTCGCCTGGAAGGTGGGCCGAAGTGAGTGGGAGGCGGCGATGGCGCTAGGCGCATATAGGGACATACCTCCTTGAGGCTCTTTTCGGCCTCTCTGTGCAACCGCTTGTCCTCCTCGGAAATCTCGATACCGCCAGACGACATGCAAGCACCCATGGTGGAGAGGGAATGCGGGAGATGGGAGAGAAGAGTGGATAAGTAGGGGGAAGGAGAGGAGGAGTGAGAGAGGGCCGGCTCAGTGCGTCGGGGCGAACGCGAAGAGTGGAAAGGGGGAGGGGGGGGGGGGATGGCGGCTCAGAACATGCGCTGGGCAACGGGCGCGAGCTCGGGAGAGAAGAAGGGGAGGGAAGGGAGCGACGGGGGTGGGATTCGGGCGGAAGGAGGCGGCCGGGGCGGCGTAGACTAAGAGGAGATAGTATACGGACCTGGCCACAAGCGCAGGCTGCAAGCGGAGTGTCGATCGCAGAGGCGGAGGCGTGATTGGTGGGCGAGGTTCTGCGCGGCGCCCGAAAATGGCGGCGGCGGGGTTTCAAAGCGGCGTGAGGGTTTCCCAGCGGCCCTGCACAAGTCCCATGGCTGCCAACGAGCTGCCTCCACGCGTCGTGATCAATGCGCAACAGATGAATGTCGCCAGCGAGAGGGAAGCAACGGGCCCCCCGGACGGCCTGGCTTTCATTGATAGTATCGACGCCTAAGTTGCCGCTCATGTTCCAAGGTACCCGGCCAATTGTTCCCCCACCGGCACCCACTTCTCCCGCTCCCTGCGCGCACCCCTGGAGGGGCGGCGGACGCGACGGTCGACGTGCATCTTCTGCTCGAACGCTTGCCTGGCGAACGCTGATCGCAGCCTACCCCCACCGCAAACCACTCTGTTTCCCGGTGTGTTCGGTTCGTAGAGGCTTCCGAGCCCCTTTCTCCTGATCGTCGCAAAAATAGCGGCCCCGCCTCGCCATGGCCGCCGCACCCGCCGTCCTCCTGGCCACCACGTCGAGGCTCATGCACTATGGCGCGCGGGGTCCGGAGAAGGCGCACCGCCGCTCGCAGGATATTGAAACGCGTGGGGGCGCGACAGGCGAAGGTTCGTGCCGCGGTGCAATCAGCAGCGCACGCATGCTCGCTCGCTCATGCACGCTCGCCCACTTGCTCGTCCGCGATTCGTTGTGCGCGCGTGCGGACGTCCGCTTCGGGGACGCCCCGCCCGTTCGAATTCGGGAGCTTTCATTATGGGTTTCAGCCACCGACGCAGGACGAGGGCTCGTGACGAGCGACTTGCGGTGCGCTGCGATCGCAGGCGACTCCGTCTGGTCTTCCGGACAATCGGCAGTTCTTCTTCTTGCTCCGGGCACGTCCGGCTGTCCTCGTGAGTTCGGGATGACCGTTGATCGAAGCCGACTCGGAGGTGCGACGCCGCCGCGCGTGAAAGCACAGGAGCGCACGTCGACGAGGCCTGGCCAGGACACAAGGACTGCGAACGCACAGAGGCGCATGGTCACGCCCACCGAACATCACCAATCACCGATGGGAGATGCGCCGAGGCAGGGAACTTCATGAGGAGGCAGATGCCAATCCTGCTTCACACGTCCGCAGGCCTTGTGGCGGCGCATAGCAAGTACGTTCTGCGATCAGAGCACGGCAGGTGGGGCATCTCGTCGCTCGCATCGAACACCAACCGTTGAGGAGACCAGCCGCCGCGGGAGGAGGTTAACTCCGACGACGGCTGGAAGAGCGCCTCCGACAGGAACGGAGCGACTCGGACGGAGCGCAAGTGAACCGGCGCCACGCTCTCGACGCCGTGGTGGCGCGTTTGCTCGAGAGCCGCAAAGTCCGGAGCCTGGAGGTGCGCGACTCGCCCATGTTTCACGCACTGGGCTGTGTATGATGGCCGACGTCATTCCCCAATCCTCTGGCGACGATTGGCGCGTGCCCCGAGCACAGCTCGCCGGTCGCGGCAGCCAACTTTAAATCTCTGGCGCTCACAGGCAGACGGACGGGTGGAGCGAGGGCCGACAGTTCATGCGCTGACCGGGTGGAATCGAGTAGATACACAGACAGCACGTAACCTGCGACACACAGTAGAAGGCTTAACACATAGCTGAGTGGCATGACAGTCGAGGGAGGGAAGGGCCAGGTGAGACCTATCAGGTGTGGTGTACAGTAGTAATACAGCAAAGGTAGAGTGCGACAGGACGAGATGAGGAAAAAGGGTGTCGCCTCCAGGGAACAAGGCCAGCTGATGCTAGACACTGAGCGGCATACCGCCACCCATCCCGCTGATGCCCTTCAGCATCGAAGCCGATGCGCGGAACAAGCTCCCCGGGAGCTGGACAAGGTTCTTCTTCCGGGCGCTTCCGGGCGAGCCCAGTCCGGACGGTGTTGTGTGTTCGATGACCGGTGACTCGGACGGAGACGAGGACGGCGACTCGGAGAATGAACGCCCGTGCATTCGCAGCATCGAAGGGAAATACGACGCGATCTCGGGACTCGATGTCGGCGACGACACGAGCGACGACTGCGACCCGAACGCGACCCGCTCGGAATCTTCTTTAGGGAAGGGAGCAGGAGCTGCTACAACCGGGGCCGACGTTGGAGGGGTTGTCGTTTCGTGAACGGCATGGATGGACCAGAGATTCGCCGACGAACCGAGCGGGGTGGATATCGGCGTCCGCCGAGGTGACGGCCGGAGCTCGTCTTCTTCCTCGATGGGGGCGGTGGTTGGTATCGCGCAGGGGTGCGCGTCCGAAGGCATTCGGGTCAGGCGCGGGTGTACCGCGTCGGGCAGGGAGAGCACCCGACGGAGGGGGATGTCCAGCGCCGCACCAGGATTTGAGGTGGCGCTTGGGTCTGCCGAGCTTAGCTCGACGGTAAAAGCGGTAAGGACGTCCATGTCCCTGGAGCGGCGGCGGTGCTGGTCGACCTCGTCGACGACGACGGCGTCGAAGCCGGGCATCGCGTCACGGATGCAGCGGCGGGAGCGGGACGGAGTAGAGGCGTCCGAGACGGACTTCCTGCGGCGGGCCGCGCCACGAGAGAAGCGGACCTCCCAGTGCTCTCCCTTTTTCACGCACTCGTCGATCGAGGTATAGCATTGAGCGCAGCAAGCGCGCAGCGGAACGGTGATGATATCAGTCGTGATGGGCGGGACCGGGAGGGAGGCGCGCCGCGGGCGTCTGGGAGTGTGGGGTAGCGGGGAAATCGGGTCTTGGTAGACGAGGCAGGGCACGAGAGGCGTGTGGGGAGAGTCACGAGACGGAGAGCGAGCTTTGGTGGTGATACTGCAGGGAGGCGGGGGCAGTGAGCTTCTTGGACAGCCAGCAGCATGGACGAGACAGACCTGGGGACTGAAACCTTGAACGTTACATGGTCCTCTGGCAGGTCGTCTTCTGAGTCGACAGATGGGTCGCGCTTCCGCTTCCACAAGGGGAGGCTGTAGGACTTGGTGACGAAACGCGGCAGCCTGGAGACGGGGCTAGGGTCGGGGATAAGAACGCATTCTTGGTCGAAGCGGACCTTGGGAGCGGTTGGTTCGTCAGCGGCGGGGGGCGATGTGGGGGCAGCGTTGAGGGAGGCAAAGGAGGCCGAGCGAGGGACTGCGGCCATGGTGGTCGTCGGAGAGAGAGAGGATGGAGACGGGGGGAGGGAAGACGGCGAGACAGGCTCGGAGCTCGATCACCTGTCCCGGCAGATTGCCTCTTTGGGCTAGAAACAGGCCTTCGGGCACACGTGATCGTGTCTCCGCCGCCGGCTCCGCTCCGCCGGCTCGCGCCAAACTGCGCGCCGCCCGCCAGCGCCCGCCCCCATCAGGCGAGACCGCCCCGGGCGCACACAGACCGCACCGACGGAAATAGGCCTCGTGCCATCGCTACCACGTACACGTACACAACCATCCTGCTCATGCCAGGTAGATGTACTTGTTCTTCACCTCTGGGTCCCGCATAATGTACTCCTGCTCCGTCAGGCCTTCGATACGCTGCTTGATCGTCGACACGTCCGGCACAAAGTGGTTCTTGACCGCCTCGATTGTCGCCGTCTTCAGCGCTTCGAACATCATTTCCTTCTTCCCCTTCATCACCCGCACGATCGCCGCGTCTATCGCGTGCTTCCGGTCCTGCTCGATCGACGTCTGCGTCCGCTTGCTCTCCTCCGCCTGCACGCTCCAAGTCAGACCGGATCTCGCCCACGCACAGTCCGAATCCCACGTACCGTCTCCTTCACCTGGATCGAATTGATGAACACGTGCTTCCTCTCGTCCATGAAGTCCGCGTTGAACGTAAAGATGTCCTTGTCGTTGACGTCCTTGCTGACCGGATGCTTCGTCAACACTCGTTTCTTCCCCAATGCGAGGCTTTGCAACGTCCGCTTGAGTTCCGTCTCCTCTGCTCGCTTCTGTCAGTCGCGTGCTTCCCGCTGGATGGCGAGACTGCTTACCCAACGACGTCTGCGCCAGGATATCTGTGTACGATAGCTCGTCCACGTCCTGGAACAACAGCAGGATGACAGCCTGATACAGGCTGACCGTCAGCATCTTCGTGTCCGAATTGAACACAGCCTTGAGAGTGGCTGTCCCCAGCGAGTGATCCCAGTCTAACTTTCGACCAGAATGCACATCCTTGTAGAAATCCGCGTACGTGGTCAATGAGTCTTGCATCTAAGACCGTCATCAAAAACGCCGTTTACGGCGAGAGCGCGCGTCAGCTTACCCAGAGCGGGAGGTCGATGTCTTTTGTGCGCGCCGCGAATGGCCATGCGCTCCGCTGTAGCACCTTGACGTCTAAGCTTTCCAACCCCGAAGACGGGTCTCTCAGCTTCTCCTTGAACCTCGTCATGTTGTCGCGCGAGACGGCCAAGTCGGTGAACATCTGCTCGCCCTGGCCGAACTCGGGATCGTAGTCTGTGCAGAGTCATCAGCTCCATGTCCAACACGGATGTACAACCTTCCACACACTCTCTTTCAGCACTTTGAGCACGTTCTTCTCGATGTCGGTGCTTGCACTCTTATCCAGGAGCAGACGCTTGGCGAGCGCGCGTTGGTAGAACGTCCGGAATACGTCCAAATCGTCCGTGTACCGGTAAAGTGAAAGAGCTTCGGTAAGCTCCGATAGGAAGGCTGAGTCTTCCTTGGCCTTTTGGCCCCGTCGCATAGCTTTGTCCATGTGCTTGGCAATCATTTCAGCAGGTTTGAGGCGACGAGCTTTGAAGCCAGCTTGGAAGGCGTCGGTGAGCCCGTAAACGAAGTCTCGACTCGTTTGCACGACGGCCTCGGGCTCTGCGGGAGCAGGGGCCTTGGATGAAGACGCTTGAGGGCGTGAGGACGCTGGCACGGTTTCATCCACGAAGACGGTTGTGACGAGTTTGTCGCAGAATGCTTTCAAAATCAACAATCTAGATACCATCTCGTCGTCCCTCGCTTGATTAGTGACGACCTCTTTGACGGCGCCCTGCATCTCAGCGTCAGCACCTTGTGCGTGAAGACGACATCGAGAAAGGGGCACACCTGGACGTAGACTTTGAACGAGGCACTTAGCACCTTGAGTCCGCCGACTTTGGCCAGCCGCTTGTACAGCTTCTTGAGCTGATCCACTTGCTTAACGTCCATGTATGTCTTCAAGGCTGCGTGCGCGTCGTCAGCCTTCCCAGCCAGTAATCTGACGAGGACGACGGACCGTCTTTGGCGAGCCACTGCAGGCGGTTCGTCAGCAGCGCGCTGTCCGTCGTGTCTCGCACGGGTGCCACCGCGCTTTCTACGAGAACTTCACGCGCCCGGGTCTCCTCCTCTTCGCCGCGCTGCTCGACGTGTTCGAAGAACTTGTTCGCAGGCGTCTCGTCCCCGTGGAGCTTGGCGGACTCGGCCGTGTAGAAGGTGTGGGTCAGCGTGAGGTATGTGGACTGGATCATGTCGGCGTAGAGCCCGTACGCCAGCATGTGCCGCACGAGCTGGGGGAGGTAGGCCCGGAGGACGTGCTGCTTTCTGGTGCATTGACACGACGTGCGATGAGGGAGGGAGGATGTGGGTATCGAGGATGACGACTTACCTCGTATTCCTCTCGCACTCCAGCCAGTCTGCTACGCCGTCCATGATCAAATTGGTGATCTGAGCGTTCCATATGACTGAGGTAATGAAGGTGGTGTTCGCAAGCTGTCTGCATACACCCGGTGAACAGTGAGGGCGACGCAAGACTGGAGATGGCATGATACGCACTTGATGCTAGGAAGACCAGGACGCTCCCCAACGTAGAGGGTGTCCAAATAGGCGAGAGAGATTGCAGGAGGCCCTGGGCAGGCGATTACGCGAGAAGTATACGGCGACAGTAGGAAGACTCACCACTTGCTTCTCATACCACGCGCACTTCTCGGTGAACGGCACCAGCCACTCCACGCTCTTCTCCTCCTTGTTCACTAGCGTCTTCTGTAACATTGAGCCGCATCGCTCGAGATCCATCTTGACGGCATCGTACAGTCCCTCGCCCCGGCCGGCCTCGCCGACAGCCGCTCGACACGCCCGAGAGATCCTGTCGTACGTCTCTGGGAGTGGTCTATCCTCCGAGGGGTTCAGTATGATGCTGATCGTGCGCCGCACCAGATTGTAGTCGGCGTCGTAGAAGGATGTCGGGACCGGTTTGACTGGGGGTCCGATCTCCGATGAGAACGCGGAGCTAGCAGAAAAGACGACGGAGGTGGCGTACCGGGGTAGCCTACGACGTTGAGAACGACCGGGCGACGCTTTTCGTGGAGTCGGCGAGACCTGGGCGCGAGCTGGACGATGAAGCAGAGCGAGCATTAGAGGCGACGTCCAGACGGGCGATCTTGCGTGGGGGAGACTCGGACCGAGATAGCTCGTCTCTTGTGCTCGGGATGCCTTGCGGCTTGGACGAGACGATAGAGAATGCATTTGATGTGCTGGGCAGGCTCAGCAGCGTGAAGACGTCCGCCATCGCTGCTATGGAAGGTGCTTACAGGAGAGCGTCGTCCGGACTGGGTGCGAGGCACGAGCGCTCGTCCAAACTGGTGCTTACTCAGTATGGATGCCGGATGTAGGAAGCGCGCATCCACCACGCTTTGGTGACAGAGGGCAGTGGAGTTGCCACCCTCACTCGCCTCGCACTCAAGCAGACCATCCGGGGATGCAACCTCTGACTGTGTTGTGCCTCACTTTCCCCCTCCCATGCTCAAGCATAAAGCATGAGCACTGCTCTATCCATCTCTCTCTCTGGCCTATCTCACAAGGCCCAACACATGATAGGAACTTGGAAGTGTGTGATCATTAAACCTCACCACAGGCACAGGGAGGCACCACCTTATAATTGTAACCTCAAGTTCTCCCACACACAATCCATATGAAATATGCTCAGTTTGTGACACATTATATTCAGACTCATATAAACATTAACATGAGATCACACAAATCAAATTCAATGAGGGTAATTTGACAACAGCTCAGAGTAGGTATGCAAAACCTGAAGTGTGATGAGGTATAAGAGCCTTCCCCACATCTGGGAAAGTAGGACTTACCTTTGCAGACTGTTCATCTTGCAGAGGTGACAATCTGCAAATGGTAGCTGCAGCTCAATCCATCTTTTGGCTTCATTGTGAGCTGATTCTCTATAGATTAAACTCAGCCAGCTGTCATACAAGATATTATAATTCACTTACTGGAGACATTCAATTCCAGTATTATAAGCAGTTGCCATAAGCCATGTCTGTTCATCTGGTGGATACTTCTGGTTTTTGTGATCAGCTCCTGCATATAAACATAACACAGGTGGTCTTACATTATGACTACTTCTTTGCTCTTGAAGCACACATATTCCCTGCTCAACATATCCAATAGCTTTTGCTCTGCTGCTTGGTGAATTATGAGACAAAAGATTGGTGCACAATGCACGAAGCCATCTTGAAAACTTGTCCACAGATATGTTTGAACCCTTTAAAGTTGAGTGCAGTATGCCCTGTGATTATTGAAGATTCAGTACAAATACATTCATTCAGTTTGATTAATGACCTCCAAAGCTAATAGCAGCACTGTGGATACAAAAACAATGAAGATTTTCAGTATTTGTAGAAGATATACTAAGACTTATATTTAAATACCTGAAGTGGGGCACTCTTTGGCTGTCCACTGTGCATGTTCTCAATTAGTGAGCAATAAAAATTGATCAAAACAGTAAGACTTACCAAGATATCTACTATGGCCTCATACACTGCTATTGTAGAATTCTGATCATTACTGAGAAGCTGATATATATTTAAGCTGCAGGACCTTGAAAATTGTTGTAGTCATACCTGTATACTTTCTTGAATATGCTCCCAATTCTTGGTCTTGGAAGAAATCTCCACATCAAATACAAAAGCATACAGTGCACCATGTTGGCATGGTCTAGTTCTTGGGTTGTGAGCCTGTTTGCACTTGCAAGTACCATTTGGTATATTGGTGCATATTGCAATGTCTTGGAGGGGCACTTGTTGAAAAGTCTTATTCCAGATGTGTCTGTAAGTGAAACATCAATTATCAAGACTAGAGACTCACTTGAGATGTTTGCCTACTCTGAAAGACTGTTTTATAGCAACAATGTCAGTTATATGTCACAAGAATGAACCCCACCCACGTTTTGCAGCAATGTTGGCAAAAGTAGCATTCATCAAACACAGTTGTATCTCCTTGAGAGGCTCAACAGTAGTATCCTGTGATACAAGCTCCATGAACTAATCCACATGTAAGCTAAGGCAATTGAACATAAATTAGGGTTGAGCACTCACCTGCTGAGAATAGCAAATAGCTGGGCTATACTGCTTTCACATCCTTGCCACTCAGAACAGCCTTGAACAGCTGTGTTAAAGGCTGTTCTCCAAAGCCAGGATATGTCTTGAGAGGGCAATGATGTTGTCTTAGAAATCAATATGAAGGCTGATATGTATGAGATCACCATGCAAATTCAGACACAATTATAGACTGACCAGTGTCAAAATGATCTGTCAAAACAGGTAGAGTGATGTTCTTAGCAAAATATTAGCTTTTACTGAGGTTCAAGTATTACATTAGAACACTCACAAGTCAGACCCTGGCTCAAATACCATTTTGACAACCAGCTTGATGATACTTCGCACAAGAACTATTGAATCAACCTGAGTGGCGTTGAACTATTACTGGCTGTCTTCAGAAGGGCCTGCAGTACTGCAAGCAGTAATCCTTTCAGATTGTGTTCTTGTGCCAACTGGGTGATTAGAAGCAACATCTTCTTGTCAAACCCAGGTGTGTACATTATTGACTGGGCTATCTCCATAGCTAAAAAATTTCAGTACAATGAAAAATCAGTCAAGGAAGCTCTTGCCATCTTCTTCAGCACCTTAAGCAATTAGGCTTGTAAGTCCCTTTCAAGAATTTAAAACAGTAAAGAATACCTTGGTGAACTGCAATCAGCAGCTTGATGTATTCAGTTGCAGCCTCTTGTGAGTAGAATGTAGAAGAGATGAGGCCTGTGCAAATTTGCCACAGTTGATATAGCAAAGTGCTGCTTTATGGTACATTTGACACTGGTGACTTCAAGCATTGGCCTGAATGCTGAGTGAGTCCCAGTAGGTACCAATCAGCAGCTTCTAGGCAGTGTTTTGCATGGAAATGCTTGTCTCCAGACTGCCACAGCACCTGGAAGTTAATCAGTATAATATTTTTCATTCTAGAGCAACAGTGTTCATGTACAGTTATACAAGCCATGGCTGTTGTATGTGGCAGCTCATACTCCTGTGTGTATATCACTAGAAAATTGTAAGCCATTGTTAATGCTCTCTATTAGATCAGTAGACTCACTGTCCAGAGCACCTTGTAAATCCTGGATGCTTCTCTGGTGATCACTATCCTTGGAACAATGGGAGAGGAATGAGAGCAGTATATGATCAAAACAGACTCCATTATTGCTATCTGTGTGTTTGAAGTATTCTCTGAGGTAGGAAAGATAGATCTGAGTATTTAGAGAGCTCCAATGTCCTATGAGTATTGCTGTTAGGAGTTGAGGGGAAAACTACCTCACTGGTCATCCTTCATAGATCTGAGCTCTTGTAGGAGACTACAGCACCATTAACACAAACAGCATCTTTAGTTGTGAATACTTACTCTGTCACACAGCTCTCAGAGAAGGTCATATGGTGAATAAGAGACTTAAAGGCTGAGAGGCAATCTTAGTCAATAGCTGTGCTTATGAGATGCAAAACAAGCAACCTTCAAGAAGTTGGTTATGAGAAGCATTGCCTTGCTTGAGAATGGCCACTTGCATCCAGCATATTTGTTGGTACTCCATTGAAGACTAGGTTGATAGGAAGTCTTACACAGTCCACTCACCCACACTACCTCTATAGTCACTCACTAATGGTATGGATCTCTCAGCTATGGCAACCAGCTCTTGGACACATGTCTCAGCCTTCACAAGATGTTCAGGCTTGTAGGATGATGAGATATAATATGCACGTGCTATGAGAGTGTAGATATAATGTGGGGTCGGCAATCCGAGTAAATGTGACTCACTTAAACTTCGAAGAATAGACCGCTACCACTGGTGTCTAGCTTATGTTAGATTCATAGAAAGAACAAAGGCATACCTTGAGGGTGTCAAATTCTCCACCGGGGCCGTCTTCGAGAGGCTCGACGAAGGTGTAGCAGCACTGAAGCCATTTCACGGACTGCTCTGCATATACACCAGCAGGAAGTTGCTGAGGCGTCGACTTCAGGATGTCCTTCCCGATCTCGAGGAGCTTCTCGGCCAGCGCTATCCGCTGTGTGGTCGTCAGCAGTGACCAATGAACGAAGGAACAAGAAACGCGCATCGGACGGGGTTAAGGAGGCGAGGCACTGAGCGTTCTCTGTCGAAGCACATAAATATCGTGCATGACGAAGCGCACAAGGCAGGACCAACCTGTCAGTTTCTCCAGCATAAACTCGGCAACGCTTGCATTTCCCTCCCGCCAAGCCTGGGGGTATTGTCAGCTGCGTTTATCGATATATGTACGCACTGACGCACAGCCGACATCCTGGCCGAATAATAAAGGGCGACAGCGCGCCTCCTTGACTGAGCATGTACGCCTTGTGGGTCTTCTGCCGTGCGAAGTTGTTCTTCGTACTGTCCCCATCGTCAGGTGAGCACGGAAAGGCGCGAGGGAAACCGCATAGCTTCCAGACCTTCGCCGCCGAGGTCAGGACGCCGCAGATAGGTCAGACTCTCCGGTCTCTACGTGGGCCGGCGTTAACAAACAAACGGTCGGAGGGCGAGCTCCACCGACCGGCCAAGCTTGTACCTGTCTTGCTGGCAAGCCGTAAGATGTGTATGAGAGCTACAGACGGACAAATATGTTAATAACGGATAGGACGCGCAGGAATTGCCAGCCAAGACATCTGAATGCTAACCGTCTATTCCGGGTTGTGAGGCAAGCCGAGTTCAATTAGACGAAATGCAGCCAGTCGAACTGAGGACAACTCTATTGGAACAGTGTGAGTAGCGCGGAGCGAAATGGGACGCACGAGCAGCGCAGCAGGGGCGGTAGTTTTCATCTTCGACTTCCTTATGCGAAACGGAAACATTCCACAGGGCAACGCCTACTCAAACCTGCAGGACAGGGATCATGCGCGCAGAATGTGGGACCGGGGCGTACCTTCGCGATCTAACTCATCAGCATGCTCTAACCATTGCTCCTTCCTAGCGCGTGGACGAATCTTGATGAGAGCTTCTGCAAGTGTTGCAACCTTGAGGAGATCCGAGCGAAGGGAAGGCCAGCCGGGATCTTTGTCTGCGAGCTTGGGTTTGATTCTGGAGAGGGTGGCTGACAGGGAAGGATGAAGTGAGCAGCGGCGATGGAGGGGACGAGAAGGGGTACGGACATTGGATGTCGTTGTATGCGGCCGGATAGGCCGGAGAGACTTTGCGCTTCCTGTTCTCGGCCATCTGGGGAAATGCTGCCGCGGCCGGGGTCACGGTGGATGTGGTGGATGGGAGGGAAGGTGCGGTGCGCGGAACCGTGACAGACGCGTAACGAGACGCGGGTGGTCACGGTGCAAACGCGTGCAGCGTCACGAGGACGTGTCTCTTGAATTCCCTCGACACCGTCTTTGCTCGACTCGCCTGCGGACATTGCCCCGTCGCCGCCGAGAACAATATGTCGTCTTCGAGCGAAGCCAGCCCGCGGGGACTGCCGGTGGACGAGATTGCGCTTGTGACACGAGTGTGTGCATCCGTCCCTGTCTCCCAGACGTTTCTCACCTCGCCCGGCAGGAAGCGCAACGGCACGGCCTCTTTGCTGGGGTAACTGCGGGCCTCGTCAGCGGTGCGTTTCTATCTGTCTTTGCCTCCTCAGATCTCTCATCAGGCATCTGCGTTCCACACTACGGCGCGTCCGCGCTATGCACGCTCCGTGTAGCCATCATTGGCACAAGGCTCCTTCGCCTCAACAGAAACGCCACGATTCTCTGTGGTGTAGGTAAGCGCCGCCGCTACTCTTTCTCCTTCCCCCAAGCGCAGGAGGCTAACCCCGACTTTTCTCCCAGTCACCGCAGTTGGTGCGAGCTACCAATTTACACAAGGTTTCCTTGCCGCAAACATGGCAGGGCTTGAAAAGGCTAGGCGCGACAAGCTCGCCGCCGAGCAGAACCCACTACCGTTTGAGTCTGGCTGACCAGGTCCACACCCGTGTATAGCCCGTGATTAGGTCAAATGAGATTGGTTTTCGCCGTAAGGCCCCCCTGTGACTGTCGCCAGGATGGCAAACCCCTTATCGGCCTCATATCGATCCTGGAGGCCACTTGTCCCGAAGGCTCGCCACAGATCTCGCGCGCGACTCTGGTCTCGCCGTCTGCCGCACTGGATCCAACAGCCTCCGGGTCCCTCGGGCGTCCTGCCCAAACCTCCCAGGCCGCAATTCCCCGCGCCGCACTCGCCCGGCCGCCGACATGCGTCAGAAGGTTTCGATGTGTCTGGGTTCTGGTTATTTTGCTCGCCCAGCCCTATTCCAGGCTTTCTTTCCCCTTCCACCCCGCGTAATTCCATCCGTTCATCCGCCCATCTACTCGACCCATCTCTGCTTGCAATCGCATGCTTCCCATCACGTCCTCACTCTTCCTCGAAGGGGGTCATTAGGTAAGCATCATCGGCGCCCCGTAGCCATCGTTGTTCGACATCGCAAGGCGTCCCATTGTCTCCTAGCACGATGAGGCCTCGTTTCGTGCCCGCGGCCAAAGGCGGTAAGCGTTCGTCCCCGTTTCCCGTCGCGCCCTGTGTCTCGACCGTGGCTAACGCCCCATTTACCTGATGGAAGCGACGTGCCCCGGGATTACCCACTTGTCCTCGCTTCGATCCAGAAAGAGGCGATACCCGCCACGGCGCCGTCGTGTCATGCGGTGCGAGTGTCTCAGCGTTTGCGGTCTGGTTCGCGCTGGATATCTGCTGCGAGCTCGGTGCAGACGTCCATCACGATCGATCCCACTCAGTCGTGGGCCGGAGCCCGTCGCGCGTCTTCCCAATTCCATCCCATCTGCGCCAACCGCTGCCACAGCGTTGGCACACTAGGGAAAGCCCTCCCCGTCCGATTGCACAATGCGACTTTCGGAGCCGGTGCCGCCGCCGCCACCACCACCACCACCACCCCTCGCGCTCGCTCAAGCGACCTCGCGCCAGGATCACACACCCGCAGCATCGCGGCGATCGCACACTCCTCCAGACCGTTCCCCCATCCCCCGGCGCAGAGGAGCTCGACGGTGGAGCGCGCGTGCGTTTTACTGGTGCAGCGGTGTAACTAGATGTGACACTTCGAGGAGGGAATGATGTCTTGCCCACGCCTCTGGCGGGTCAGCTGGGCGTGCGTTGTGCGCCTTTCCGGTTCTAGAGATGGTCTTATTCGCGTCGACGAGCAGGGTCGGGGCCTTGTGTTCTGCGCAGGCACGCGGGCGTGCGTGCGTGCGCGCCGGGAGAAGGGCAACGCCATACGTGGGCACGGGACGCACGCAGCCGATCGGCCCGCGCACGGAGCTCGGTGGGAGCGTTAATTAGTGGCGGGGCGAGCAAAAAAAACAGACAAAGAAGAGGGGCAGATATGTCAGACGCGCCTGCCTCGCTTGGGCTGGCGCAGCACACACGGATCGCCCAGGAGCCCAGAAGCAGCGCGCGCGCGACAACCGCCGTCTCTTGAGTCTCGGCCGTACTTAGCATTACGCAGTCACTTAGGGGCTCTGGCAAGAATCCAATAATAATACTAATACTAATAAAAGGCGCACACGGCACGCAACCACAGCCGTCATCCGCCCATCCGCCAATCCACCACGCGGGGCGGCACTGTCGGGCGGGCTGCGGATCGCACGTCGTCGACGCGCATTGTGGGGCACACGACGGGCGGCAGGGTGAGCGCAGCGCGCTCGCGCTCCGGGTTCCTAGACTCGTTGGCGGCCGGGTCTGCGAAGGGCTGCGACTCCGTCCGCGGCACCCGCGAACGACTCCGGGCACGGTTCGCGGTTAGGTAAGCATGCATTCGGGTGTCGGAACGCCAAGTACACTTTGGCGCAGGCCGTGGGGCCCGAGATGGAACTCAACATATCGCCCCGCACAACCTCGCGCGTCGATGTGTCGTGTCGAATCTGATCGTGGATGTAGATGGGATCCCCTCGCCCGCCACGTCGCGGGTTCCAGAGTCCAGACGGCGTTTTAGCGTTCGCTCGGCGGGGCGGCGTGTGCCCGGTGGGTTTGATGCAGCCACGGCCAGTTCCAAGGACAAACGCACGCCTATCATGGCAGCGGCAGCATAAGCAGCCGCCAACGAACGAACGAACGAACGCACGCGGCACGCCATACTGGGCTCCTTGGAGCCCTGCCCCTCCGTCACACGGAGCACGTACGGAAGTCTTCCGGCCCGTCCGTAAGTAACGTACATCGGCGGTGACGGCCCGCGGCGACTGTAGGATGCGCAGCCGGCGCTGGGCGGCGGCACTGGTTCACATTACCCGAAGCGTGCATACGTGCGCCAGGGAGGACTTTCCGGGCGACCCGCCAACGACGACGTTCGCGAGTCTCGACTGAGACGGGCCCATCTGACAGAGCCACCTCCAGTGCCACCTCCGCGGCGGCGGGGAGGGACTCGCGACGGAGCTCGGACTGCTCAAGCACGCACACGTCGACCGGTCCATTCGCGCGCAGTTGGCCGAAGAGCCCGCGCCCACCGGAGAGCGCCGTTCGACGCGGCGAACCTTCTGGATATGTACGTGGCTCTGGGGGGCAGTGGCTGGCGCGCGTCCCAGGCCCGCGGGGACGGAGGCACCGCACGTGCCCAGGGCGTAACGGTATACAGTACGTATCTGCGCGCCCGAGCTTGTAATACTCGGACCTCGCGCGAATTCAGTGCAACAACTCTACTTGCCGCCCCAGCGCGCGCGAGGATCCGCGGACCCAGTGATGGCCCACGCCGGAATCCAGCGCGGCCCATCTCAGATGGCGGCGACGAGGTACCGTGCCACTTGATAGACGCCTCGGCTCAGATTCTGTTTCGGGGGCGTGAGGGTGCGATTAATTCGTGCGGCCGTGCGGCGCTGCGGACAACACGCCAGCGATAGACGTACGGAAGCGGGTGGGAGGGGGGCTCGCGCGCGGAGACCGTGCGGGCGTGATGCGGGTGGCGGGAATGGATGGGTGCGAGGTGACCAAGTATGCAAATGGGGTGCGAGCGAGTCTGCCTGACAATTACAGTGCACAATGAACTATGCGGGCCGGGACATGCGTGGAGTCTGAATGCGTAATACGTACAATATGCGATGCGGTAATAAGTGATATGTTCGATGCAGTCCGTATCCGCAACGTTCTAAACACGAGGAATACTGTAAGAACAAAGCGAGATTATACGTGCCGCCCTCGTGCCTGTAGTAATGCGGCGTGGGGTCGGGCGTTAACGTAGAACAGAAGTGAACTCCGGCGGGCCTGCGTTCGCAAACGGGGCCGACGGGATCGAGCAACCATGCATCCCGTCCTGGTCGACGTGGATCGGAGGCAACTGAGTCGTCTCCGTGGCATGCATCGGCTGTGACCAACCCTGCGATACCTCCGAGAACGGGGGCAGACCGGCTGCGGGGCGTGGACATGGGAATGGACTCGTAAGGGCTCGCCGAGGCCGATTGCACGACCATGGGCATCTGGGGCGGGTAGCGGTATGGCGCCGCGGTCGGAGGGGCGCCTGGTGATACCGGAGCCTCGCCTTGCGCGTACGCCGCTCCTCTTCAGATTCCATGGGTGAGCCAGCGAGGGAATAGAAGTACAGGTGCTGCGCACCTCATGTCAGCGAATCCGACATTCTGAAACGGACTGCTTAAGCTCACCTGGGGCACCGCGGGCGCACGCTGGTCTCCATGCGGTATGCGGAACCAGTGTCCGCGGGTAATCCTCCGGTCGTACAGCAGCGACCCATGCCTGCGAGTTTGCGCCATCGACGGGAGAGGCTCCGAGTGACAGCTTGGAGAACGACTGCAGGGACTCTAGCGGAGAAGCGGACGTCTCCCGCGAGTGAGCCATCGGCTGCGGAATGTCGAGCGACAGACCCTGCATGCGCCGCGGGGCCTGCGCAGGAGGCTGCTGGGTCGCGGAGAAGGATGCCGAGGTCGGAGAGAATGCGGCGGATGCAGTGCGCTTGCTGCCGGGGGCGATATCGGGCCGGGCGGGCGAAGGATATGAAACGGGCTGGGCGACAGGTTGGGGAATGACCGTCCGTGGTGGCGGTGGCGGGAGGGGGGTGAGGTGGTGGGAGTGGGGATAGGAGGCAGGGGGAGCAACGGGGCAGCCTGAGGCCCGGCGGGGAGACGACGATCGGGCGCGGTGTGACGAGGCACGTGACGCGTTCAAATGAGCGTGTCTGTGACAGGGTGGGCGGGCAAGATGGGATGCGCGGACAGAGCAACGCGACCGCTGCCAGTACTTCGAGTCCTTCTCCTTGGCCATGACAAGACCGGTGAGGAGGTTGAGCCACGACTCGTACGTCGGCTTGTTCACGTAGAGGTCGAAGTCGATACCCATAAGGAACTCGCGCTCCATGCGGTTGATCTCCGACAGCTCGATGCCGGACACCTCGGACCACGTCTTATTTGTGTACGTGTTGCTGAAGACGGGTAAATGAGTCAATGGACGCGAGACGAAGGAGGAAAACGCGCTCACTCATCCACAAACTTGTTGGCAAGCATGAGTGCGGCGATGGCTACGCGGTACTCGCTGCCAGCCTGGCCAGACGTGAAGGGATTACGCGCTTTGAGGCGGTAGATGTAGTTTAGGGAGAGCACGATAACGGACTGGCTGACTTGGGTGGTCTCCAGTACCTTTTGGACGAATCGTACAAAGGGGGGAGCGACGGAGAACTGAAGGAGCGCGGTGGAGGAGTTGCTATGAGGCGAGAAAGCGGTCTGCTGCGAGGCGGCTACGCGGTTGCGCTTTGAAGGAGAGGCGGAGGTACTTGAGAGGGTGGAGAACCAGAGGTAGCAATCATCTCGCACGTCTTCTCGGCGATGAAACGCGAGGAGCGGTGCGAGTCACTGCCGAACCAGTCGAGAGAGTAGGAAGGCGGCGCGAAGGGATCCTCGGGGAGCTCTTGTTGTGAAGAAGATGGTGAGGGGTCGAGCGAGCGCGAAGGGGGAGGAAGGAGAACGGAGGGAAGGCGGTAGGGAGGAGTGGAGAACTTGTGGTTCCAGTGGTCATAATCGTCGGCAGGGGGCGTAACTTGTGGGGTTGGAATGAGGAAGAGGAGGGCGCGCGAGGAGGTGGGGACATACCTGGTGAACGGCGCGAGATATCGCGGTCAAAATAGGATATTGGAGGGAGGACGGTATGTGTATGGAGGACGCGTCTTTGAGGCGCGGTGGAAAGCGGAGGGGTGAGGGGAGCGTCTTGCTTTGTGTGGCGCCATGAGTGCCATGAGTGGAGGAGGTCGACGGGGAGGGGGAGGGCGGCGGTGGACATTGGAGACGGGTCTGGGGAGGGAGGGAGGACGGGGGCGTAATAAGACGGCAGCATAAGTAGAAGGAGCGTAAGTCGAAGGAGGGATCGGTTTTTTAGAACGAAGGAGGAGACGGAGGAGAGCGCGGCCCCTCGTCACCTTCCCAATTGTGCCATCTCCCTCGTCCCCAATCCGGACACCCGACCGCGGCCCATCAGGGGGGCGCACTCGGGCCCCACCTGCCATATCCGGCAGGTCTATCCTTCCCACATCCCATCACACTCTCCTCCGCCTTTTTGCGCCCCGACGCCGTCCGACCCCCTTCTTTTTCCTCTCCTCGCCCGGCCGTCCGCCCGGCAGCCTCCGCCCGCACCGCGGCACCGAAGCCTCGCTGGGGATTCCCCATAGCCTTTCCCCTCTTTCTGCCCATATCGGGCGTGCTCCCACGCGTAACGTGACTTTCTGCGTCGTCCCGTGCGCGTGCCGGCCCTAGTACGTCCCCAGAACGGCAGCGCAGTCAGGATTCCCGCGCTGCAGTACCCAGAAAATAGGCAGATCGGGGGGTGATCTGGCGGTGTCGCTCGGTGTTGGCCGTGGCTGGCGCGGTGGGCGGGTGCGGGGCGGCGACGGCGGGCGGCCAGACGTCGAGCACGGCGCGCGGGTGGTTGTGCTCGCGGTCGGCCCCTTTCCGCTCGAGGGCTGTCGGATGGGTTGATGGACGCCTTCACGCTCCTGACCTGGCGCCCCTTGCGCGAGAGCGGGCTCGCGCAAATCGTCCTCCCCGGTTTCACCGTCGCCTTCTTGCTCCTGTGCGTTTTTCTGGAGGTGGCTGACGTCGCTAGTGTCTAAGCTTAGGCCTGCTTAGGCCCCGAGTGTGTGATAGCCTCGTGCCCGCCGCACGCTAATCACCATCCGAACCGAACCTGGGCGCCGCGAGCGCCGGTGATTTTGGGCGGCCAGGCGGCCGATAAATGGTTGTCTGGGGGTTACTGCGAGCTGCGGCGAACGCGGCGAGGATGATGCGTCCAGGGACACCGCCTGGGACGGAGAGGCGAGGATGTTGTCTCCGACACGGTCTCAGCGCACAACGCGCCCTCGTCTCACGGGCGAGCGATGGGCGTGGCCTGGCGTGGCCCGTTCTGCGACGGATGCGATGATCTCGCCCATCAGCCCGTCCTCTGCCACGCCAGCCGCGGCGTCCGCCCGCGCTCGCGCTCCCTTCGATTGTCGTCCGTCGCGCCTCTCTCTCCGGGCTGCATTCCTCCTCGCGACACCTCCGCGTCGGCGGCCACCCCGCTTCGAATTCTCGCCTCCCTCGCCCGACGCCTGGGGGCCCGAATATTTTCTTCTGCGCGCTGCTGATCGTGCCGCCACGCGGGGAATGCGCCCCGCGCAATGCACGGCGCCTGGCCCTCGCTGGTCCATCATTTAAACGCGGACGGACAAGCCCCCTCCAACGCCGCCAGCTCAGCTCGCGGGTGTCGCCCAGCCCCGGTGATGGTCATCATTTTGCGTCACTCGCTAAGCTAACAAGCTCCTCGCGGGTTCACCGGTGTGCTGAACCTTCGGGGAGCTCTATCCCCTCCCTCGGCTGTGGTACGTAGTGGACATCAAATCGTGATCAAGGTTTTCAGACCGAACGGTGAAGCAGAGCGAGAGGAGCTCAGTGCGCAAGGCTCGGAGATTTGGTGGTCACGGAGGTGTCACCGTCACCGTTCGTGAGACCTTATGTAAATCGCGCCGTGCACTGCAGCTCAGAATGTCCGAGCGTTGAACGTTTGAACGTTGCGGACGCTGCATTCCTCGGACATCGACCTCGGAAATTTACATGAACGCTCGCGAGGTACATACCATGCTGGCCAGCAACTTTCACGATGATCGCTCCAGTCCACCCCGGTTTGAAGGAGAGAGAGGACTACACTGCAAGCATACAGCTCCGGGCGCCCAGTGACGTGAAAGGCTAGAGTCCAGACGCCGCGCCATGCCCGATGCGGAACCGCAGGCCCTCGTTGCGCTGGCACTCGCGGCCCTGGGCTCCGCACAATACCTCCGTCCTTTTTACCCGCTCCGCGCACGATGATGAGGCCTTGAGGCCCAAGGCCCAGGCAGCACCGGCTGCGTCCGTTGATGGACCCAGTTATGACTCGCAGGCTCGCGAGTGCGTTCGCGGCGGGCGCCCGAGCCCGGTTGGCGGGGGGTCGCGATTGGCGCCGATAAATGAGCAGCCCCCACCGTGTGGGCGCGGGTCGCTCGGGAGGAGAAACTTGGGGGGCACACGGCACACGTCGTGAGCGCTGCGCCCTCGCGTTCCTCGCGGTGGCACCACGGATCGTGATGATCATGGCGCAGGCGGACGGAGGAGGGGAGTCGCGCGCGCGCGGGGTTCCTGCGCGAAGCCGCCACCCAATGCGCGCGGGCTGAATTTAGCGGGCGTCGTCGCGACGGGCGGGGATCGTGAACGTTCTCGCGCGCTGGGTGAGGCTGGGCCGGGAAATCGAGAAGGGAGCCCAAGGGAAGGCAGCTGGCGTGGACTGCTAGCTTCACTGGTTTGATTCATCGCGCGTCGCGGCGAGGGAGGCCAAGATTTCGTTTGCGACCCAGAGTCACGGCGATGCTATGTTTACTCAGGTCCCGTGCCTTTACACTCACTCGGGTGGCGAGTCGAGTGCTCGCCGTAACCCTATGACGCAAAGTCCAGGCTCAAGGATTGCGACCGACTGATGATCGCCAAAGTCAGCCCGGTCGTGGAAGGAAATGAATTCCAGAGGGCTTGCAGACCATCGAGGAATCTGATACGCCCATACATGCATGCCGCAATCCTGTGCGCTGCGCTCATCGAACCGCACGATGCTTGACTTGCAGAGAGACCGTTGGACGACGGTAGCAAGGCATAGCCACGGTGAGGTCTCTTAGGTCACGAGAACCTCGCGCACTGGTGAATTGGTGTGTTCATGCAGTGCCATAACGGAACGTAACCGATATTTATGGGGGATAAGTGCAGTTATCGGCAGGCGAGCGGCGAAGATCGACTTCTGCCGTGGTGGGCCGAGTGTCTGCGCCGACCAGGCCCCGCAACGGGCTCGGTTCGAGCGTGGCCCTGCCCCCGCCCCGGGCTGGTGATCGCCCTGCCCGCTCGCCGACAGAAAACGAGAGATCGGGACTCGGAGCGCGGTGCGTGCAATTGGGGGACGCTCATGTTTCTGAAGCACTCCGAACGCCCTCGGTGGCCAGCCTGTTCAGGCCCTCCGTCCGCCACGCCTCCTTCCCACTCGACAGCGAAACATGGAAGCAAGCGACGGACTCACCAGCGGACACAGCGGCGCTACCGGATTCGGAACGGGGGCGACCCGGCTGGCAACAGCATCTGCCTCGCCGGTTTCTGCGACACGCGCACGCTCGCGCGGACGCGCACCCGTCACCGCGTCGCCGACCTGGGCGCCGCAGCGGTGCACTGGCAGACGCGTCCATACGTACCGCGGTCATCATCGGCATCTCTCTGCTTCATGGAATCGCTCGTGCGCATCTGCACTGACAAGGCACCGCTCATCACGTTCTGAAGCCGAGTTAAGTGCCGTCCGGCGCTCGTCGGCGCCTACCTCACCCGCGCGCGCGTACAGGCTCAGACTCAAGACTCAGGTTGCGGTCTGCGGAACGCCTGGGGTTCGGGCGCGGTCGACCCTGCACGGGCCAAGTCGAAGCTCGATTGCTTCACGACGTCAACGCGCCCCCGCGTGCGCGCACGCGCGCGCGTGGATAGAACGGAGACGGCAGGTTACGTGGGGGGGATACGGCCACGGCCGTAGCTTCCTGGGACTGGAAACCGGACACTCGCAGTGACAGCTCGCTCTGCGGGCGGATCGTAATGGGCGTCCCGGATGGAAGGGGAGGGGAAGATGGATGGGGATAGTAAGCGCGATGCAGGGCTGATGCGATGGCACAGGCCGGTAGCTGTAGCTGGAGCTTTGGTGGGTGGACTGAGAGAAGGAGAAGCGGGCATTCGTTCAGTTCTGGATCTCTCAAGCTCCACGGTCGCCGGTGGATGTTGACCGCCGATGGGGATGACATGGACAGGTCGCAGCGGGTAGGGAAAGGCAGTGGGAAGTCCAGATATCGACGTCCTGGGGCGTGGGGGGACGTGGGAGGGGAAGCGGGCGTGGCGGCGAGGCCGTGGAGATCGTCGAGCGGGACGAGTAGGGAAACCCGGGAGCATGGGGCCAGGACGCAGACGAGTACGAAGGTGGTCAGACGCGAGAGCCAGCTGAAGGGCTCAAGTGCTCGAGGTGGGGTGCGGCGCACGCGGCGAGACGCGGCGGTCTGTGAGCAACGACAAGTGCGGCTGCGGCGGCGAAGTCAGACGTTCTCGAAGATGATGAACAGAACGGCTGTCAGTTTCGGTTTATCCTGGTGCAACCTCAGGCTAGCTCAGGTTCGTGTGCGGTGGCGCGTTAATTTGGGGGAGGACAGGCCTGGCGACGGTGCACGGTCTGGACGGGCAGGAATGGTCGGCTGCGGGTGTGGACGACGAGGGCGCGAGGCGTGCGGATTATCCGGTCACCTGCTGGTCGAGCAGTCGGTACTTAGACTTACCTATTAGTCAGCCGCGGCTGATAGAACGGATATTGATGCGGGCATTAGAACAAACATGCATCGACGGGAGGCGGATGTCTGGATGGGGCGACGGATGAGCCGGGCGGAGGCGGATGGCCGGTGCGGGCGCTCCGGGGCAGGAGATGGGCGTGGAGGACGGAGCGGAGGTTGGGCGCGGCGGAAAGTGCCGGGCGGCGGGTGCGTGTTCGAGGCGCACGCACGGCCAGCCTCTGCACCAGTCGCGACACAGAGGCGGACAAAGCAAGGAGACTGCCACAGATCGGCCGGGATCGGCTGGCTCGCCATGTATGTTGCACGGCGCCGCTGCACCAGCCCCCTCCTTCCGTTCCTGTCCCGCCCTCGCCACGCTAGCATCCAGATGCGGCCCCGAGATCGTTCCTGTGCGTCTCCTCCGGGCTCCGGCGCTGATCCTCGCCGCGGATGCCGTCTGAGCTCGCGCCGGCCGAGCTCGCTAACTCCGGTTCCATCTTCTTATTCTTCCTGATAAGTACATAAGTCGTTCTGGCTTCTCAGAAAAGATAGGCGCTACTGAACGCCGAGCTGGGCTAGTTCGCCTGCCGGAACACGGCGCTCGCCAGCCACTCCGAGTCCCAGTGAACGTCATCGCGAAAGCGACATACGCAGGCAACTCACCCGCCGTGCGCCTGAGCTGCAGGCCCCGCAGCGTCGCCCTTCCCATGTTCTCGCCGCTTGGTCCCCTACCGGGTGCCCACGACTCTCACTAAAATTCACCTGTTCTCACGTCCTACCCCCGTTCGATAGTCTCGCACGTTCGGCCTTGTGGAGCCACACACGTGCCGTCACAGAGTCCCCCGCCCGTCACGGTCACGCCGTCCTCACGCAGGCGACGGGTCGCTGGGCACAGCGAGCAACACTCACGACGACGTCGACGGCCTCCCCCCTTCCATCCTCCGCGCCCCCGCCGGCCGCCCCTCTCGACCGCCCTTCCACGTCTCTGCTGCGGCACACGTCCCATACGCTCTCTTGACCTCTCTCTCCTTCTCCCGCCATGGGCATCCAGTTTGGCTCCTTCGACCAAATCTGTGAGACCGCCGCCCTCGTCATCTGCCCCCTCGTCGGCTCCAGCCAGGGCATCGAGCCCTCATGCTACAGCCGCAACGTTGAGATCTCCGGCACTCTCATCTTCCAGCCCTGTGAGTCCCGCTCCGCACCCCCAGCTTTCGTCCACCCACCACTCTCACTCATCCACCCACCCCTCCAGCAACATGCTTTGTCCATATTGTCGCCATCTTCATGACCGGGATTATGATCTTCCACATTCGGAGTAAATACACGGCAGTCGGTGCGTCATCACTCTCCAATGTCCCTTTCGTTTTCTCATCAACCCACTGCGCCCAGGTCGCAAGGAGATTCTCATGTTCTTCTACCTCTACGCTATCATCGAGCTTCTTGCCATTTTCCTCGACTCCGGCATTATCCCCACCGCAAATGTCAGCTATCCAGTAAGTCTGCCCGGCCAGTACCCCCCCGCGCTGCTTGACCGGTCTCTAGTGGTTTGCGGCCATCTACACAGGTCTTGTTGCCGGCGCATACACCTGTCTCCTCATCAACGGCTTTGTGGGTTTCCAGTTTGCAGAAGATGGAACGCCACTATCTCTCTGGGTTAGTTATGTTTGTTTGTTCTGTATTATGTTCACCAATCGCTCTGCCCCTCACAGCTTCTTCGGATATCCACATTCGTCGTGTTTGGCGTCTCGCTGTTCATCGCCATCGCCACCTTCAAGAAGCTTGCCGGATTTGACTACGCGAAACCCATCGCCCTCTGGATCATCTACATCCTTTGGCCGCTCGTATGCTCTGTTGTGTACATCGTCTCGCAGCTCATCCTCGTCTTCCGCACACTAGAGGACCGCTGGCCGATTGGAGACATCGTGTTCGGCACCGCCTTCTTCACCATCGCACAAGTCATCCTCTTTGCCTTCTCCGTCACCATCTGTGACGCCATCAAGCACTACATCGACGGCCTGTTCTTCTTCACGCTCTGCATGCTCCTGAGCGTCATGATGGTGTACAAGTACTGGGACAGTATCACGGTGCGCAGTCTTCCCCGCTTTCTCCGCTCCATCTCATCTTTCCCGTGGCCATCAGCGCGAGGACCTCGAGTTCTCCGTCGGCTCCAAGGCAACCGTTTGGGAAGTCAAGGACCCCCTCCTCGCAAATGACTTCGAGGAGGACACCTCGAGCAGCTACGCGCACGGCGGTCCGCCTGCGAGCCTCGTCGGTGGCGTGAGCGGCAAGCAGCTCTACAACGGTGGTGGTGGTGGTGGCGGCGGCGGCGGGCGAGGATACCCTCCGGCAATGGAGCGGTTCTGAGTGCGCTCCTGAGCGCGCTCGAGTGCGTGGTGGGACGGTGCGCTCGAGAGAGAGAGACGGCGACGACGACGACGGCAACGGACTGCGGTAGATACGTACGGACACCCACCCACGCCCACCGACTATTTTTGACCCTCTCTTTTAATACCATACACCTGTAGCACAGTACGGATCTTCCACGTCGGGTTTGGATCTACGGGCGCATGTGGTGTTTTTGGACGGGCGACCGTTTGCTCGCTCTGGTGAACGGTTGCTGGAGAGTTTGACATCATCACGTTGCAGGGGCGCCACATGCTCTAGGATCTACTCTGGGACCTGTGCGTGAGCCTCCTTGTTGCTGCGTCCATGTCATATCATGAATGGACGTGGTCACACTGGCCGCGCGGACTTCGTGTTGGCAGAATCGAGGCGCACGCAGAGTTGAAAGTTGGCGTCGATGTGTGATGGGGGCGCACGACGTCGTTGTTATGACATTGCGCAGAACATGCGAACGCGGTGGGCGTCGTATCACCTCCGGGTTGCGGCAAGCCGCCTTTCGCTCTCCACACACCCAGACCCTTCCCCGGAACGCACGAGCTCGAAGCGTCACGTCTGTCCAATGCAACGTCGCCTCAGATAGATAGGTTTCGGTATCTCTTTGCGCGGGGGAATTACAGCGGGTATACCAGTACCGGACCCCACTTCTATAGCGTCCACACTCATGTCCTAAGGACCGACGGAACGCGCTCAGGCGGACGCGGACGCAGGCTTGGGCGCGTCGCCCGTCGTCGTGTTCCACACCGTCCCGGGTGGTACGGCCCAGTCGCCGTGGCAGGCCCAGTTCCAGTCCGTGTCCGCGACGATCTCGCGCTGGGCGGCGACGAACGCGGGCACGGGGCACTTGCCGTCCGCGTCCTCGGGGCAGCCGCGGATGCCGGTGAGGGGCGCGACGCCGTCGTTGATGATGACGCGGATCTGCGGGTCGGGGAGGGACTCGCACGAGAGCACTGTGGGCGGCGGGTGAAGAGAAGGAGGAGTTAGCGGGCAGACGAGGAGAACGGAGGGGGGAACGGGGGGCGTACGCTGGAACTGAATGTTGGTCGCGAAGGGTGCGAGGTGGGAGGACTTGAAGGCGCGGTTCGGGGGGATGTGGTCGAACGGGAGGGGCCCGTCCGCTGCGAAGTTGGAGAGGTTCAACGCAGTGATCACTGGAGTTGAGAGTGAGCGGGAATGTGCACGAGAAGGGGCGTGGACGCTCACCGTTGAGCACGACCACTTCGTGCGTGGCGTCAACGTAAAGGCTCTGGCCGAGCGGGAACGTGGTCTGATTGTCGTCAAGAGTCGCGTTCGTCGACGAATTGTGGACTGGTATCGGAGTGTGCGTGAGGCGGGCGAGAAGCTCTTGCACGTAGCCGATGCCCTGGACGCGAGCACCGGAGAGCCGAACGCAGAGTCATACCAGAAATAGAGGTCCAGTCTGCGGGCGAGTCAGATTGTATATCACAAAAAAGTACAAGGTGTCACGTACGCATAGTTGAAACCCTTCCACTCCTCCTCGGTGAACAGTTCGCAGAACTTAGAGTATCCGATGGCAACTGTCTGTAACCTAGGTCAGACGACTTCAAGAGGGGATTCTAGCAAGACACACCTCGTACGCGCACGTCTGCTGCAGGGTGTAGACATCCTCGATGGTAAGCTCATAGCCATGAAGCTGAGGCTTGAGACGGGCAAGGGCGTCCTTCAGGTAATGGCAGCCCATTTTGCGACGTATGCAGTCCCGCGATCAGCTTTAGAGCGATCACCAGCGTTGGGGCAAGTCTTGTACGGCGCAAGGGTGTTGTTGAATCCGTTCTCCTCAATGGTGATGCTCTGCTGGTACTGACCATCGAATGGATAGCCGAAGAAGCCGAGGGCAAAGTTGAGGGCCGAAGAGAGCATACGATCCTGAGACTCGGTGCGGAAGACTGGGATGGTGTTGGAGTCGGTAAAGTTCTTGAGAAGGAAGCCGTACTTCATACGCATGGACACCCCCAAATCGACTACAAGGGGATGAGCATAGGCAAACAGCAAGGAAATGAGGACGTACAGAGCTGTTGGCGGCCGAACGGCGTCAGAATCTCTTCGCCTAGCTTGTAAGTCCTGGAGAGAACAAGAGCTTAGTATCTAGAGTCGGAGCACCAACAGGACAAAACCGACCAGTCATTCATGAACTGAAGGTCTCCGGAGCCATTCCAACCGGCGGCAGCCGCGTGAAGACGGCCGGAGAAGTTGGCAGGGCCGCCGTAGGAGGCCCATTCGGTGGGGTAGCGAGCACCATGACGGTGGAGGAGATGGAGACCAGTTACACGGCAGGTCGGAGGGGCCTCCGGACCCGAGTCAATACCGAACGAGGCACGTTCGACACTGAACCAGGGGAAAGGTTTCCCCAGTGCTTGAAGATATCGAACGAGGAGCCGGACTGCTGGGAGGCATTCTTGGTGAGGATCAAGGGAGATACGAGGTGGGGGGCGCCAGTATGAAGGGGGTATGCAGGAGCGGTCGCAATGAGAGCAGGCTCCGCGCCCGTGGGGGTAGGGCCAGCGTAGCCGACGTCGGTGGGGAAGAGGGAGGGGAAAGCATTCGTCGGCGCAGAGGGGGGGAATCGGTGGACCTCGGTTGAGCCAGCGTCGGGGGAGGCGAGGTTCGAGAGCTCAGCAGCGGACGGACGGCTGGGGAAGGGAAGAGAGGAAGAGCGAGGTGGTTGCAGAGGAAGAGCTCGACGAGGACGGCGGAGAGGATGCCGGCGACGTAGGCGAGGGCGACATGGCGAGTGTGGAAGGAGCGGCGAGTGGGCCTCTGCGGGGAAAGAGGCTGCTCAGGATCGTGGGGAAGGAGCGACTGGAATTCTGGGTCCTGGGACTCCTTGTACGTGGACGCCATCGTCGTCGGCGTCGAGGTCCAAGTCGCGGTGCCCAGCACCCGCGCTTCGGGCCGGGACCGAGACGCGCGCGCGAGGTGCGCCTCACGCGTCGACCACCTCCTCGCTCCGCTCACGCGCGACCCACTCCTCGCGCCCTCGTCCGTCCTGGCCCATGGCGACCCTCCTCCGCTTTGCGCCATCGCCCACCGGCGCCCTCCACCTTGGCGGCCTCCGAACCGCGCTCTACAATCACCTCTTTGCCCGCAGAACTGGAGGCAAGTGGATTCTCCGCATCGAGGACACCGACAGGGTACGCGTTCGTTGTCCATGTGTTGTCCCCTCTCACACGATCGCAGACTCGTGCTGTACCTGGCGCCGTCGAGGGCATCAGCAATGCATTGGCGTGGGCTGGCCTGGAGTATGACTTCGGTACGTCTCGCCTTCCAATATGCATGTCATGCCCTCGCTCACCGTGCTATAGGACCGTCAAAAGTCGGTCCTCACGGACCGTACTTCCAGGTATGCCTTCTCACCCATCTTCCCTCCGTCCACTCGTCCTCATCTCTCTATCTCTAGTCAGAGCGGCTGGACCTGTACCACAAGTATGCCGACAGACTTCTTCAGGTTTGCACCTCCCCACTGTCCCATTAGCTCATCAGCTCACCGCATCTACAGTCCGGGCATGCGTACCGTTGCTTTTGCTCCAAGGACAAATTGGCCGACGTTCGCGAGAGGCTGCAGCGCACCGGATCTCGAGCCACCTATGACAAGTCATGTCTTCATCTCACTGAAGAGGAGGCTGCTCGAAGGGCGCGAGCAGGGGAAAGCTATGTAATCAGGTTCAATGTGAGCATTTCCGTCTCGCACTTCACCTTCAGCTGTGTGCAAACCCGCTCAAATGTCCAGGACAGCAACCTTCCAGTCCGTCCCCCGAGCCATGACCTTGTCTTCAGTGGCCTCAAGGATGCTCATGACTCATTACCCACCGATCCTGTGTTACTCAAGGCCGACAAGTTCCCCACCTACCACTTGGCCTCTGTGGTCGACGATTTCGAAATGGGTATCACGCATGTAGTGCGCGGAGAGGTCAGTCACTCATGAGCGCATTCCATGATCGACCCTCATAGTGCAGCAGGAATGGCTCCCATCCTTGCCTCTGCATTTAGACCTCTATGCGGCGCTGTCCCTCCCAATGCCTCACTTTGCCCATTTGCCCATTTTGCTCAACCCAGATGGCTCCAAGATGTCCAAGAGAAAAGGCGACGTCCATGTCCTCGACTACGCGGTATGTTCCTGCCTTTCTGCCAGAGTCTATCTCATGCTCCCTAGCAACGCGGATGGGAACCGAACGCCGTCCTCAACTGGCTAGCCCTCGCCGGGTGGGGAGCTCAGCGAGCTTCCACAGGGTCAACATCACATCCAAGCGCAGATGCTCCTAGTAGTACACAGCTCATGTCTCTGGAGCAGTTGATACAGCAGGTAACCCCCGTCCGATGACTAGGGACATTCACACAGACTCACTTTTCTTGAATAGTTCGACTTCAATAGCCTCACCCAGCGCCGCTCGATCCTGGATCCTCTGAAACTAGAACATATCAACAAGCATCACTTAATGCAGCTTATGTTGACTCCTCACGGTCTCAATTCATCGGCTCAGCGTGCGCAACCCTTCGTACAGAAGGCTTTTCCCAACAGGTCGGTGCTGGACCATTACGAGCCAACAATCTTACCCTTACGCTTATTTAGTCCGTTCACCTCGGTCCCGTACCTTGAGCGAGTCGTATTCACCCTGCAGGTGGGTATCAACAGCCCATGTTCACGTACCGACGATGTATTGAGCGTTCGTAGGGCCGCCTTACCAACCTTTCTGACGTCCCGTCCCTGGCCCCATACCTCTTTGAGGAACCCGACTACACCGCTGAAGAAGCGCAGAAGATGCTTCGAACGGTGAGACAACGAGTGGGCCTTACAGATGCGCAATACGGTATGCGCTTGTTAACCATTTCACGCGTTTACTGACCTTTGATACAGCGGAAGTCATTTCTGATTTGATTGTGCGCCTTCGTCAAGCTTCCACAGGCTGGGACGCGAGTAGTCTTGCACAGATGCTACATGACGGACAGGCGACGTCGGGATTGGCTCCCAAGGACTTCATGCCCATCGTAAGACACGCCCTCACAGGCACGAAGGTACGTCCTCTACTTGATCCTTTATTTGCAGACCGCTCACAACGTTGCGCAGAGTGGCCCCGCAATTGCTGATACCATGGCAGTCTTGGGGCCTGAGCGGACCATTGCGCGACTCGAGAGGCTGGCGAAGTGATACAGCATTCTATTTGTCGTTAATGCGAGTCGATTATCAATACAGTGCCACGAATAATACATCACTTTTCTCCATTCATACATTTTCCGTTTGCTTCGCTGCGCGCGATAAGTCCTTAGAGTGTCTCCCATCCTCCGTTGTCAACCGTTCCCTCCAGGCGACGAGAGATCAGCGTCGGGATGCCGTGGCTCAGCCAGATCTTGTGAACGTCCTCCCAGCGTGCATGGTGCAGATACTGACGGCGACCTCGTCTACGGAACCTGTAAGCATGTACACAGTGGTAGATTGAGAGAATGCTGTCCATACCTCATCGAGACATCCACTTCGCCGTGCACGTCTAGATACGGCGACTGGCCGAATGCACCGTCATTGCCGTACAAGTACAACAATGAGCAACGCTTCACGAGGAAGTACAGACCGACAGCGCCGGCGCAGCTGGGAACATGCGTGAGCAACGACACGATTGCAGAGACGACAGGGTGACACTCACTCTCGCGTGTGCATATTGCATTCTCCACGCGGCGATTGGCTGTCACGATCCATGCAGCAGTGGCTCTGGAAGCAGCACGTCGTCCCGCAAAAGAGGCAGATGGCGGCGTCGAGCGGTACCGTCTTGCACCTGGGGCAGACCATCATCTTGTCCTGATCTAGATAGAGGTGGTCGAGGACGAGCGGCAGCCGAGCCAGGCGGTAGACAAGGGGGTGCTCGAGCAGGACGCCGCAGTTCAACTGGGACGCCGCCTGGGAGTGGCCATAGTGTGCGCACCAGCCGGACAGAGCATTTTGGATGGTGTCATGGGAAGGCAGATCCGAAAGAGGAGGGATCTCGAGGGCTTTCAACAGACGGCGGTATTCGCAACCGCCTTGTTCCATGTCTGGGGAGATGGGAATGCGTTGGGCAGGGCAGCACGACAGAGGATGATGGCCCGCCGCAAGAAGGGGAGGGTGAAGGTGTAGAGCAAGCGTTCGATGCGCGCATCGCCGAAGGCGAGGAACACAGCGTCCGCAGCTTGCTCGAAGATGGGTGAATGTCGAACAACGGACATAAAGAAGACACGAGTGTCGCCGAAGATGTTCTCATACTTGCGCGGCTCCCCCGGAATCGTACTTCCGCTTCTGCTCTTGTTCAGGATGTAGACCAACCCGACAACAGTTCGAGCGAGATGGGCGTAATACGTGAGGATAAGGATATGCTTGAGCATCTCGGGGGCGATAGCTGCAGTCTCGATCAAGATGGTGAAAGGGTCGCGAAGGAGGAGAGGATGAGAGAAAGATGTGAAGGAAGTGCGACTCCACTCGGGGAGTAAACGCTTGATGATCGCTTGTCGTACCGCCTCTCGTCCTTCATCTGGTCGACCCTTGAAGTTCAGACCCGCGAGCTTTGTCAAGCAGGTGAGAAGGCCTCGAACCATGCGATACTGAGAATCTGTGACGCTGTCTGCGACAAGACCACCGGCGCCGTGCCCTCGGAGGGCTACCTCCAACGAGGAGATGGTGTACCCGACGACCTCCTCGGGGAGGTACATCCCTGCGCCTCGCTCCCCCGTCTCCGGCTCAGTCCTGTCCCTGAGATGCCTAGTCTGCTGAGAGATGTTCTTGGCCACGACCATTACGGTGTCCACCATCTTGTGCAGCTCGGTACTATCGGGCCGATCGAGGACGCGGAGGTGGGACTGGTAGGCGGAGTCCTGAGCTGTCCAGAAGACGAACTCGCCCGTGCCGGTGCGGAATTGCAGAGACTCGAGGACCGGATCAGGCTTCGACTTGAGTATATTGATGCCTGCCATCCTGATCCAATCTGAGAACGGCATCGAGCTCATCGGGGGAGCCGCCGAAGCGACGACTGGAAGGATGACGTTGCCCAGGCTTTTGCACAGCGGACAGATGTATTCCTTGCGTGGAATGCTCTCGGGATGGTTGCGCGTAGCTTGATTACGGTGGCGCTGTCGGATCGAGCCGCTGTAGACGGTGAAACAGTCGAGATGCATCATGTGGCTGCAGATGGAAGCTTGGAGACCGAAACGAGTGAACTGGGAAGGGAACGCGTCGAAAGCGGTGGGATAGGGGCGCTTGGATGTCTTCATATCTGCGTTGGAAGGAGGGAAGGCAGCCTCCTGGGGAGTGGTACTGACTCTATCGAGTGACTCAGGACAAGAGAGGGCATCGTTGGTGTACAGCTGATTCCCGTCTGGATAGCGCCGAAGGAGCTTGCTAGGCTGGACGAAGCCGAGAGAGCCAAACGACTTCGTGTCATTGAGTTCCTCTTGGCAAACGATACAAGTTCCATACGAGACGGGGGTGGTCGAGATGTCTGCTAGTTCTTCGTCGTCCTCGTCGTCGATGTCTTCAAAGTTGACGGCGAAGCTGGCTTGCTGTGCCTTCATTTGCCGCATGATCGCCTCCTGCCTTGCCTTTGCGGCCCGCTTCTTGATTTCACTGGGATCTTCCGCCTCAGATTGGGAGGTGTCGGGGAAGCGGCGCCGCTTGTCGACCTCCGCACGCTGATGCTCCGCGATGTGGTCCAAGATCCACTGGACTCGTGCTTTGTAGGTTGGGTACTTCTCGTGATGCTCGAAGGCGGCGAGGATATCGACAAGATTCTTCTCTTCTTCATGCGAGATGTGTATAGCCAGCCGACTAAATGCCTCCGGACGCTCAACAATTGCTACCATCGTGAGGTGGAGCACTTGGTCGAGGACGGCTTCGGCCGACGGTGGAGCGGAGCCGGTCGCATCCGTGAGGGTGAGAACGTTGTAGATCCCGTAGAAGATAATCTGCGCGAGAACTTCGGACTCGAAGATGGACGGAAGAACCTGGAAAGGCCCGTGGGTGATGTTGAGTGGCTGGGGAACAATCACGGGATCCTGGCTACCCGTCTTCTTCTTCAGCCAGTTTCGCAGGATCACCTCGACTTCCTCTCGCTTGTTGCGCGTGTAGTGATAGAAGAACGGGTTGACCTCTGCGAACGCCTCATCCTTGAGTTCGTATGTGCCGAAGTCAGCGGTGGACTCTGGGGCTTTGAAGTTCGCGACCTCCTTGAGAACGCGCTCAAAGCAGACGTCGTCGACCATCCGCTCGGCAACTCTTTTGACGAGGTCTGTAAATGTGCATGGTCCAACAGCGAGGGCGTGTACGATCTCCCGGCGTACTGCTTGAGGCAAGGGCATCTTCGTCGCGCTGGCGGTTTCCGTGAGGATGGTGACGAGAACATACAAGAACTCTTCCACCATCCCGGAAAGATGTGATGCATCGTAGGAAGGATGTAGTGTGGCACCAGAGAAGTAACCGAGCAATTGGAAGCGATCGAGCATGCTGACAAGGACCGTGTTGGGGTCGAGGATGGCAAGTGCAGTCTGTAGGATAAAAAGATCTTGGTCATAACAGAGTTCGCGCAGCATGAAGTCACGATAGTGCAGAAGCTGTCCGCGAATTGCGAAGCCATTGCGGACCCATAAGCCCGTCCGAATTTGAGCAATCATGGCGAGGACTTCGAAGTATATCAGTTTCAATCCTGTACAGCGTAAAGCGGAGCTTACCTCGCAGCGGGTAGTCAATGATAGTCAAAAGAGCATCCTCATTCGCCTTCTTGAGGCAAACGTCTCGAAGACTACCCATCCCAATGGTCCGTAAGGAAGCCTCATCCAGAATATCCACGTGTTTGAAGAGCTCGGCTAGCAGCCATTGCAGGGAGTGATGGAAGCTGATCGAGCCATCCATGACATCGAAACTGACGATTTTGTAGGTTCGTTCCCCGTAGACAACTTCATGGGACTCGACTGGTGGGAAGCGACTCGTGTCGCGTCGATCGTCGACGGTGGCAATGCACATGAGGATATGGTGAATGACGGTATCAATAGCGGTTATCAGCTCCCTGACCGTCGCCTTCGAGTAAGCCTCGCCGTACACCTTAATGACCCGAGAGAGCGACAAAGTCACGTTAAACACGCTGATCCAAGCGTCCGTTTCGTACTCCACATGGCTGGAGGCAGCCCGTTTGTTGGGGTTGATACACATGAAAATTTGGCATGTCTTCGCGAACTGGATAATGAACTCGCGATTGTGGGCAATGAGCTGCTGGACTGGCTCGTTGTGACAGAGATACCGAAGGTCGCTGAAGACGGGCATGAATCGCTTCGACTTAAATGGAAAGGTGTCGACATCAATTTCGGCGTCAGGGTCGGGAGGGAAGATGATGCGCTTGTCTTGGATCTGGTTGGTGAAGAAGGCCGCAATGATGCTAGGAGACGAGAGACGATGGAGTGGTGGCGGACAATGTAGAGTGCGATTGAAGGGACCGTGAACAGCTGGAGTGCGAAATACTTGATGGAAGTTTCCGCCTCGCGATCAGTGAGCAGATACGCATCAATGATACGGTGATAGACAGCCGCAAAGTGCGATGCTACCAATTTGCACTCAGCATCACGTCAAACGCAACGAAACCAAGACTCACATATAGCGAGTTTGTGGTCATGACTCAGCGTCAGCAGAGACGCGTAGATTTCCTTGAGGTTGAGGCGAGGTTTCTTCCACAAGCGAGCATGGTAAAGGAACAGCCAATCAAAGCGGGTGGGCTCGTGGATATCGGGGAGAAGGCGGTTGGGGCCCATAGGTAAGGTGGAGGTTGTCCGAGGTGACAAAAGCTCGGCAGCTAAGACTTCTCGCATGACCAGCGCGTCCGTTCCGAGTCTACTCCGAGTGAGATCCAAGAGCCACTCGATGATAACCGCCGAGACCTGTTCGCGAAACGTATCGAGGGCGCGACGGACAGTTACGCCAATGTCTATTTGGGCAATGGCTTGCGCGATCTCCAGAAGGCGCGTAGGGTTGTTCGACATCTCGACGATGTCACGACCCTGCTCGTCAATCCGATCGGCGACACGAGACGCCTCTTCGCGGTTGCGATTGGAGATGTCTTGAAGGAGTTCAATGACCTCGTCGAACGAATGCTTGTCATCGTTCCAGACCACTACAACAAAGAGATCGTTCAGGTGCGTGTCGCCTGTGGGCTGCGAACGGAGGTCAGCTTCGGTCGGGGGTACGATGGTTTCGTCGGGGGAAGAATCCAAGGTGTCGAGGATATAGTCGAGGGCGAATGCGATGGTGCGACTCATGCTGTCGCGTAGGTCTGGCGGGACGGAGACTCGAAATGGGTAGGTCTTGACCGGTGGGACGTCTTGTCCTGTCAGAATCTTGGGGGTTGGCCGCGGGGTGGTGAGAAGGGTTCTTGCCTCAAAGGCTGAGACATGTTCGACGCTCTCTGGGGTAAATGGATGGTAGGGACATTGGATTGACTGACGCCAGGCCTCGACGTCTCCACAGTCGCAACATCCTCCGGACTGTTGTGCGATAAAGAAACTGACGTTGTGGTCGAGGTGGTCTGTAGCCTCGAAACAGTGGGAACACAGAACGCAGCTGTCGTCGAGCGCGCAGTCCCTGAGAACTCGCGTGAGCAGAGATTTCAAAGAAATTCGCGCAAGTTATACTCACTTGCATCGGAAGCAGCTCTCGCCTTTCTTGAAGATATGGCCACAAGGGCGACCTGGGACGACCTGGGGCTGACTGAGCTGACCAACGCTGGCCTGAACCTCGCTCAGGGTGGCGTGAAGGGGAAGACTGGAGTTGGAGTTGGGAAGGAATAAATGAGCGTAGGAACCCCAGAAGGCATCATAGAGCTCGGCGAGGATCTCTGCTCGTGTGGCGGCGGTGAAGGTGTACTTGCGGGAAGTGGGCAGGTTCTCGAGCGAGGAGCGAAGGCGGAAGAGCAGGTCTGCCTGGCGGTCGCGTGTATTCGGGTGCATGGAGGGAATGAGCCGCGAGGGCAGGAAGGAGGAGAGGCCGCTCATCGTCGCACACGACGGCGAGAGGCAAGAGCGGAGGACGTCGAACCGGCCTCGCGCCCGCTCGTCCGCGGCCCGCGCTCGCTTCCTCCTCCCACCCCCTCCTGGCTCCAGCCTCCTCCCGCCATGGCTGCTCGGTCCTCGTTCCAGAACGCGGCCAACCGCCCCAGCTCCTCTACATCCGCAGTGCCCTCGCTCGCAGCCGTCGCCGATCCGCCTGCCCGCCATGTCGACGGCGCCGCGATGGACTACTTCGTGATCGAGATGGTCAACTCCCTCCGCGCGTCCGCCGCCATCGCCTCTGCGCGCAGGCGGCGGAACGAGCAAGAAATGACAGAGGCTGGCCTCATGCCTGCTCCAGCCGCTTCTGGCCCTGCACAGAAAAAGAGCCAGTTCCGCGACTCCATAGTCAGTAACGCCTCTCACAACTCGCTCGCCAAAGACGCGAAAGAAGACGAAGAGGAAGAAGAGCTCCGTGCTCGCCTCGAAGCCATAGGCATGCACGTAGGTGCAAATATGGCCGAGTGGTGTGTTCTCTACACATCCCTTTGGCTCACACTCATGCATGTCGTCCCAGCCTGTGCCATGACCGCGGCCTTTTCTCCGAGCACCTCGATGCCATCAAGTTCATCTGCAAGGATCTGTGGAACGCTTGTTGGGAGAAGCAGGTCGATAATCTGAGAACCAACCATCGAGTCTGTGGTCGTTCATAATTGCGTCACGCCAGCCTCTTATGATGCCTCCAGGGCGTGTATGTCCTGCAGGACAACAGCTTCAAGCCACTCAACCGAATATCCGGCTGGGAGGGTCGCGGAGAGTCCCTTAGACGAGCCAGACTGGTGTGTCTTGTTCTGATAACTGAAATCGGCCCCCTGAGGCACCTCGTAGTACGCAGCGATGCCGGCAGGGATCATCCGCGGGGCCCTCGGAAGGCTCGGTTACCAGGCCTCTGTAACACCAGAAGTAACCACTCTCCCCCAATGTGCGCGCTCAACACTCCAGCCGAACACCCGGCTGACTGTGTTGCAGGTACATTCCAGGTCAAACTCCCAAAGGGTTCATAATGAAGAACACTACTCGGCGTCCATAGCATTAAAAACGGCGAAAGGTAGATAGGAAGACATGACTCGGATTACATGGTGCTGAAGTCTCGCAGATGGTATAGCAGTACGCGCCCTCGGTTGTTTCCGATCGCGACATACTCACTTCTCGCGGAGAAGTCCACGCTGGTGACATGGCCCAGAGGTGTGCTCGACGTTGGCCAGTTGGAGAACGCGGTGAGAGAGGGCATATGGATCTATGTTGGGACCTTCGATGAAAATATGCCGTCATAGTCGACGCAGTCTCACGTACCAAGCGCATCTGATCCTTTTTCGTATGGCTCGCAACGGCGAGCAGCTGTGCGTCGTGGTTGAAGCGCATCGACGTAACCGCAGTAGTAAGGTTACCCATAGTTTTGAGTACTTTTGGCCGATCTACGCTGCCTGAGAAAGCTTCTGAGCCATACACATTGACGAAGCCAATCTTCGAGCTAGATATGGGTTGAGCGAGATATACTCACATAGTGGCTGATCGCACTCACCCGATGGCCAAATACTTCCCTGACGCATCACCTTCCAGCCCCAAACTGCCATACCCCCCGTCATCTTTCCACCGCCGCAAGCATCGTCGCTGACCGACGTCCCAGACGTAAATCTCTGAGTCTTCGCCCAATGTAAGTAGCTCTCCGTTGGACCACCAGATCGACTGTACGCCAGTGTTCATCTTGATGCTACCAACAACCTGTCCGCCGCCGTTCCGCCAGTCGACGAGGTGGACGTGTCCTCTGCGGCCCGCGACAGCGAGAATAGAGCCAGTGCGGTCGAATGAGCAGATTTCCATGCTGCCGTCCTGCACTGCTTGATTGGCCGAGAATGTTGTCCCCCACAGACCACGTGGAGATCGCTGGCTTGTGCCTGTTTGAAGGTCGTAGGTATAATAGAACGGCCGTGGACCGGTGAGAAGAACGGAGGTTCCGCCTGGATGGAACAGGGCGTTTGCGAGTGGGAGTGAGGGAACATGGAGGGTGTGAAGGTGTGGATTTGTATGACCGTCAATCTAGTCGACCTGAGAGCGCAGTAGGGGATTTGAAGACAAGGTTGACTCACGTTGTACAAACGCAACCGCCTGTCTGAGCTCGCGGAGAGGAGGACAGACACTTGAGGAGATGGATGAAAGCGAACGCATTTTATCTCCCCTCGGCCACAGCAGAGAGATTGGCATCGCGCAAGCGTTCAATGGCAAGCGTACCAGCAGGGAGAACATGAGCTCGTTGACGAGAGAGGGTAGACCCTGTCGCTCCAAGGAGATCTCCTGGAACTCCGTGCCCTCCCACGGCCTCCGGAAGTTCTTCTTCATCCGTTGGAGACCTTGGACGCTTGCCCGCGCCTGCACCTTGGAGACGTCCATGAGCGGCTTGAGCCCATTGAGGAGTGGGATGGATCTTCTCGTATTGGCGTCGTAACCTCTCTTCGTATTCATGGCCGTCCACAGAATCTTCGGCGAGAGTGTCACGCAGTTTTCGCCGTCTTTTGTGAGTAGTGAGAGAGACCTTGAGCGTGTTGTCGTCAGGATCGGTCCACGCAGGGGCCATGTTGGAGAATGAGACAAGGGAGAAGGCACCGGCAACACAACGCCGATCACGCGGAGGAGAAGCCAGCGTCAATAGGGAGCAAGCAACCGTGGGAAGGAGCTGTACAGTTGCAGATTGGATCTCAGCCACCAGCGGGCTCGTCTACGAACGGCGCGTAGGCGGCCTCAGGCAGCGTCAAGACCATCCACAAAATGGTGCGCATCGTCCTCGCCATTCTCCTCGCTGCCGCTCACTATCCCCGCTGTCCCCATGTAGCCGAAGGAGATCCGCGACATCAAGCAGTTCATTGACATCGCCCGCCGCAAGGATGCCAAGGGTCCGCTCTCCATGCTTCCCCTCCTGCTCGTCCTCACCTCCTTCCCGTCTACAGCTGCACGCATAAAGAAGATTGCCCCGCGGGTTCCTGGTGGAAAGACCAAGACCAAGTTCAAGATTCGCTGCTCGCGCTACCTCTACACCCTCTCCCTCGACGACCCCGAGAAGGCGCAGAAACTCCAGCAGAGTTTGCCTCCAGGTCTGCCCTTCTCACCCGATATTCCTGCGCGCTGCCGTACTCACTTTGCGTCGCGCAGGTCTCAATATCGAGGAGATAAAGGACACGCCCAAAAAGAAGTAGACAAGTCTCATGACATGGATTGTACTTCGCCTTCCCATTTCGCATTTCATGGGATTGTATGTTCCACTTCCCCTGCTGTATTCATAGCCTTTCCCGTGCTTGTTGGTGTCCCGGTCATCAGCTGTTCCGTTCCCTTCAGGTGAGTCGACGGAGAAGTGAGCACCATGAATGCGGGCCACTGGCGGGAGTATATGTTCAGGCGAGACGTGGGCAACACGGAGGGAGACGTGGGCGATGAGGGGCCATGCGGGCCGAACGTGGGCGACTCGATGTGGCGGTGGTCGACATCCGTGTGGAATAGTGCGGGTATACGACTACATAGGTACAAGCGTATGGTAGAAATCATTACGAATCCGTGGATACAAGCATGGAGAGACATTCACAAGCACAGCGATGTACTGTACACAACACCTGACACCAATCCGTCCTGCCAGCGGAGAACCGGAATCTGGACGCTCGACCTAGAACCTGCGCGGTGCCCCGACGAGACCCTCTATCGACTGGTGCTCGAGCTCGTTGCGCGCCTTGAGGATCTGTGCGTGCATTTCCTTCATCTCGTTCCCGAGCTTCACACCGAACCGAGAGAGGATGTCGCGCTGCCAGGCATCGTACTTGGCGTTCACCCGCGACTGCACCTGCTCGTAGTCGATTACGCAGACCCCAAACGACTTCTGCGTCTCGGACGTGTCAAATGTGGATCGTGCCTTCTTGATCTCGGTGAGCAGCTGCTGCCAGTTGGCGAGCGAGTCCCCGAGCCGGTTGAAGACGTAGTCGGCCTCGAGGTCCCATAACGACTGGAACTGAAGCCACTTCGCGACGTATTCCTTGAGGGATTGCACCTTCTGTTCCACCAACATGAAGGGCTTCTCGAGCGTGGCATCGGGGAACTTGGACAACTGGAACCGTGTCAGCAAGAAGAAACGTCATGGATGTGGCGAGTATCCTTACCAGGGAGGTGTACGTGAGCTCTGTCACTGTGTGGCCCTGCATCTGCAAGCCGATCTCGTAACGCGAACTCTGTATCGCCTCAGGCGACAAACGGTGCCTGTGCAGCCTGTCAGATTTGATCCCACGATGCAATTTCTGTTATGACGCACCTAGCCACTCGTGCAATTGGCGAATCCAGGTTGCGCGCGCATGCTCAATTGGCGGATCCAGGAAAATCACTTGGTTCTGGATACGGATCTCGTGCACAATGGGCGTTAACGTCAGTTGGCCTTCTGCAGACTGTGAAGTAGCCTACTTCAGCGTCCATATCAAATACGATCGTAAGTTCGCACAGACCTTTTCGTCCTTTGCCCGTTTGTCACGACGCTTGGTGCTCAGTTGCGCCTCTCTCCGGTCATTGTCGTCCGTACGCTCAAACTCATGGCACCAGAGCTGGATGATGTGCGTGATGCGCTGGAGAAGGATGCCCTCTATCCTGGAGTCGAGCTCGGCCACCCAGTGGTCGAGGTTGGCATAACCCTCCAAATTTAGTCGGTCGATCTATGAGGCATCAAGATCAGTATATGCATCGGTGGGGAAAAGGAGAATGCTTACGGCGGCCTGGATCTTTCTTAGTAGTTCACGGAACGCATCCGCAGTGTAGGGACATGTTGATAGATCCTCTACTGAACGAGAAATATCCTTATAGAGATCGATCACATTGTTCGTCTTGTCCTGCACCAAATGATGAGCCTTTGCAGTGAAGAAATAGCGCGAGAACTCTGACCTGGAGGACGGACACAACACTGGCAAATTCCCTAACGAACTGGATGTGTCGACTATCGCGGGCACCGTCGGAAGATACGTATCGGGCAGTGTCGTACTGGTTAACCAAATAGTCCCATCGAATGTTCATTCCTGTACCAGATGTTAATAAACGACCGTAAGAGGAGTATATAGTATACCTCTCGCCACCATACGCTGTGCCTCGTTACGGTACTCGGCGACGAGCCACTCGATGCCCTTGTTGTGATCGACTAGGTCAAGCGTCTGTCCGTAGGTCCGCACGGTCTCCATCAGCGTGACGGCGTGAGGATACACACGCTTTGCGTCCTTGGCCATGTTCGTGGTCGCGTGAGGTACTTGGAAGTTCTGCCAAAGCAAGTTCCGGACCTCCTTGAACAGAGTGATGATCTGCGGGTCGAAGTTGACGGCCAGCTGGAACCCTCCACCGCGCAAGCGGACGATCTCGAAAAGACGTCCGCCGACACCCATGTCGCGACGGTTGATGTCGTGCAGCCAGGCCTCGTAGACGGGCCGAACGTCAAGCTTTTTCCTGAAGGCCGATGACTCCGACTGGAGCTTTTGACCCTCAGCGTACAGCTCCCATCCCTTGCCCAGGACGTCCTCCACACGCTTCATGTACGTTTGCAGTTGGCGGTCGATTTGTCGCGCCCATATGATGGCGCCAGAGATCGGTGGCAAGTCGCGCATTTGAGACATATGATACGCTTCCGAGAACCGATATTGCGTTTTGAACTGGAAATATGTTCAGAGGGAGATACACACGCGGAAGCAGCCCTCTTACCTTGTCGTGCAGCCGCTTGATATCCTCTTTGACGGAGTCAATGAGCTGCGTTTGGTACTCTTGAATGGCACCGCGAATCTATGGAAATGTGTTCATCATAGTTATGTGGAAGACACTAATCAATCACCTTGGGGCGGACGAAGAGCGCGTTGTACTTGGAGAAAACGCGGAACATTTCATTGGCGTTGCGTGCAGTGCCGAGCCGATCACGTAACCGAGCGATGATTTGGTTCTCTACCCGTGCAACCCGCTCGTTGTATGCGGTCTCTGCAGCAACCCAGATTTCGCTCCCCTCTGCCAGGTTAATCTCAATGAGCGCTTCAGGATGATGAAAGACGGGAGATCCACGAACCAGTTGAGACATCGAGCACATCTATGCGCTTCATGACTTCGTAGGCCTCCTTGACCTCTGCCTCCATATCCATACCGCCAATTTCAGTGCCGATGCTCCCTAGACCCTTGGTAGGCCCGGTCATCACAGCGAGCTGCTCATGCTGCTTCCGCCAATCCCTGAGATAACGAATCCGGTCCTGGAGCTTCGCGTGAGCGGGGATAACCTTGATGGGAATGAACTTTTCATGACGCTTGCGCGTCACGTCACGAGCGACGTTGAAGAACTCTTTCATGTGGTCGTCCCATGTCCGGAAGATAGCCATGGTTTGCGACAGCAAACGCTCAAAGGTCTCGTACGGAGTGTAGAGCAGGCGATGGGAGGTGAGAATGCGGAGTAGCTGGTCGTTGAAGTCTCGGGAAATGGCCTCCACTAGCGGGAGAGCACGACGAATAGGGTAGGGGGACAACTTGAGCTTGCGGTTGATGTGACCAAAGATCAAAACCACAGCCTCTTGGATCTTGTCGAGGTCTGTCGCCGACAAGAGCTCATTTAGAGGGAAGTCCTTCATGAGCTGGTTGTATTTGTGAACTGTGGGCAATAGCGCCTATGAATAGACTGGATCGTCGCAATTCAGGGACTGACCGACCTGTATCCGTCGCATCTTTCAGGCCGGTATCCGCGATAAAACTGACAGTAGCGTGGAAACGCTTTGCATTGCGGAGCGTATCCATTACCATGTTAATCTCCTCGCTACGAAGTTGCGCTTCGATCCCCTCCAAAGCTCGCTCCAAGCTGAGCCAGAAGTTGATTTCCTGCGAAGCTGTCCCGGAGCTGACGTCGCGAGTAAGCTTGGTGACGGTCTGGATAGACTTGATCCATTGGTTGACATGACTCTGAAGAGTGTTAAGAAAAGTACTGTCGTTGAGGAGCTTGACGGGAAGGTCGGATATGTTTGGCCTTGAGCCCGAGGCGCGAGCTTGGTCTACTGCCCGTTGGATGACGGGATGGATGATGAGGTGCGTTTCGGGAATCTCTACATTCTGTTGCAGATGCAGGAGGGAGAGCTCCAGCTCGGCAAACTTCTTCTTCGCTACAGGAATGCCTAAACATTCTAGTTGAGATTTGGTAGCTTGATGAGAGTAGAGTGCATACGTACCCATCTTGGAATCTCCACCGTCTTTGCCTCCACCGCGAGAGCCGACGAAAGCCTCAAAATATGGTTTCATGGCACAAGTGATGAGGGCGTGCAAGCTCTCGTAGGGGGTTTCATCGCTGCCAAAGAGGTTGAGAATGTGAAGCTGGGTTGCCAAAGGAGAGGTGGGATCGAGGAGCGGGCCTCGTTTGATGATAGCAAGAGTGGTGGTGTGAGAGGGATCGTAGGTCAGGGTCTGGGTGAGCCTGTATGAGAACGTAGGCGGGGCATCTTCGGCTGGAAGAAGAGAGATAAACGGTGGAAGGGGAGACGGGCGGGGAGATGGAAACGCACACTCTTGCTCATCCTTCTTCTTGACAACATAGACCACGCCGCCGCCCTCACTGGCAAAGCGGGAGACGCGTTCATCGAAGTCGTCGTCGAAGATGGACTCTATCTCTTCTGAAGGAGCGCCAAGGATGGGAGGGAGGAGAGAAAGAAGATATGAACGAAAGACTGATGGGTCAAAGGGAATGGCGGGTTCGGAGACGGACTCGGTGGGCTCGCCATTGCCGTTGTGCACGCCGTTTGAGCGAGAGAGCCATTTGAAGATGGCTGGATCGGAGACTCTACGCCTGCCATTGTGGACGGACGCGAGGGGAGGAGGATGTGATCAAGAGGGAGACGTGTCGGGGCGTAGAAATGGAGCGGGAACGGGGGAATGGTGAGGAGAAGGCGGACAGACGAGGGAGGGGGGAGAGGCAAACGCGTCGGCAGCCGCTCTAGTGGATACAAGGAGGACGTGAGGGTCGTTGCAGGCCGTGGCGGTGTGGATGGAGACTGAGAGCAGAGCTTGGACACTCGCAGCGGACGCAGGCCAGAGTCCGAATCCGACCAACGCGTCGCCCGCACAGACGCTGTCCGCCGCGGCGCATGTGACCCGCCCGCTCGACGCGGGGCGACGCCCGACGGATCTTGCGCCTCCTCCCCTGCCATGGCCGCCTCCCCCGCCTCTTCTCCTTGTCCACCACCTCTCGCGGTTGCGGTGGAAGCCCCTCATGCTCCTCTGCCGCCCCTTCGCTCGTGCTAGCCGTTCCTTGCCACGCGCCCTCTTTCACTGTGCTGCCCCACACTATGCTCTCAAGCGCTTCAAGCTTGCCGACATCGGGGAGGGTATCACAGAGTGCGAGGTCATCAAGTGGTACGTCCCGCATGTATGTATGCATGTCTTATGTCTGTGCCAACTTTGGCCCGTAGGAGCGTCAAGCCTTTCACTCCGGTCAATACCTTCGACCCTCTGTGCGAGGTTCAGAGCGACAAGGCCAGCGTGGAGATCACTAGTCCTTTCGACGGCATCATCAAAGAGTTACTGGTCGAGGAGGGGCAGGTTGCCAAAGTCGGCCAGGACCTTTGCACCATCGAAGTCGTAGACGACCTCGCTTCAACTACAGATTCCCCGCCCCCGGCCCCCTACGAGACTTCAGAAGCCAAGAGTCCCCTTCGCCCCCATTGAACGAGTCTCTACCCGAGCAGCCACCTTCTGCCACACCTCCTGCTCGCAGGCCGCATCCTCTCGATCCAAACGCTCCCCAGAATGTGCGAACCACTTCCTCCGGTGGGGAAGTCCTCGCCACTCCGTCCGTCCGGCACTATGCTCGTCAACACAATGTAGACCTCCGCCAGCTCCATCCAGGCACTGGTAGAGCCGGCCGCATTGAAAAGCGTGATATTGATGGTTTCCTCCAAGCCGGCCCCGCGTCTGCTCCCGCAGCTACAGGTCGGCCAGGTTCGGAGATCGTCGTCGAGCTGAATCGCACCAGACAAAATATGTGGAAGGCCATGGAAAAGGTGAGCCTTTTACGTCTCGCAGCGGCCTCTGCTGACGTTGTGCAGAGCCTTGCCATCCCTCAGTTTAGCTGCTCCTCGACTCTCGACCTCACAGAGCTTCACCGCATGCTGCCCTTGCTGAACGCCCACATTCCGCGGCATTACTTGCCTGCGGCCTCTCACCAACGAGAACCTCGCGACGTCATTTCTCCGGACTCGTTCTACGTGTCCCCAGTCCCCGTTGACATTCCCACGTCTGGACAGTACACCCGGCTCACATACCTCCCGATTCTCCTGAAGATGCTCGCCCGCGCGATGCGCGACTGGCCCCTCTTCCGCGCCTCCATCACCCCCGACTCCCAGGGCAGCACGAAGCCGAGCATGACCTCCGTCCGCACGCGGACATCAGCCTCGCGCTCTCGACGCCGACGGGGCTCTACACGCCCACGCTCCAGGCGGCGGACACCCAGAGCGTGTACGAGCTCGCGTCGCGCGTCAAGCACGTCGCGCACCTCGGCCGCCAGGTTCCGTGCGCGCTCACACCGCAGGACATGCCGCGCAGGGGCGGCACGGTGAGCGTGTCGAACGTGGGTGGGATCGGCGCGGTTGACAGCGCGGTCCCCGTCCTCGTGCCCGGGGGCGGGGTTGCGATCGTGGCGGTCGGGCGGGCGAAGTGGGTGTGGGACGTCGACAGGGGAGACGGGAAGGGAGAGCGGAGGCTTATAGTCGGCATGAGCTGGTCGGCGGATCATCGCGTGGTCGAAGGGGCGGAGATGGTCGCGTTCATGCAGGCTTGGAGGAACTGGGTTGAGGTCCCGCAGAGGATGATTGCGGACGGACTGTAGGCGTGCGACGTGCCGCCGAACGACTGTATATTAAGCATGGATGTCATACCGAGACTCTACTGGACCCGCGAGCAAGACTTGTACAATAACACATCAGAACAGAACAGGCCAACGTCAGCTGGGCGTCGAGTTCTCCCCTTCTCTGGGGCTCGTGGAGATCATGCTACCGTACTGGGGATCAAGAGGGAACCGGGACGTAGCGGTCGATTACTGTCATCTCGGCGGTCGATGGGCTGGGGTTCTGACGGAAGTTGGATGGCAGAGCGGCTGCCAAGCAAAGGCGTGCGGTCTCCGATCTCGGGGAGGGAGTTGGCGCGTCCAACGCGGTATTCAACAATCCTGCGACAGAGCGAGGTGAGGGAACCGGTTAACGCTCTTGTCAAAAGGAGACGAACCCTTTCATGACTTTGGCATTCTTCCGGCGGGAAGCGCGGCGCTTAGAGACGTTGTCTTCATACCGATCGGTTTCGTCTACAATCTCCTCAGAAATGATTTCCTCGATGATGTCCTCAAGCGTAATGAGGCCGATTGCACCTCCCTCGATTCCGGGAGTGCGGCTGAGTAGCAGGAGATGGGCGCGACCTGTTTGGCTAGAATCAAACGCCCCCAGCGAATATCAGTCGCATGATCATGGGGTCATGTGGACATGGAACCCACAAGTAATCGAGTGCTTGGAAGCAGTTGATGGTAGGCGGTGCTTCTGGCAAGATGGACAGCGGGAGCTCGGACAGCGGGGAAGGACTTGAGGGGTCGTACACCGATAGCTGCACGAGCGTGTTCACAAAAGTTACTATAAGCGAATGAACTGACGAACCGTTTTCACGAGGAGGATACCGATAAAAGCGAGCGGATGACCAGGTTTGTGCACTGGGATTCGAGAATATCCACTGCGCAAGCTGGAGGATACGACTGTCAACGCGACGGCGCCATGGCAAGCTCGACTGGGACTCACAGGTAGTCGACGGTAGGATGATCTAAAATGCGATCGGAGCTTATGGTGACTACGTCCTGCAGACGAAGCCGTCAGCCGAATCTATGCGAATGCGGTCGCTGTACTGACCTCCAGGGGGGTCATGATCTGCTCCACCTTCTTATTGTTGAGTTCAAGCACTCCGTTCAAGATGCTTATCTCGTCGTCACGCAGCGGCTCTTCACCCTGGCGGTGGAAGGCGAGGAATGACTTGAGCTCCGCTTTCTTGTATGTATGACCTTCGTCCCTCCCGAGAACATAGTCGAGTAGCTTTGCGACTGGCCATGCAATGGGAGCTATGGAATGGCCCTGTGACTTGCGGTGACACGGAAATTCGCGAAAAGCGGCTTACCGAAGATATACATCATGGCGAGCACAATGGGCGCGCAAGACGCTCCTATGGACAGTCCGTATCGAACACTTGCCGCCTGGGGGATGATTCTACATAGAATCCGGTTATAAAAGAGCGCAGAACAATTCTGAAGAGTCGCGACTCACTCTCTATAGACCGTGGCCAAATACAGTGAGTAGACAGACTAGAAAGGGCATGCACGGAGTTCCTACCCGAAAATGACTAATGGGAGGGTCAGATATTTGACTCAAGACAAAACCACTGTACACACCAATCATTGCGGTCGAGATTACGACTGCGGCAATACCGCCGCCTAGCTAAATACACGAAGTTAGTTGAGAACGGGCGTCGAAAGGTTCGAGACGTACGGCACTGTCGAGGAAGATGGGCAGACTTTCGTTCACAATCTAGACGTGCGCGTGAGGGAAAGCACGGGTACGGTTCGGGTTCACGCGTACCACGTTACCCAGCAGGAGGACCTAAGGTTGAGAAGGTAAGGTGCGGCAAGGACGCAAGTCGAGCAGACTTACGACGAGAACCCAATGACGCCCACGGGAAAGGAGGCGGAGGACTAGACGCCTGTCGGTACACGGCTCGGGAGTGTAGGCAGTGAATGCAACGTACCCTTCTGAGCGTTCTTTCGTTCTTTCGGGTTCTCTGAAGACGCGGAGAGGACACGGAGATGCAGTTCGTCGAGACCCATTAGACCGAGCGTGAGGCTGAGGGATGAGGACCAAGATGAGAGCGCGGACAATGGACATGTAGGGAATTACGCACCCAGCAAAGACACCTCCGGCGAGCACAAGACCTATGCTGACTACAAGCTTGTACCAGAACTCTGGTGAGCCAGGCTCCTCTCCGTGTTCATCGGGTGGCGGGCGGCAAGGCCGCCGGCGAAGGGACCTGGACATGGCGAAGCACTGAGGAGAAGAACGGCAGCAGCATGCGACCTGGCGTCGGGGTGGGCGGAGAGAGCGGGGCGAGCAGGACGGTGTTGGCGAGAGAATATATACGTAACGCAGAGAGCCAAGCCGCAAACCGCACTTGTCCCACTCCCCGCCACACCGGCCCCGTCCCGCCCCGCCCAGCGCGTTTTTCGCGACTCCATGGCTGCGGTCGTCGCCCGCCCCTTCCTCCGCGCCCCCGCCGCTCTTGCCCGCGCCCGCTGTCGCCCCTCTCGCGCCATGGCCTCCCTTCACCCCCGTCCCCGGTCCTCGTCCCCGACCTCTGCCCCGCCTGCCCCTCCTGAGAAGAAAGCCAGGCTCGATGCCGAGCCGTCAGCCTCCGCTCTCCTGGCCACAAACGCCACTTCGGCTTCCTCCCTCCTAGCTTCCACCCCGTCTGACGCCACTCAGTCATCCAAGGATCCCAAGAAAGGGCCCCCCAAAAACAAGAAAAACAAGAAGCGGGCTCATGTCGCGCCAGAGCCCTTTTCCGCCGAAGACATCCTTAATCGCGAAGTCGTCGCCCTCCTAGGCCAGGAGTACGCCGACGCGGCAAATGCGCAGGAGGCGGACTGGGATGCGCCCTTTGAGCAGTCCACCGAACTGGAGCTCACCGTCGCGTGCATCTCCCCGTCCTCAGGTGAGTCCTCGTAATCCCTCGCGTTGCCCCAAGGGTGACGCTCCGCTGCGCGATACTCACACCGTCGATTCAGGCCAGGCGCTCTCGGTTGCCTCCGTCAACGACCGCAAGTGGGTTATTGTCACCCCTCTTTCTCTCCCTGGCGAGCGCATTCGGGTCAAAATCAGCCGGCACTCTCGTCTACACTCGCATGCAAAGCTGCTCGAAACAGTGGAGTCGAATTCGGAGTGGAGGGATACGTCGCGCGTCCAATGTCGCTATTTGGCAAATGTGCAGGTTGTCAGTACCAGGTGCGTCCATGCTCTTTGCGTGCACTGTTCACGGGGGTGAGCGATAACCGGTCGTGATCTACAGATGTTGTCATACGAGCGACAACTTGAACTAAAACGCGAGACCGTCAGCGACGCGTACAAGTATTACTCGAGTGAGTTGTTTGGGTATGTCATCGAGCTGCATTCTGATTTGTTTCTTTGATAGACATACCGCCGGAGTCGGTCCCGCCGATTCAACCCACCATTGGCTCCCCGCTACAGTATGGCTACAGGACCAAGCTTACCCCTCATTTCCACCGCCCCCCGATGGCATTCCAGAAGGCCGTGAAGCGCGGTGAGCCTGTCGAGGGCAAGCCGGATTGGTTGAAGATCGGATTTAATGAGCTCGGTTCAAGGAACGTGCTGGATATCGAGGTACGCTTTTCTGCAGCCGCATCCGTGCCAGGTCTCATGGACCACAAGGAATGCCCGATCGCAACTCCGATCGTGAGTAAAACGATTGGGCCAGTCAAGGAGAACATTGTGAAGTAAGCGGGCTTGTGTTGTAGGCAATGGGAAGACACTTATGTGCTGCAGGAACATCCACAAATACACGAACGGCGCCACACTCCTCCTCCGGGATTCCCTTCCCTTGTCCGCTGACAACGAGTCGTCTTCGAACTGCACAGAAGATGACGAGCACATATGCGTCACTGATCACAAGACAACGGTCCGAGAACGCGTCGGAGACATGTTCTTCGAATACAATGCGAACACATTCTTCCAAAACAACAACTCAGCCTTGGTCCCACTGACTTCCTATGTGCAAGACGCCATATTCCCGGCGGATAGCGAGTCTCGACAACGTTTCCCTCGTCCTACACACCTAGTCGACGCATATTGCGGCAGTGGTCTCTTCTCTATCATGCTTGCCCGGCACTTCGACAAAGTCGCCGGGATCGAGCTCTCTGCCGAGTCAATCCGAGCGGCACAACACAACGCGGAGCTCAACAGGTTGCCTGCCGAGAAGATCTCGTTTATAGCCGGGGATGCGGCAAATATTTTTGACACCGTGCAGGACTTCCCGCGAGAACACACCGTGCTTATCATAGACCCGCCGCGAAAGGGTACCGACCAGCGTTTCATTCAACAGATGCTCGCTTTCAGTGCACAGACAGTTGTCTATGTCAGCTGCAATGTTCACACACAGGCCCGAGATGTGGGATCAATTTTGGAGGCTGGTTCTAAGATGGTTCAGGAGGGCGTTGGAAGAAAGTATGTGCTGCAGAGTTTATGTGGGTTGGATTTGTTTCCTCAGACAGCACATGTAGAGTCGATTGTGGTTCTGAGCTTAGAATAATCTGCTATTACAGCAGATCCTGAAAACCATGAGAATTGGGATTGGATTTTTTTGGTGGGGCCTGTCTGAAAGTTTGTGTCCAAAGTTCAGACATACCTTCCGAGCCCCCAGGTGCCAGTGCGTGTCTGGAAGGGCCTTCAAAGTTCACATGTGTCACGGAGGGCCTGCTTGTGTGTGTGTGAGCCTCTGTCCGTGTGCGCGCGTCCTCAATGCCTCTGTCATCGAGGCTGTACTTTCCTTCTTACTATCCCTTTCACCTGGCAATCTGCCTTCTCAATTCTGCCATCCATGGTCTACCACAAGATCAGTGATGACCTGAAATTGATGAACTCTGAGTAAGGCAGGGAACCGACTGTAGCACACGAAGAGGAGTGATTCTCAGTCAGTGATAGAACAACTAATATTGAGAGCATAGGTACCTGTAGCACACGAAGAGGAGCGACTACAGATAGAGTAAGCATATGTATAAAGGAGCGTATAGAGTGTAGGTACTTACTGCTCAGTCAGTGATAGAACGACTGAAGAGCAGTGCGAGTCAGAGTCCTCCTTATATCTAGTTTAGGAGCTGCATACGTAAGCGAATGATGGAGGACATATGTGGCGCAGAGGTCAGACCAGACAGAAGATGGATATGATGCTGTACAGGCTGTGTGCTCAAGACAAAGAGAGTCCGAAAGTAGAACAAGGGAACAAAGAGAGAAGCGTAGAAGAACGGAATGGAAGAGATAAGGGAATACAAGGCAGTGAATAGACATGTGGAACTATGGGAACTATCTCACAATGTCCATGTGTACGTAGAACTGTCTGTATGTACCTATGTTCAATATCCAATGTTCAACAGAAATAACATGCCTTGATCTCTGGGATGCCAGCTGGACTGTGGACAACGTCTGCACTATCTTCAAAACCTACCCAGTGTTACGTTGAAGTCCGAGTTCCGTCAGGAACGAGGCCTAGACGCCAAGTGGTGATGTCTGTGAGAAGTCTCTTGATGCCGACACGAGTAAGCACGGTGCACTATCGAGTGGACCAGCGAGCGAGCAAGGTAGAAGGCAAGCAAGAGAGTTGATTGGCACTTGGCCAGAGAGGACGTAGCTATACAGGAGGTTGAAAGATGGGGAGCGCTGTGTTGCGTCGTCCCTCTTGTAAGTACAAGTGCCTCGAGGCTATGGTGTGTGAGAGGTGAGGTAGCAGAGCGTATCCAATGTGTCTGTACAAGTCATGGCTGCGGCGTGTGAGGGGGTAGTACGTTGTAAGGCTGCCATGAGGCGCGTGCGTGTCCAGGGCGAGGCTGCGCAGCAGCATGAGATGGGAATAGGGGTGATGGTACAATGGCCTCTGAGGGCGTGAGGCATAGTCCGTGACGGAGATGACGGAAACAAGGGAAAAAGGTAGGTATCTGCATGGTGTCCGTAACATCAGCTCCCTCTCTCGTGAGGGTTGTCCCAACCCTTAGTTACCGAAGATGTTGTCGGCGTTGAGGTCAGGGTCTTCATGAGAGTGGTATCCAATCTGGTGGAGTCGTTCGATCAGGTTGACGATCACCTTGTGGACCGTCTCCTCGAGTGACATCTCAGGTTCGCCATGCAGAGGGATACCTGTACGTCAATACTAGCTGTAGTACGTGGGGAACCGCTGCCAGTGTCCCGCGTCAATCACACGGTCATCAACGACCTTCTCGCAGTGGGCGTTGCACCATTGTGCCACCACGTTGAGGACATGGAGTTCGAGGCTGAGGCGAATGCCTGGGGCAACGTAGGGGAGGGCGGCGGCGATCCTCAACTTGATGTTCTCTGGCGAGTACTGTGCTGGCCAGTCGAGGGCGTACACCCTAACGAAGTGGTTCGCAGAGAGGTAACTGTGGAGGGTGTAGCAGTTAGTGGCTCCCTCAAGGCGAAACGGTTAGGTGACCAGGTTGTAGGCGCGTAGTAGCTCCAGGTGGGGGGCATTGTCCTCGTCCTCATGGTCACTGGAGGAGGCTTCTCCACCTTCCGAGTCTGCATCATTGCCCATGTCATCGTCATTGTCGTCGTACGGGGGTGGGGCTTGGACTGGGACAACAAGTTCGTAGTGTACTTCATCGTCCGCGTAGTGATAGATTGCTCGTGCGTTCGGGGATGGCGTGGGTGGTGTCGGGGTGGGAGGACGAGGAGGTGGGGTATGGGATCCGCGAGGTCCGAGGATGGTGATCATGTCGGACAGGGTCAGACCTGGTGTGGGGGTCGTGGGTTCCTCGTTGTTGTTGTCTTCTTCTTCCACCGGTGACCCCCATTCCACGGCCGAACTCTCCATACCCATCTATCCTCCTGCGACGGCGCGTGTCCGGTATTCCTCTTCTTCCCATGCGGCTCGGTTGTGTTCGGCTTCGGCGGGGGTGGGTGACCCCTGTCTGTCCCATGTGTAGTCCGTGTGTTGTTTGTGACGGGGGAGAAGGTCGGCAAGGGTACGTCCCACCTGGTAAGTGGCCAGTGTTACGTCAAAGTCCGAGTTCCGTCGGGAACGAGGCCTAGATGCCGAGTGGTTATGTCCATGAGAGATCTCTTGATGCCGACGCGAGTAAGCACAGTGCACTATTGAGTGGACTGGCGAGCGAGCGAGGTAGAAGGCAAGCAAGAGAGTGGATTGGCACTAGGCCAGAGGATGTAGCTATACAGGAGGTCGAAAGATAGGGAGCGCTATGCTGTGTCGTCCCTCTTATAAGTACAGAGGCCTCGAGGCTATGGTGCGTGAGGGGTGAGGTAGCAGGGTGTATATCGTGAGTCCATACGAGTCAGTGCGAGTCATGGCTACGGCGTGTGAGTGGGTGTTGTGCCGTGAGGTTGCCATGAGGTGCTTGCATGTCCGAAACGAGGCTGCGCAGCAGCATGAGGCAGGGGATAGGGGTGGTGTTACAGTAGCCCCTGAGGGCACGAGGCATAGTCCATGACGGAGATGACGAGGGGGAAGGAAAAAGGGTAGGTGTACGCATGGTGTCCGTAACATCAGCTCCCTCTCCCGTAAGGGCCAACCCTCAGTTACCGAAGACGTCGTCGGCATTGAGGTCAGGGTCTTCACGAGGGCAGTAACCGATCTGGCAGAGTCGTTCGATCAGGTTGACAATTACTTCGTGGACCGTCTCCTCGAGCGACATCTCAGGTTCGCCGTGTAGAGGGATACCCGCCCGTTGGTACTGGCTGTAGTACGTGGGGAACCACTGCCAGTGTCCCGCATCGATCACACGGTCATCAACGACCTCCTCGCAGTGGGCGTTGCACCATTGCGCCACGACGTTGAGGACATGAAGTTCGAGGCTGAGGCGAATGCCTGGGGCTACGTAGGGGAGGGCTGTGGCGATCCTCAACTCGATGTTCTTGGGCGAGTACCGTACTGGCCAATCGAGCGTGTACACCCCAACGAAGTGGTTTGCGGAGAGGTACCCGTGGAGAGCGTACCGGCTGGTGGCTCCCTCGAGGCAGAACGGTTGGGCGACCGGGTTGTAGACGCGCAGTAGTTCCAGTCGGGAGGCGTTGTTCTCGTCTTTGTGGTCACTGGAGGAGGCTTCTCCACCTTCTGAGTCTGCTTCGTTGCCCATATCGTCGTCGTCATTGTCGTACAGGGGTGGGGCCTGGACTGGGATGACGAGTTCGTAATGTACCTCATCGTCCGTGTACTAATGGGTGGATGGTGTGGGCAGCGTCGGAGTAGGAGGATGAGGGGGTGGAGTATGGGATCCACGCGGTCCGAGGGCGGCGATCATGTCGGACAGGGTCAGGCCCGGTGTGGGGGTGGTGTCCTCCGCGTCGTCGTCTCCTTCTTCCGTTGGTGACCCCCATTCCACTGCTGAGCTCTCCATGCCCATCCATCCTCTAGCGGTGGCGTGCACCCGGTATTCCTCTTCTTCCCATGCGGCCCGGTTGTGCTCGGCTTCAGTGGGGGTGGGTGACGCTTGCTCATTCCGTGTGTAGTCCGTATGCTGTTTGCGGCGGGGGAGGAGGTCCGCGAGGGCACGTCCCACCTGGTAGGTGGCGAGTTGGCGAACCGCGAGTTCAGCGCCTCGGATGAGGAGGTGCATGGTGGCGCACGCGGCTCGTTGCGCGTTCTCCTTGACCTGTGCTGGTCCAGCTACCCGGTGTATGAACGTATTGGCTTCTTGATGGGTTTGGTAGGCGTCGGCAAAAATCCGGTAGGTTTCGATGCAGTGGGTGGCTCCTGGGATGTGTTCGGTGCGCACACGTACTTGATCGTGGAGGTCGGGGTGCGCGATCACCCATCCGATGCGGAGACCGAAAGGAGCTGGGGTGTTGTTGCGGAGGAAAGTGACTGGGAGGTGTTGGTACGAGATAAGGGGTCTATCGGTGATAAACCGGGGGACGGTCCGTCTGATGGTTGAGGCAGACGAGTGGGCGGCGGGGGTTGTCCGGGAGCAAGTGGAGTGCGAGCCAGGGGTAGTGTTGCGAGTACGCGGCATGGTGGTGATGATGAAAGGTCGAGAGAGCGAGTTCAGGTTGGTGAGTGGGGGATGGGGATTGATTCATAGTTGATGCTTCTGCTTATATGCGCGGAGGATATTTGGCGTGTTGGTCAGATGGTGTTCCGGTTCCCATGAGTTCTCTGCTGGTTCCCAGCCCTTCCATGCAATGAGATAGTAGAGCTTCGGCTTCGTTTGGCTTCCCCGCAGTTGGTGCTTGAGGATTGCCTCAACCTCGTGTTCTTCTTGGCCTTCTACGAGGTCAGGTGGTGGTCTGGGCAAGTCTGGGCCGTGTTCTTTTGTTGTCCAATACAGCGTGAGCAGCATGGCATGGAACACGGGGTGTATCTTCCAACTGCGTGGAAGCACAAGTTTGAATGTGATTGGCCCCATGACTTCGGAGATAGGGAACGGGCCGAGTTGCTTTGGCACCAGCTTTCAATAGGGGTATGGAAGCCGGAGATTTGTTGCTTCTAACAGCACTTTGTTGCCCTTCTTGAACATGATTGGGCGTGCTGGTGACCGTCGTGCCATTGCTGCGGCCACCTGATTG